AGTTATTATTATATTACATACTAGCCTCTTGCTATTCTACAAGGGGTAATACATATGCTTAGAAATATAACAGTAGGTATATTATTATTATTAGCTTAATATACTGCTATATTATATCTTACTATGCTTTCTAAGATCTCTAAAGAGAAAGTTAGTATTAAGTAGCTTACTGTTATAGCAGCGCCTGCAGGATATATAGGTATGCTAGGCTATAGGGGCTTAACCCTGCCTCTACTCCTTCTCTCTAGGGTATATAAGGGCTTTTGCCCTTCTCTTAGTAGCATACCTTAAGTAAGAGTTAATATACTTCTTAATACTTACCTAACGCTTACTTTATAATAACTAGTTATAATAAGAGAGATTATAAAAATAAATAATATATTATCTTTACTTAGGAAATAACTAATATAAAGCTAGTTTAGCTAGTATTTAGGCCTTTTAGAGAGTTTATAACTAAGGTGTTATATTATAGAAATAGCAGCTTATAGTGCCTAAAACTACTAGTATTTTCTATTTCTATTTATTATCTAGATTAGTGCTTACTGCGCTTTAATAATCCCTAGACTTAAGGCTATTAAAAACTCTTATATTAATAATAATTATATTTCCTAAGCGCTAGTAAGTAAAATAGCAAGTAGATATTAATATAATATTATAGTCTTAGTAGTATTACTTAGTAATATTATAAATGCTAATAATATATTTATTAAATTCAGTTTATAAAATACTGCTAATATAGTTTTACTACTTAATAAGCTAATCTTTTAAGATTAAAGAGTTATATTATAGTATAAAAGATTAATAAATATTACTATAGTTAATTTATCAACAGTTAAAGCACATACCTTTAAACACCACCTCTCTATAACCAAACTGTCTTATAGGAAATCCGTTTACTAATAAACTATCAGGACTGCTATACATAAACAAGTTAAAATACTATTTAATCTTATAAAGACTAAGCTGTTCTAGCTTAGTCTAGCAATCTAGGGCTTATTTTTTAAGGACTAACTTGCTTAGTTTTCTATCTAAGATTAAGAGTATCTTCCTTCTTATACACTACAGCTATCCAGTCTCGCTTAGTCAGCCTTATCACACCCTTATCTATCACCTGGCCTAAGGCCTGTGTGCTTCCTACTATAAATTAACTAAGAATATAGTATTATTAGTTAAATATTAAATTCTAGTTCTAGGAAGCTGCTTATTAATAAATTTAAAGCCTCTGTCTTTAAAAGATTATATTACCTTTATAACTTTAGTATCCTTCTTTTAAATTATTAATTACTTTATATAAGCTTATTTATAATATAAGTGACTTATATACTAGCCTTTAAGAAAATATTATAAATACATAGTATAAAAATTACTAAAGAAGGATATATAGCTCTTAACTTTACTGCCTTAATAAGACTTAATAATAAGTTATACTCCCTTAAGGCCTCTTAAGGTCTTAATTTCACCTTATAAAATACTAAAGGGCTGCCTTAAAGAATTAATATATAAAAGTCTTTTATTCTGCTTATTAGCTAAAATTTATTAAATTAGAATTAAGTAAGTGTTTTTATTAGCATCTTTACTAATTTTAAAAGAATAAATATTATTAAATAATTTAGTTCTTTAGCTATAGGTATAAGTAATATTATAAAGCTCTTTTCTAAGGAGATAAAAAGCTAATTATCTAAGATTAATTATTTAAGTAGCTAAAGTCTTTAATATTTACTAACTAATAGTTACCTTTTTAAAGTTATTAAAGTAGTAAGTAATAATATATATATTATTATTTTAATTAACATTATAAATATAAAGGGCGTTTATTATATTAAATACTAATTTCTTATATACTAAAATAAAGAAGTCTTACTTTAAGTATAAATAGCATAAATTAAAAATAAAGTATTTAAAAGCTTAAAGGCTAGCTAAAATAAACCTAGAATTAAATAAAGCTAATATTAAAGTTATTAAGTATTTAAAGCTTTCTTAAAAAAATGCTACTAAGTTAATATATTCTTTATAATAAGCTTATAAAAGTCTACTTTATAAAAAGTTATTTTTTATAATTAGTATATTACTAATACTTAGCTTCTTTATAATTTTTATAACTATTCTAGTAGCTATAATAAGATTTAGTTTTTATTATTAAATAAAGTTTATAAAGTAGAATAGTAATTATATTATATAGTAAAAGAACTCTTACTAAAGTTTATAAATAGCAGGATATAACTAGTAAAGGCTAGTTTCTCCTAAGGGATTATTTTATAATTATAATCGCATCTTAAAGAATTAAAACATTTAGTTTAAAAATAGCACTTATATCTATATATAGCTACTTATATTTATAAGGATTAGCAGATTTTATATAGTAATACTATCTTAGAGGCATATGTTTTTCTTATTTTAATAAAGTAACTATAGGGATATTATATAGAACCTTACTTATTCCTTAGATACTAAAAAAAATACTATATTAACTAATAATATTAAGAGACAATCAAGATGCAAAACCAGCCATTTAAGAACTCTTAGAAACGTTTGCCTTTTTAATCAGCTACCCTGCGAAATTCACTATAGAGATCAGATATTAATGGTTGAACCCTTCATGAAGAGAAATACCAGCGTCGCATTCAACAACTCGATGAGGCAAAGCGCGCTGGTCACGTGACCTGGCCTGGTTAGCTCAATCGGTAGAGCGTGAGACTCTTAGCAGAGAACACGTTCTGATGCAATCTCAAGGTTGCGGGTTCGACCCCCGCATCGGGCTTTTCCTATACACGCCAGTCGAAGACGCATCAGCCTCAATTTTTTGCATCATTTTTTGCCATTTTTGCTGATAGTCATCTTGTGGGTGGAGCCTTGAGATATCGACTGCCGGCGTTTCAGTGTCGATGGAAGAAGGTGTAAGCCGTAAAGACGATGAGTTCCTAGCCGAGTCTTGCTTCCCTGCGGCAGACCTGGGCCGCCGGAATACCACGACTCCCCAACGCCATGTTCCCAGTATTAGACGTGAACTGATCCCCGATACCCATGAATGTAACATGTCCATCCTCCTTTTCATCTCTCCAACTCTTCACTCCCTCCCAACAAAGACACGCACAGCACTGACGCCAATGCAGCCAAGCTGCCCAGTATGAGCATCTGTAGGCCCTCCCACACGCACCGCATCCAGCTGCCCGACGCCTCTCCCCCTCTCAACAACCAGCTCTTTCCAGCACCAAACGACATCAACGCCAATAAACACAGCGCAATGCTCCAACGAAGTCCAAGGCCGACAGTCGCAGCGAAAAAGTACGGCAGCAAGGGAATCGTGCCGCCAATGATGTAGCCCAGCGAGATGGACAGACCCGAGGCAACAGGCCAGACGGGCAGCTGGTCGGTGCTAGAAGAGCCCTCTTCGATGGAATACGCAGCTCTTGAGGAGAGCAGCTGGTGCGCGACGTGATGCAATCCCTCAGGACGATCGTTGAGCGCCGTCATGATATCCTGGACCATCCATCCAGGCAGCGCAAGAGGTTCCAAATGCCGCCTCACAACCACTTCCTGCGCCTCCCTATCCTTCTCGTCGAGACTCTCCCTGTCGCCATCATGCCGCAACATGCCCCTCAGCTCCTCCTCGTCGCCATCGTCCCGGCGGTTCACAGCCCCGGGTGCTGGCAGCTCGTCTTTGGCGGACAGGTAGCCGCCGATGCCCATGCTGATGCTGCCGGCGCAGAGCTCGGCCAGGCCAGCGTAGATGACGGTGTCGGCGCGGCCGAGGGAGCTGAGGCCCGCGGTGAGGGCGAAGGGGACGGTGAGGCCATCGGAGAAGCCGAGGGTGAAGTCTGAGAGGAAGCGGATGAGGAGGGGGCTCCGTGGTTTGGCCATGGTGGTGGACTGATGCGGATTCATTGGTTGGGATGGTTGAGGTTGAGTCGAACTTCAGGGACGACGATGATGAAGACAATGGAGTCTTACAAGCGACACCGTAGCCCGCGTCAAGGTCAATAGCAACATTACTCGGAACTCGTGTTCCGTAGAGATGTGACATAGGGACAGAGCTCGGCTCCTCGGTACAGTTCGCGAGCAATAGGTCCTGTTAGTCGGCGCCGCAACAGGTCTATGCCATATCACCGTACCATCCCCGATCAATAGTCCCGCATCCCCAGCCATGCAATCCCACCTCGGACAACAACTCCATGCCACTCGATGTCCTCAACCCGCCCTCGTGCGTCTGCGCTTGCACGCGCGGTTACATCGCCACGTTAACCATCGGCATCGCTAGAGAGCAATACTAGTTGTACTACATACAACCCACACACACTCACAATCCTCCCTCAAGAAGTGCATCTGTTCCCTCCCCGAGACCTCGCCGCCACCAACCCCGGACAGGACACCGAGAAAGCTCAGATAGCAAAACTTGAACCCAACCACCAACAGGGGTCCCTTTGCAAATGGCAACTGAAAAGAAGAGAAGAAAAAAAAAGCCTATGCCGTCTTTCCGCGCAAAAAAAGCCCAGGCACCGCAAGCTCTTTCTGCTCCAAGCAGGTGCTCGCCTTGGGCCCACGTGCACTCACTAAAGGGGGGGCATGTGCTTAAGAATGGACAAACGCTGATTTGGTGGACGGAAAGAAATCAGACGAGGTGCATAAGCGTCTTTTTCCCTCAGGGTTCTTTTTTGTTTCAAGGCGACGAGCAGGGGTGATGCTTGGTGGGGATTGTTAGGGGCCGTGGGGTGGCGCCGTGGTTTTCGTGAGGGGAATCTCGATTGGAGGTTTGTGGTTAGTACTTGAGTTTCTGTGGCTGGATAGCCGGTGAAAGGGTACGTATGGTATCAATTGGATTCAGGTATCAGGCAGGATGGCAGCTAGAAGATGGAAGCGATTTCGGGACTTGAGGCGATTGATTTAAGCGAGGGGGAAGAGGGAAAGGCTATTCAGACAGACGGACAGGATCTCCGGGAAGAAAATTGGAGAGGTCCCGATTAGGAAGCTGGGACTTTTGACATGTGCCGGGTGGCTGAAAGTACGTATCTGATACGCGAATGCGTGTAAGTGCCAAGGTAGTTACATGTAGGCAGCGATTCATCATCACCGCTGTTTGTTGGCCTGCGAGCGGTCTATCTCTCCTTGCCAGGAAGACATGGCTTCACCAATTGAATCAAATGTGTAGTTAAGAGTCATTTAATTTCATAGCTACATTGTATAGTATCAGACATTACTACTATTATTCCACCGCCTAGTCGGTGAGGACGGGAGTGTATCCCTTGGGGGGGTTGAGGCCGTCAGACACCTCGATGGTGTCGGCGTAGTAGCTGGCAGCCTTGCTGTGCTCCCAAGTCTTCTTGATGGCAGGCAGGATGGTGCGGCCAGAGAAACTTTTGTCAAGCTTCAGGTTGGGCGCGGGGTACTGCTGGTTGCCACCGTCGGTGTTGAAGACGCCGGCGTACGAGGCGTTCCAGAAGTGGCTGTTGAGCGCCTTAGTGGACGACCACTTGCGCAGGCGGTCGCCAGTCTTCTGGGCAACCAGCTCGTAGACGTTGGCGCCGACGTCCCAGCGGCCCAGGGTGTGCAGGCCCCAGTTGGCCTCGACGGTGGCGATCTCACTGTAGTGGTTGTAGAAGTTGTTGTCCGTAGTGCCAACCAGGTGCTTGGGGACGGCGTCACCCAGCAGGATGCCCATGATCTGGTTGCGCTCGGCATAGGTCTCGTTCTCATCCCAGGTGAGGAGCACCAGGGTGTTCTGCATGAAGTTCTTGTTGTCCAGCAGGGGCTCGAGGAAGGTGCGGCACCACTGGCCAGCCACAGCGACGTTGGTGTCGTGGCCGTCCGAGGTCATGTTGGGCGTGATGAACATCCACTGCGGCAGCTTGTTGGCCTCGAGGTCCTTGTGGAACATGGAGCGGCTGGTGTCGATCAAGGACAGGTTCTTGTCCTGGGACAGGCGCTGCTCGTAGTGGGCGACGCTGTTGGCCAGGATGGCGGGGTTGTGCTTGCGCACGTAGTCATTGGCGCCCGTCTTGACGTTGTTGTACGTGTAACCCTCGAAGCCAGAGTAGGGCATGTCCTCCTGGTAGTGGCCCCAGGAGATGCCGCGGTCCTCGAGCAGGTCGATGACGGTCGACACGTTGAAGTCGGCAGCGTTGAAGTCGTCGTTCTGCATGCCGAGGTAGTCGCCCACAATCGAGGCCATGTAGTTGGGCTCAGAAGGGTGAGTGACGCCGAAGTAGTTGGTCAACTTGACGCCCTTCTTGGCAAAAAAGGTGAAGTTGGCTGTGAAGCATGTTAGCCCTCTGTGTATCTTGTCTCTTCTAGTCGACAGCACTCACGGTCGCCATCGGCCTTGTCGTAGTTCTGGTTCTCAAAGTAAATGACGACGAAGCGGTCAAAGGCCTTGCCCTTGACGTGGCTGGTTGGGCTGCTGGTCTTGGCCGTGGCAGCGGCAGCGGCAACCTCAGCGGTGCCGGTGGCCGTGTACTGAGACTCCCAAGCAATCGACGTCGACGAGGGCTTGGGCGGCTTGCAGTTGGACTTGTCAACGGCAGCAGCCGAGGCGAGACCGGCAGCGGCCAGCAGAGAGACAACCTTGGACAGCATCTTGTTCCGTTTCCCTTCGATCCTAGCTGATGAGCCTTGCTGAGGAGGATGGAGAGGAGAGGGGGGAGGGAAAGCAGGGACGCCGCGGGGTTTATATCAATGCGCGTGCGGGTTCAGGTCCAGCCTTGCTCCGACCCAGGCGATGCTATGCGCTGCGATGTCACCCAACGTTCGGAGCTTCATCCTCTCGGTCGCCCTTCGGTACCCGCTCAGTCTCTCGCCCAAAAGATCCCTGTCACCAGCGAGGGTTGACAAGCAAGCAAAGATCCACTGTCTGGTCCGACTGCTCTGTTGGTGTCTTTGGCGACTGGACTTTCCCACCCACTCGCTAGCACTCCTAGCGGCCTCTGTCTTCGACATCTCGCGCCGCTGCTCCGGCACGTGGGAGGGATGCGTCGCTGCATCTCGTCTGTCTCGTCTCTTCCCTTCTGGTTTGGATGGGGCTTCTAAGCGGTGCCGCTTTATCCGCTTGTAGAATTGGGACTGGATTCATGTCTCCTGTTTGTCGATTCCAGGTTCATGTTATCGTGCTCCATCGTCTCGCGTCAGGGGCCTCAACGGGTATAACCCGACGTCTTCGGGAAGCTTACAGTGGGCTTCAGGCGCTGTCAAGCCGTTCAGGCACCGGCTTCCAGCGGATCTTGCCGCTGTCCAATCGCTGCTGCGCCCGATGCCATGCCTCCAGGTCGCTGAAAGCCCTGCCGAGCGCCTAAACGTTGTTCCACCCGCCCTTTGCATGTTGCCTCTCCTCAATTCCGGACTCATCCCGATCACGCACACACAGAGACAGACAGACAAGCCGCATCGTCTCCCCTCCTCCAGCTACTCTCTTTCTGATACCGAGGCTGCCATTCGCTCGTAAACAGCGAGTTGGTGGGCGCATTTTGGTGCCCTTCGGAAGTGGCGCTTGTTCTTCAGCTGTGTGCCGCATCTCTCGGCCGATATACGACTTGGAATCCTGGAGCAGAGTCAACTGGCCTCAACCGGGCTGAAGCGATTTGGATTGGCCTCTCTCTGACTGAACTGTGGGAGACGGGTATTCTACCGCTCCCCCGTTCCCGCAGGGTGCCTGTAGCCGCTCTGTTCGCTGCTCCTCAAGCTCGACATGTCGAATTGAGATCTGTCCCTTTGCCTGTCCGAGTTCTCATCGCCCTGGTAGAGGCTACAGGTGGACGGCGTTGATTGACGGACGGTTTTCGGCTTCGGAATACCGGTATACGAGACCCGGACCATGACAACAGCGATCGTTGTGGTTTTTCACTCTCTGGAGGTTTGCTGGTAAGTGCAATGGATGCCGCCGAAGCGCATTACGGACGAGGCTCGGCTGGTGCTTTGCGTGACGAGGCTCCCCAAGAGCTCGGCGAGCACCGGCCCTTTATTCGCCAGTCGCGCCATTCGTCGCAGTTCCGTTCGTCTCGACGTCAGTCACGCTCTCAGCCTCTGTGGAAGCTAGGTCTCTTCTTCTTTGTAGTGGTCGTCTCTGTGCTTGCGCTGTCTGCTGTCCCCTTCAGTCTCCAATCACTTTCTGGGGACTCTTCAGAGTCCGCACATGATGGACTTGACGATCACTACTCGCCGGAAGATCCTCATGAGGAAGATGAGCCTGATCACCATGAGGCCGAATCCGAGCCCAATGCTGGGGACGAGGACGACAGCAGCCTTGCGCCAGCCATTGTCCACTACGAAGAAGAGATGCCAAGTGTGCCTCAGCTGAGAAATGTCTCACAGTACGTCTTGTCGCCTTCGTGGGACTTTGACGCCGCTCCCACTACCAGAGAATATCATTGGACAATTGTGGATGGACGTCTGAACCCTGACGGCATCTATCGTCCCATGATACTTATCAACAATCAATTTCCCGGGCCATTGGTTGAATGCAACGAAGGCGACACCATTCGGGTCATTGTCGAGAACAAGGCCATCAACGCGACCTCGATTCACTTCCACGGTCTCTTCCAGAATGGCACCAACTCCATGGATGGCGCTGTAGGCATTACCCAATGTCCCATTGCGCCCAACTCGACTTTCACCTATGAGTTCCAAGTCCAGAATCAGTCGGGCACTTACTGGTATCATGCCCATCACAGTGCTCAGGCATCCGATGGCCTGCTCGGGCCAGTCGTCGTTCACTCCAAAGAAGAGCGAACCGTTTTGCAGAAGCTGGAATACGCTTCTGACAGGATAATCATGGTTCAGGATCATTACCATAATCTTACCTCGGAGCTGTTGATGGACTATCTGCAGCCTGATAGGGACAATGATGAGCCCGTCCCGGACAATGGCCTGATTAACGGGCGCGGCTTGCGTGACTGCAAAGACTTTCCGGGCTGGGACTGTGATACCACCAATGTCTCAACCCCAACCCTTGACCTTGCAGCCGGCCAGCGGCATCGACTACGCATCATCAACGTCGGCGCCTTTGCCGAGTTTCAAATTCAGTTCGACGAGCATCCCTTCTACGTCACGGAGGTCGATGGCACCGACGTGTTGCCCGAGCCATTTCATCGCCTCAACATCCTCCCGGCTCAGCGGTACAGCGTCATCGTGGAAACCAATGTCAGCACCGCCGATGCCTTCTGGATGAGGGCCCGGATGGTGACACATTGCTTCACCACCAAGAACCGGCTGCTGAAGCCTGAGATGCGAGCCGTCCTGCGCTACAATTCTCCCGGGGATACAGCCTCAGACAAGGTAGACAAAGAACCGACCAGCAAAGACTGGCCCGAGGCTATTGAGGTCATATGCCGCGACCTCAACGTTTCCGCCCTGCATCCGGTCATCCCCATGACGCCGCCTCCCGCAGACAAGTACATGCGCTTCGACGCAAGCTTCATGATTGGCGACTGGCGTCTTTCACGCGGCTTCTTCAACCAATCGACCTGGCACCACAACGCCACCCGACCCTCGCTGCACCGCTTCCTCGATGCCCACTCCAACCTCACCACGCTCAAGTCACCCATCGCCGTCAACAGCCTAGCCTTTGACTCCACAAAGGAGCTCGTCATCCAAACAGAAGGCATCCGCACCATCGACCTGGCCATCAACAACTTCGACGACGGCTCACACCCGTTCCACCTCCACGGCCACAAATTCTTCGTCCTCTACCAAGCACGGAGCGGATACCCCCCCTCCGAGGCAGACTTCCCTGCCTTCGTCAAGGAGCTTGACTTGGAGAACAACCCTCTCCGGCGGGATACCATCACCGTGGAGGGCTACAGCTGGGCCGTCATCCGCGTCGTGCTGGACAACCCCGGCATGTGGGCTCTGCACTGCCACAACATGTGGCATGCCGAGGCCGGCATGGTCATGCAGCTGCTTGTGAGGAGCGATGTCGTCCGGACTTGGGAGGTGAGCGATCGGGAGAGGGCTGTTTGTGGGCTTGAGGGGGTTACGACGGGTATGAGACCCGATGACAGTATCTGGTTTGGCAATTTTGGCAAGGGGTGAGGATGATGGATGACATCTATGGGGCGTCGGAAAGGAGTATGTGTAAAGGAGCATTTACAAGGACATGTTTGCAAATAATGGAGGAACCATGCTGAGGTGAGATGAAATGCTGGATATTTGTATGCTGTATATAGGCACTGCCGTATGTATTGTTATCAGATCTATATGTATGAGCACCGAGGAAGCCTCAACTCGGCACCATATTAAACACTAAGGAAATAGGGAAGTTAAGAAACACATAGAAAAGAGACACTGTCAAGAAAATAGGAAAATCGATGCCGCTTGTGAGTACAACACAAGGCAGTATATCTTTGTTTGTTTCTTGTTTGTTTGTTTTGATATAGGTAAACCAGGAAAAAACAGCTGATGCCGCTCAGGCTACCTATAGGTATGACAAAAGAGCCGCCCTTCTATAAACCGACCCCACGCCGCCTTCCAAAACTATGATCCGCTGGAGTCCAAACGGACCAGCCCTTCCTGTCTAAATGGTGGGAAAAAAAAAGAAAATCTATCCTCGTTTATTCTTCAGTTTCCCTCTTTCGCAGAGCTCAGAGGCTCAGCTCAGGAGCTGTTCCACTTGGAACAAGAGTCCAGTGCGTCTCTCAACGTGGCAGTGCCTCCGATCAGCTTGGTGTGTCAACAAAGCAGAAGGATGCAGGCAAAAAGAGCAACACACGGCAGTCTGCCGCAAAATGACTGCATGTAAACGCCTGCAAGCCTGGAAATGTAAAGTGACAGTAGAGAGACAACTCGAAATAGGTGGGGGCCGTCGACAAAGGGAATTAATGAAACATATATAAAAACACAATCAAAATCAAAATAGCGAGTAGAGAGATTGCCTACCCCCTTCCCTGGCCATGGTCCCCCAGGGGTGATGTAACGCCATGAAATCAGAAATCAAACAATGGAAATCGAACAAACAGGACGCCCTTGTGGCCAAATGCCGAGACTTGCCATGCTTTGCGGAGGCAACAGAAAACAAGGAACTTGGTCAGTTGTCGCACGGAGTCTGGCGAGTGACAACGTCAGAAAGCTTGCAACAGGCGGCTGAGACAAATAAAAATCAGTGTGGTATATGCAACTCTCGTGGACAGGTTTTGCAGGATATGGTAGCTGAGCCCGGTTCTCGACAATTTCCAGCCTATCTGCTATACTCTTCGTGCAATGTTCACTCCCGGGTTGACAAAAGCACGGGAGGCAATGTCGCTGAATCGACGCACCACGTTGGTCGTTCCGCCGGTGACTTGGGATTCGTCAAGAAGGAACTTGGACGCGACGGCCAGCCGATTCTTTGGGTCTGACTCATCCAGATGCTGAGGGATAGTAGCTGCGTATCCGGCATCAAAGTTGGGCGCAAGCTCGCGGACGACGGCGATCGAGTAGAGAACGTCGCGGTTCTCGCGGCCGTCGAGAAGATGGCGCATCCGTGCCAAAACGTCTTCCCTAGCCTTGACACTGCTGGGCGAATTCGGGTTGTCCCTCCTACGGACAAACTCGGCCAGACTGTACCAGAAGTCGAACTGGCGCATGCGGTGGTGATCTCCATCAGCCACCGGGGGGGAAAGAGGGTTGCTCAGCAGCTCGTCACCGCAGAGCAAGGCTTCAACAACATGAAGGCGGTTTCTGGCTTCGATGGGGTCATTGTCGGGCGGCAGGTTCAGACGCATGGAGTTGTTTCCCCTCTCGGGAATCTGATATGCCGTACAAGCCAGCTCCCACACAATCCTGGTTTCCAGAACGCCCGAATAGGCCATCTGGGTGTGGTCATTGGCCTTGACTCCCTCGAGGATCTTGAGGAACGTTGCCATGTGCTCAATCAGGTTGGCATCTTTGGGGAAGGTCATTTTGCCGGTTTCGGTGAAGTAGTACCAGCTCGTCTCGAAGAAAGCGCTGAGGCCGCCGGCGTACATCTCATGGTAGACCTTTGTGATCTCATTGAAAGTCTCTTCAGTATGACTGATCTGCTGAACGGGTGCAGGCGGGCCAAGCAGGTCGATGATCTCGTCGATTCTCATCTTCTTGGCTGCAAAATGCCGTCCGGGTTAGCATTCTAGACTGGATGTGTGTGACCACAAAAACAAATGAGAGAGAGAAACCAAAGCAGCAGACAAGAGCAGGGTCAGTCTTACCTCGTAGATAGCCGTTATCGGAGCCCGAAAGCGACATCTGGTGGTTGGTCGTGCCAGACATGCTGCGCACAGCAGGGTCGATGTTGGACGAGTAGCCGTAGCCGTACTCCTGCTTGACAGAGACCGCTGAGGACGAGCCGGGGGTGGAGAGAGGCGGGTAGCTGTTGGGAGGGATCGACGGCGTGCTGGGGGCTGAGCCTGTCGCATAGACGCTCGGCAGCATCGGCGATTGGCTGCCGTACGAATTAACCAGACGCGGCGTCGACGGGCCAACAGTGGACGAGGCCAGGCCGGAGGGTTCGGTAGCCGGCGAGAGGCTGCTGGAGGCGGGCTGCACGCTGCCGCTGGTCGGGGTGCCGGCCTGCTGTCGGAAGATGGGGTCGTAGCCGAGGCACTCGCGCTTCGATTTCCTGCAGTTGTTGCAGGTGGGATGCGTCTCGTCGCACTGCAAGGACAGATTGAGGTCAATGGAAAGGCCTGTAGCAGGTGGGGCGCATGCAGCAGAGGAGCGGCTCAAGGCGACGAGGCTAGTCGAAGCGACGATAATGCAGAAAAGGGGAGGAAGAAGCAGAGCTGGAATGCGAGCGACAGGCGGTGAGGCCGAAGAGCGGAGAGCGGAGGGGAAGAAGAGCTGAGGCTGTCGACGGCCGTTGCGAGAGCTGTGACCAGATGGCCAGTGCAAGCAGGGAAGAGTGAGTTGAGTGAGGTTCTGCCGAGTCTGACGCTCGCGTTGGAGTTTTTTTTTTAGCGGCGCGCGCCACGGGTCTCAAAACGGTTCCTCAGCTCAGCTCCAGACAGCTTCAGCTCTAGCAGGGGCCGCTTTTTTTTTCCTCTCCGCCTCTCTCTATCGCGCTGCAGCTGCACGCGGGACAAGAAGAGGAACAAAGGATAAGGTAGTAGAGAGATTGAAGGTGAGGGGGGAAAGGGCAGCAGAAGTAATCGTATTGGTGAAGAAAAAACAGTTCATGTAGGGAGTGGGTGTTGCATATGCGCACCTTGATTCGTCGCTTGCGGCACGTCAAGCAGCCTGTCTTTGTTCGTCGCTTGATTTCCTACGTGCCACCACGTCAGCTCTCGTCCTCATGGCCGTCCAATTGCTGCTGCCGCGGGGCCAATTGGACCCCAGCAGGCCTGCAATGTCGTAAAGAAGCAGTGGCATACCTTCTTGGGCCCCCGGTGGTTGATTAAGCGAGGGTCGTGCGGGAGAGGATATCGCGCCAGGGCATCTTGCGGGAAGCCGTAGTTGGAAGGGAGAGGCGTCGAATGGCTGGCAAAGTAGGGAGGGGTCGGCGAGACGGAAGTAAGGGGCATGCTCATGCTCATGGACATGGAATGGTGAGGCATGGGAGGGACCGACTGCTGTGACATGGCGTCGATAGTGCGCATGCTGGGCAGTGACATCTGCGGAGTGCCCACGGGGCTCACGCGGTATGCATCGCCCTGCTGAGCTGAGACTGTGGAATATGAGGCGTATTGAGTGGTCGGGAGGCTGGATTGGGGAGTGTAGATGGGCGACGGGGAGCTGGTGGCATAGCCGGCATGCAGGCCGTGGAGAGCGGGCGGTCGATGGCTGGCCATGTCGGACTCGGGCTCGGGCTCGGGCTTGGGGGTTGCGGCGGTGGACGCGGACTCGGACACCCGATTGTCGCCGTTCTTCTGAGGAGACGGCTGCTGCTGAGGAGACGGGTTATGTGGCAGAGGGGACGGGTTCTGCCGCTTGGGGGACGGATGCGGCTGAGGCGACGGATATTGCTGAGGCTGAGGCTGCGGCTCGTGCTGCTGCTGCTGCTCTTCCTCCTGTTTCTGTTGTTCCTGATGTTTCTTCTGTTGCAGATCCTCTCGCGGCTCCTCTTTCAGCTGCTGCTGCTGCTGCTGGGTGGGATGCTGGTGTGGCTGCTCGTCCGTCACCGGCGGTTGCTGCTCTTGCTTCGGTTCCTGCGAGTGCGGCGCAGCGGCGGCAACTGTTGGAGTCGAGTTTGAGGCGCTGACCTGCGTGAGCTGTGGATTGGGGGAGAGTTCTTTTGTTGCGGAGGAAGCAGAAGCAGAGGCAGAGGCAGAAGCAGGTCGAGGAGTAGGAGGTCGAGGAGCAGCGTCGTTGGAGACGGCGACAAAAGACTTGTCGTCTCCCGAATCGTCTGGAACCATTTTCTACGTCTGTAATTAGAATATTATGGAGCGGCGGACATGGATGGCGTTAACCGCGAACAAGGGGACGCGACCCCGGCCGCGGTGAAGCGAACAGGAGAGGGAGGGCTGGGCTGGACGGCTCTAGTCGTGGAGAAGAGATTGTGTGGTTTGTGATGTGCAGGCGCGGATGCAAAATTGTGAGGTCTGGAGCTTCTACCAGGAGTCAAGGCGGTGCAAGGCAGGGTGAGCGTAAAAGGTACCTGGCCGCCTAGCGCCGGCCGGGCTGGGTGCCAAGTACCGGAACCCTTCCTCCACTCCACTAGCACTCGACTGCACAGGAGGTCCAGGGGGAGGGGGGCACAGGAGAGGCCACTGAGGAGAGCGCGCTAAAGCTGCCGCGGCAGCAGTCGCTGGCTCGTACTGGTACTTCAGAGTCCCTGTACCTTGCCGGCAGCTGCGCGCATGCAGTCGGCCCGCCAGCAGAGGCCGGCACTCCCAAACTCCTCAGCAATGGACGGGAACAGGGAACTCCTCACCAACTGAAGCTGCCACCAGAACCTCAGCGGTCTTCGCCCAGGACCAGCCCTCCGGCACATTGTTTGGCACCTCAGCCTCCCGGTACCGGTCCCAGCACCTGACCCTTCGACTTCCAATGGAACTGAATCCCTTTGGCTGAGGCCCTGACTCTTAGCGGTTGGCGGCAGGGCCCCCCGGCTAGGCTTATGAGTCGGCTAGCGCAATGAAGCTCCTGGGCCAACTCCCGGAAGCTCCTCCGTTCAAGACAAGATGAACCAGACGGGATGCTGAATGAGACGCTGAAAGGCGGTGATTTCTTCAGCAATGCCGGTACAAGCTGCTCTGCAACGACAATGGCGCTTATCAAGTGTCTTCATACGTATACGAGTTGCCTACTCGGGTACTATACTTTCGAATACCTGTCTGAACAAGTCCTACCTACATGTACCTGGCTGGCTCTGGCAAGGGGTTGATCTTGAACCGACTTCAGTCGTGAGAATCCATCAATGGCAAAGGACAAGCAAACAGGTCATCTAGTACATGAACAGCCACTGGCAAACCCTCAGACGCAGCCAGATGGAGTCGGACGCAGAGGCAACCCACAAGCTGGAGCATCCCTCCCGTCCACTCAGTCAACCAGTCAATACTCGTATGGCGAGTAATAAATAGCCCACTTCCAGCTTGCATGCGTGTACAGCTAATAATGGGTGCAGATGGGTAGCACTTGTCGTCGTGGCTGGAGAACGGGGGACCAGCACTGGCATTTCCCTCATGCTTGCCTGTGTGCTCCTTCGTATCTATGCGTGTTCCTCTTCAACTCGTATCTCCTTGGTACCAAGGCCGTCTTTCAAGCTCCCTGCTAACGGACGAAGCTTGCACGCGCCGATGGTGACTCGTTTGCAGGTTCAGCAGCATGTTGTCCCAGGTGCGTATGCACACACACGCCTGGCCCGTACATATACATGGCGCTGATGCTTGTCTGTGATGGTGCCCGGTAGGGCGGCTCGGACTGCCGACCCGGTCCAATCGATTCTCGAGGTGCATCGGCAACCCTGGAGATCTATTGGCTTCGCCCTTATTACTACTACTACCACCGCACGCACTCGACGCAGGCGCAGATGCGAGGTACTCACTCTACCCTCTGTGCGGCTGTTCTGAGTTGTGATATTGGACGCCATGGCAGGATAGACGCCCATAGGGGTGCACGTACCAGGCCGCCACAGCTTTGATTCAGCACACGACACCTTTCGCAGCTCTGGGATGGAGAGGATCATGTTACTCGTCATTTTTCCATTCACAAACCGACAGGCACCTCATACAGAGGGAAGCAATCAAGGCTTCAACCAGGCGCGCCCTCAGGGGTCGTCGTTGCCGTCCGACGAGACACGTGCCGCCATTAGGTAAGATGACCTCGACGGTTCTAGGCCAAACTGCCTGCCTCGACTGGATAAGATACATACCTTCAATGGTTACATGCTTCATACATGCGTCCTCCATGCTCGCACACGCTGTACAGAGCATCGCAGGCCACCGACCATCCAGGGCCCAGGTCGACTACTCAAGACCGAGCTGGACAGAGCACGCCTCCAGACGCCGGCGGGGAGCGTGCATTGCTAGCACCAGGTACGCTCGACACCGCCGAGACAGGCGGGCTTCTTCCCGTCTTCTGACTCTCGCGAACCAGCATTCGCCTATGCTAGTCCTCTGGCTAGTGGTACGGAGCAGCATACTATCCTGCTGGGACAGTGTCTCAGACGTGGAACCTCTTGGTTCAACGGCCGCATCCCCCATAGGCAGGCAGGACGAAGAGGTGGCCGATAACGCCCACCCGTGGATAAGATCGATGGGGACGCAGATTGGCGAGCGATAAAATACGAGCCGTCGAAGAGACTTGGCTGGCCAGAGATACGAGTAACTGGTCATATGTTGCCGGCCTGTTTCCGACTTTGGGCCACACGAATGCAACAGCAAATCGACGCAGCACAGCACGGCACGATGAGCGGCGGTCCAGATACATGTAGGTGGGCGCGCAATTCCCAGCAGCTCCCGTGACGATCGACTGAACTTGTATGCCGAGAAAAGCCAGGTGGTGCAGCAAGAAGCAGGGCAAGCCATCATGAGTGCACTGAGAGTGAGTAGCGTTCTTACTCCGTACCATCGCCGCATCTGATGCTGCACTGCTGCAGAGAGCCTCAGGCGGATGCTACGACGACGACATGCCACCACGGTGCTAAATCATCAACTACTCCGCAGTAGTCTTCGGATCACTAGGCCGGATGGAAAGTAGCGTGGAGACAAGGGCAAGCCAGGTCATAAACGGTGAGAGCTGCATGGTGCTGTACGTGTGTATGTGGCCACTGACCTTGTGCATGCATACATGTACTGCACATGCCACCACCACCGCATGCTATCCGCGAGTCCTGTTTGATACTCCTGCCTGGATGGATTCTCCGTACCGCAGCCCCTGAAGGCGCTCACCGATCACAGCCATTCGACGAGGGGTATCGAGCCCGCATCCAGATCGATACTGCAGCCTCTGGTCTCGAATATCCCCGAGAACGATGCCTGCAGCCATTTTGGGGAGCCAATCGCACTCTCCTCGCTACCAACCTAGCTTCAACCGCCGAGCCCGCGTCCGCATCTCACTCCGAGGCTCGATAGACAGGCGAGACAATCGAGCCGCCAGTTTGATGAGAAAAGGGAGCTCACCGAACCTTCCAAGAAACCTTGTCGCCGCCTTTTGACCCGTGTTCAATCATGCTATCCCGGACATGTGCCATCAATTTGACCCTGCGGCTGCTTGCCTATGCTACCTACTCACTCCATATACTATGTCCTCCTACATGCATGTTCGGGGTTGACTTCCGGTGGATCTTGCTGCCTCTTGTTCGGCATGCAGCGTCTCCCGCGGCCCTTCATCCATGCGTTGTACAATGGAGAAGCAATGAGGACTACTACTGTCTACTTACGATACAAACACTCCGTGATGCTACCTTGTTGTAAGTCTCAGCCCTCATTTTGGGGAACCCGCTGGTGCGGAGCGCAGTAATATGACAAACACCCATCGCTTGACACTAACTGGTGTATTCTTAGCAACCCAATCATTACCGTGTCCATACCTACAATTACAGCAGAGGCGCTCTCATAGGCTGGCGCCGAACGCTGAACTGGCTCCAAGGGAGAGATGAGCCCATAGCTGAGCAACCTTGCCCTGGACCGCGCAATTTCATTAGTGGCTCAGCAGCAGGCAGCCGGCCAGCCACCAGCTTGGAATAAGTTCCTTTCACATGATTGGGGAGTGACTGGATCTGATCCTTGGGTGAGAGGGGAAAAGGGAAGTCGAAATCATAAGAAAAAGCAAAGAAAGAGGAAAGGAAAAAGCAAGCAAACATGGCCTGACAACGATGGGAGTAGAAGTACACTACCTAGCCCCCCAGACGGAGCTCATTGACCAGGGTACTAAAGAACAGCATGCTCCCTTGGCGAAGCGAAAGGGGACCATCAGCCACATGGATAGCCGCAAGCCGCGCTGCTGCAGTTGCTCCGCATTCTCCTCCTCTACACCCCATCACGGCTGTCCTGATGTGTGCGGACGCCCAGGCCGAGAGTCTCGGAGAGATCGACACGCTATGCCTGCTCTTCTCAGCTCATCATGCCATCATTGGTGCGAGTGAGCGTCTCTACGCAATGTCGATGCTGGCAGCTTTCGTTACATGTGATTGATATTCACATCAAGAGGAAACTCGGGCACCGCCTCAGCACCAGTGTCTCCCTCCCCTCTTCGCCCCAATCATGCGTCGCCAAGCAGCAGCCCAAGGTTTCTCCTCCGCCTGGCTCTCAGCGTGAGCCTTGGCAAGCCATCAAAAGGGACGATAGCCGTTCAGGCAGCTACTCCTTGCATCAGCTTTGGCATGGCCGGTAACAGACCTGGCGATGCTCCTCGTGGAGGGGTCCCAAAAGCGCTGCGACGCTTGCATTCAACGCTCAGGCGCCACCGCGCCCGGAAGCCCAAGTGCACGAAGTACGCAGACCTCCAGGCATCTGCTCCGTACATACGGAGTACAGCGGAATGCGTTCCCGTCACCGCTGCAGGGATCCAGGCCGGCTGAGAGGGGTGCTGCAGCAGCACGTCGCCAGCATCCGCGGTCGAGATAGACGTGGTAATGCTACGTCGTTGCCTCTTAGTGGTTTCCGTCTTTTTAGCCTACAGCCCTCTCCAAGCAGGCTAAGTGAGACTCGCAGACGACCGCATCGACTATCAATGCTCCATGCCATCTCGATGCATGGAGGATCTAGCCGCATGACTTAGCTTGCCGGCTCTGCGATTCCCTCTTCCAGCTCCACAAGGCGAGAGCAAGATGTCTCTCTGAAAGGAGCCGGTCCATCGTGTGCCTGGTGGCATCCGACGCCAGAGGCAGCAGCAGCTCGTGCAAGCGCTCCTGACTGTCCAAATCAATCGGAGTAATTAGCTGTACAGCCAGATAAGCGAAAACCGACGTCCCGGGCAAGGTTCTTAGTCCTCTCAAGCTCCTGGCTCCGCTGCCATTACTCATACCGTACGCAGTAGGCAGTACAGTAGGGGAGAGCCGGGCCCAAAAGTACATACCAGCAGGTGTTAGCCAGCGCTGACGGTCGGTCGAGCGTCACATTGCCAACGAAAGCTGAAGATGGCCCGGTTCTGGCCCACTCCGAAGCCTGCCGGCCTGCCCCCTATTCTCACTCCATCCGCAAAGAAGAGCACAAATACGGACTACAAGTGCCTGTATGGCTTCACACGACTGGGGCGTGCAAGTAGGGAGGACTCTAGTGCGGCAGAGGTGGCCAGCCAGAGTCGCAGCCAGGCAATCATCGTGAGACAAGGCTGCATCGTCACCGTTGCTCGGGCCTGGGGCTTTGAGACAGTCTCCTTGTCTATCTATCAAGCTCTCGACAATCACGGACGCTAACTCCGCATTATGCACTCCGCGAATAATCACCTCGCAGAAGCAACAACATCCTGCAATGTTCATCTGGTCTTCTCGGCATCAGGGGACATACATAGAAGCAGGCTCTCCAAGCCCGCCAAAGCACCGAGTCATTCAATGCCCTGTCCGTCTCGTCTCCTTTCCTCAGCAAAGGTCAGGGCGCTTGACACAGCTTGCTTCCTCTCTACCTCCCTGACCCTCGTTCCTTCTTTTCCTTCTTTCCCTTTTCCCGTTTCCCTTTTCTTCGGGGCTCCCTCCTTACTAGTACTCGCGTAGCCTCGCTACCAGTCTGGAGTGGCTGCGGCAGCCCTCCCCCCTGTTTCCCAAGGTGCGGAGATGGTGACAGGGCATCTGCAAGCAGGCATTTGTGTGCGCATGTTGGACATGGTCACGCAGTAGTATCATATCACATGCAGCCGGCTTTGGTATACACGAAGCAGTGTCACTACATGCAATACAGCTCATGCTGCCGCTACCAATACTGCATACATACATGTACGGGCAACTCCCTCTTTTGTGGCCCTGCCAGCTGCGGCCAGTGTCACTGCTACAAGGCACTCGAGACACGCACCCAAGGCGGTCGTGTTGCTCCGAGTTATTACCCATTTCTGCATTGCACTGGTAGCGTCTCTGCGGCCGTCCTATGGGATCAGATCCCATTCATTGCAAGGCGTTCGTCCAACTGCAGACGGGCATCCTACAGGTTGCAAGGCAGCTATTCTTGTATTCGTTGCTACTGCTACACACTAATACATGGATGTTCGGCCGCAGTGCTGCACCAGAGACTCCACCGTCTGCCAATCGAGTCCAGACTGCTCCGTCTCCGCGCCGCTGCTGTCTCCAATGACCATCCAAGGACTGGTGCGGCAAGCCCGCGTCTCCGTGTCAAAGGTCCACGCCAGGCAGCTCTTGCTATCCTGGCACTTGCTGCGGCACGCCTCTGCCGATTCGATGCTCTCCCATGTCGTCGTGTCGTCGCCCGTCGGCCCCACGTAGTCCCGCATCTGACGTACCGGCTCGCGGCCAGCGTCGTCGAGTGAAGAGGCGGCAAACAGCTGCCACAGGTCGGCCCAGAGCACTGGCTGCTGTCTGTTGGAGAGGGCCTGCCCGACGGCCTCCATGGCCCCTGGTCTGCGGAGGCCGTGAAGGGACACAATGGGCGAGCAGAAGCGGTCTCCCTTGACCCGGGCCATCGCGGGCGGCTCACCGTTGAAGTGATGGCTATACCGCTCGTCGAGATAGATCCCCAGCTTGATCAGCGCCGTGCCCACAAGGCGGTCACCCCATGTCTCGTCGAGCGAGTCGGCATATGACTGGGCGACAATGCCGGGGTTGCTGAAGAGCCGCCGCATGACCTCCTGGGACAGCACGATGCCAGACCCCCCGTGTGCGAGCCGACTCTTGTAGTCGCCCACCGCGTTGCCAATGTACTGCGGTCTGGCAGGATCCAAATGGCTCAGGAGGAGATGCAGCGAAGGCCCTATCAGAAAGGTATCGTCATCCAGGATGATGTACCACTTCTTCTGAGGCATCAGCCTGTAAGCCAACTCCATGCCCATGACGAACTTGACCGCTCAGGATGTTAGCAGATGGCCGGGATAGGGGGGGGGGGATGCCATGGGCATGTCTTTCGGGTCACTCTACCTTGAGTGCATCCAACTCCCACCCGAATTCTTGGCCAAGCTTGTTCGCCTTATCCTCGTCGGCCGAGCCTATCGCTTCCTGAAGGGAACGGTACTTGGAGAGACGGGGGTGGCCTTGAAGCGATGGACCAAGCCTGGTCTCCATCAGCATGTCCACGACATTGAACACGCTCGGCAGCCCATCGGCTGTCTTGTTTGTCGGCGTCCAGTCTCCGACGGCAATGAAGCTTCGATATTGCTCTCCCAGAATGTCGCCAGTGTGAGCGAAGGCTTCGAGCAAGGCGGGCAACCGATGGCGAGTGCCATAGCCTGTCTTGATGAGATAGCCGACGTCGTCGCGCAGACTCAGCGGGTATGGCGCAGGCTGTTGACGCAGCCAAGCGTCGCGATCTGTGGCTGATGCCCGGAGCGCGTTCCAGAAGCGAGAAGCATTGAAGTTGATGGAGAGTCGGATGTGAGAGTCGTGGGGAAGTAAGAGGTAAGTGGTGCTAAGAGTGAGGAAGAAACTGGCGAAGAGGAGAATGAGTCGTCGGCGAGGCTTGAGAACCATGGCGACTGGGCAGTTGTCTGGGTGCAGGCACAGCTGACTACATGTAGTGTTTGCAAGTCTCGGTCTAAAACGTTTCTACAAACACTGATAGAGGTAGAGGAGACCCAAATATCCTGAGAGTTGGCTGAGGATGCAAGTCATGAGTCGCGATGACAACTCCTCTGACAATGTGGATATGTTTGAGTGTCGTGCTCTTCGACAGCTTTCAGGGGGCTTGTTGTTTCGTCCCCTCTGTGAGTTGCGAGGACGTCCTTACAGAGATCGGCCGTTTATCTACGCCTGGGCTTCCTGGTGATTTCGGCTGGAGAGAGCCTCTCTCTTTCATCGGTTTTATGTTTTGTCGTATCGCACAAACTGACAACCGTGGCAGCATCTACATACAGAGGCAGAAGGCCATTGATTCTCAAGCTGCAACTTTTTCCAGCTGCGCCTCTTCTTTCTCTCATGAATCGTAAGGGGCTGGCTTTGCTGTGTGCGTTGCTAGTCCTAGCGGCATGATCGACGAAGCTGACGCGCCTTTGTGGGGATGCTCCTGGTGGGCTTCTTTTGCCTCTTTCTTTCTCTTGCATATCCATGGCAAAGACGTCGTTGATGATGGTTGGGCTTCTATGTGTATCTGACATTTGGAGGGATTGACTAATAGTCCGGAGCGTTGCTTCGGCATTTGGGGTTTTGCGTCATCACGCAGGAGTTGGATCTGCTTCAGCCTTGGACTGCATGACAGGTATTGATGACTGCCGAATACTGCTCATGCTTACCTACCGAAGGGCATGCGAGCAAGGTCATATTATTACGCTCCATCGTAGAAAATGTACCACCTATCGATTCTTCACCCTCAACTGAAATCATAGGCCGAGTATGAAAGTCATCACTTTCATCACCTCGGAGAAAAGGCAAGAGAAGAGAAGCCAGGATGCATCTGAAATTAAGCTTAGTCCCAGTCGAACACGAAGCATCATCACCACGCCCTGGAAGGGGATCAAAATAGAAATTATCACATGTCATGCTGCTACACAAAGTGAATAGAAGAAGACAAAATGCTTGGATGTTCCAAAGAAAGAACCCTTGACACTTTGAAGACCTTCTAGAAGAAGATTGGGCTCAATTACGCGGCAATCCGGGACGCTGGATCATGGAGGACCCATAATCATCAATCGACCTGGGCAATCTTACGGAAAAACAGAAGAGCATTTCCATGGGGTTTTTCTTAGAATGAATGGGGCACTCGGTGTGTTCCCTGGTCCGTCTTCTGCTTTTTCGGCGAAATTGAGGCTTTGTCTTTGCTTTTTTTTCCCTTATTTGCTTTTTCCTTTCTTTCCTTTTTCCTTTGCGGATATTGAGAATCTCCAATGCTCATATTGCCCGTCAAAGTCCTACATAGGTAGTTACCCCATGCCTACCCAATCAAACAAGATTCACACCAATATCACAGCAAATCAACTTGAACCAAGTCAAATGACAACCACCGCCGCGAGCTTTATATAGAATGCTGCGTATGCTACTTTGAATAACTATTTACTACTGCTACACGTAAGTACCTGTACTCTCTTCCTTACAAACGGATAATGTACCCTGCTCACATCACAAAGGTGCCAGGCTCGTACCTACTATACTCCCCCCATCACCCCCTTATTCCCACTCGCTCTCCTATTTCCAAACAAACTCTCTCTCCTCGACCAGATCCGCCACCATGTGTTCAACGTGGTTCTTTTTTTCCGCAGCCAAGAAATAAGCGAAGAGCGTTCTAGTCCAGGGATGTTTCTTTTTTGGGTACTTTTCCCCCCTTTGCGACTGTTCTCCAATACTACAGATTCCAATGATCAAGAAAGCTTTTCATTGAGGAAGAAAGTGAAAAGCCAAGGATTGAGCAACGCCATACAATGCATCAAGCACAAATAGTATAGAAGAAAGAGAAAAAGAGAAGAGAAAAAAGGCAACGTTTCCATCGTAATCACTTCGTAAGAACAAGCCGTTCAGGAACGACAAAATGGGGATAGACGTTGATGAGGCAGAAACAAAGCTGCTTTCCTGAGAGCAGAACGAGCACTTCACTCTTCCGGCTCCAGTTCGTAGAACAGGAGATAGACTTCCTTCTGCATGCCCAGCACCTCGCTTGTCTTGGCCTCGCGCACCTTCTCGTCGCTCACTCTCCACCACTTGTCCGCTGGCCTTCGCTTCTTAGGTCGCGGCTGAGGCTTGCCAACAGCCAGGGTGCTGGGTGAAGAGGATCCGTTCAGGCTTGCTCTCGGGGGAGCGAGCCTGGACAGCGCTGACTTGGTAGATGCGGTGATGGATCGGAGGCTGCTCGTCTCGCCGTCTCGATCTTTGCCGTTCACGAGAGGGTTGGGCAGGTCGACAGGGACGCTTCGAGGGGGTGCTCCCGTGGATTCCAGCGATGGCGTAGAGGGAGTCGTGTCTGAGGATGGCGACAGCAGATCCGGAGTCGAGATCGACGGGCTGTCAGATCGGAGGGCTGAGATCTGAGGAGTGGAGATGGGCGTCGGTGTCTTGCTATATATGTCGGATGGCTGAAACGGATTGATGTTTGCATACGGAGACGGTGTGTTTTGCCGCCTGAACGCTTCGTAGTGGCCGCTGTTGTGGCCTCCTCGATGTGTTACGACGCCGAGGAGCTTGTACTTGCGCTGCTTCATGACGCTTCCCAGCGGCAGCTGCTCGGGGAAGGAGACCTTGGCCGAGTTCTTTTGCGTGATCTGCCCGATGCCGTAGATGGATCGGGAGAGGTGGATGGCCAAGATTTTGGGAAACGTGGATATGCGCGTCGTCTTGGCGATCTTCCTCTTGGGCGCATATCGAATGTCGCCGAGCTCCACGTCCTCGGGCGGCCGTTCCGGGTCGGTCTCTATCGCCGCCTGGAGCTTCTGGATGCTCTCCTGGGCCACCGCCTTGAAGCTGTCGGACGTCGACTTGGCCGCTTCCTGCTCGAGGTTGTTCTTGGTCTGCACCAGCCGACACATTTCGCACTTGAAGTCGTCGATATATTCCGTCTTAAAAATGCCGTCGAAGCATGCGTTTAGTGTCGTGGACGAGACCTGCGGGACTGCCAGCGTCAGGGTGCAGAAGGTCTCCTCTCTCGGCTTGGTGGTGTAGCCGCAGGTCTGGCATTGAATGTGCGACTCATATTTGCCCTCGAGCGGGAACCCTTCCTCAAGCTCCGGCGGAGCCTGGATCTCGCGAACCGCCCGCTGCACCTCCGCCAGATCAACAGTGATGGGAATCTGGGTGCCAGAGGCAGAAGCCTCCGTGCCGTCAGGGTTCTCGGCAGCATCATCCGACCTGTCCGTTTCGTTGCCGTCCTTAGCTGGGTTCGACTCGGCGGCGAGTGCGGCAAGGCCCTGTCTCCGAGCATGTAGACGCGCGCGCTGGCCGGCGTGGTATTCGTCCTTGAGCCTCTCCGCTACAATCTGCAGGAACTCTTGCGCATCCTGCTGCTGCCTGCTGATGCGCTGCTTGAACGCCATCTCCAGCACCTTGACGAAGGGAAAGGGCGAAATGGCCTTTTTCGAAATGGGCCGCTCGTTAAGCGCGTCCAGCATCTCCTTCAACCCGTACGTCACCAGCCCATCCTGGAGGCCCTGCAGCTTCCACTGCGCAAGCTCTTTTCCATCCAGGGGCTGCACCAGGTGTGCGTATACGGACGGGTCCTCGATTCGGCGGCGGTGCGTCTCACGGATCAGGTACACGCGCAGCTCGGGCAAGCCGGCCAGCGCCTGCAGCACCGAGTTGATGAAGCAGTCGTTGGCCTGGTTGCGCAGCCCGACGATGGTCTTCTTGCGCGAGCTGGTGGTGTCGTGGTCGATGGTGAAGGTCGGGCCGAAGACGTAGAAGAGCGCTGCCGCGGCGAGGGACGCCCCGGCGGCGTACGAAACAACAGACGTCGTCTTATCCGGCATTGCTGAAGGTTCGCGGGATCGTGGGGGAGAGCAGCAGCGCGGAAGCCTCGGGTTGACGGGCGAGATGCGGAGAAGCGGATTGGATGCGACACGCCGTCGACCAGGAGACTGATTGCCCGACCTAAGTGGAAAAAACGGGGGAGAAAAACACAGGCTCCCTGCTCGCCCGCACGCACAGGGCAGACGGAGATGCGGGCTCGGCGTTCACTTGGAGCAGTGACAGACGGCGGGCAGTGACGGCATTGGAGGAAGACTTTTTGCGTGGTGAAGAGGAGCACGAGAACAATTGTCTGACAGCCGGCGCATCCAGCCTCGTCTCTTGTGGCCGGGCTAGCTCCCGAGGCTGTGCACCAAAACAAAGAGGAAAAATCAGAGAAGAACAGTGTAGGGAGAACCCGTCACGAAGCCGGTCCAATGGTTCTCTTTCGGCTCCGCAAAATTGGTAGAGGCTACTTTGTACCCTCATACCTTCAATTTGGTGCCTCGATCCAATGATCAAGGCGGCCGTACCAATTGCTTCGTGCCTGGGGAAGCCATCGGGTACCGAAGCACTCCGACTCCGCCTCTGCCTCACGATCTCGACAAGCGGGGAAGGCCCCGGATTCTGGGCCCAAAAGAAGGCTTCTTGCAGCACAAGTCTGAAGTAGTGCTTTGTATAAGCCCTAGAGTATGGAGTACCTGATGTGGTATTCCGTGGCGTCCCGCGTTTGTCTGTCTCTCTGCCTGGCCTTGGTTTAGGCGCGAAGTCGGCCGAGTCGAATCGAATCCCTCGTGGGCGCCAGTACGGAGAGGCTCGTCTCTCGGCGAATCGAAGGGCAGCAAAATGGTGGAGATTCGCTCATTCTCCCTCGGGGTCCCCCGATTTTCGGGTCCGGCAGGGGCGGGTTGGTTCGTGTGTGCGCGTTTCGTTTGTTGGTTGGCGGTGCCTGGGGCTATGTAAAGAAGGGCTGAGATCAAATGCGACGCTGCGATGGATGCCGAGCCGCGGTTGAGCCGCCTTGGGGTCCTTGTACGAATACGACTTACCCTGGACATTGAACATGAGAATTCGAAAAGCGAAAGACAATAAGTATTATTTCAGTTGCCAACTGGCGGGTGTATCTGTTCATCTGCTTGCCGCTATCAGACTGTGATTAGGTTCTGGGACCGTCAACTGAGGATCAGGTGGCTAAGGTACCTTCAACAAGGATAAGGTAGAGAGGGACATGGATAACGCGCTTTGTCAACTGGCCATAACGCATGCCCTCCTGAATCACTTCGGTCTGACCTAAAAAGCGACTATAACTACCTATACGTATCCCCTCTCTACAGAAAATATCCTACTTGTACATCCCTCTAGTGATAGTAAGGTAGAGTTCTATGACCTGAGTGGAGGAGGTAGTGAGGAGGAACCTGTGGCCCTATTTGTCTTTCTTTTCCTCCCTCTGCTTTCCCCTCCCCTTCTCTTACTCATCAGGGGCATCACATAGCTTGTTGGGCTGTACCGGTCAAACTGACTACGGCGACGGTGCTGATGATTGACATAAAACAAAACTATCCGTCACGAAAAGAGCACTGAAACTGCTCATCTACGCTACCGCTTACACAAGGCATCTAAGACGGTGCCGCCGAGAAGATCCTCTTCAAGTTCATTGCCTTCTCCGTAGCCGGCGGAGGAACCAAAACAATACTGTCAGGATCTTCCTTTGGCTTCCACTCGCCTTGATTTCTATAATGCTCCTTAATCTCCAAATAGACATACGTCTTCTGCGTCACTTGGCTGACCACGACGCCGCTGAGGATGAAGCTGATCTCGCTGCAGCTCGACACGGGCACGTAACCGCGTCTGCTGCGCGGAACCATGCGGAGGGTCATGCCCGTCACTTTTTCATCCGTGGTCTCCAGGTCAACCATGACATTGAACCTGATGTTGGATGTCATTTCTGCTCCACTGCCTTTGTACGTTGCCATGAGGACGCGTGGAAACTGCTGTGGTGTGCCGAAGGGGACCTTGATCGTGAGTTCCTCCAGCTTATAATCGCCGGCTGTGTAAGGCTCCAGATTGATGCGGAAAATGAGATCTTGTGCGACGTCCGTTGCGACGATGGTGTTCGACGATGGCGTTTCAGTGGATGAAACCTTGTAGTAGAAGACGGGCCTCGTAGAGTAGAACTGAGAGGGCTTTTGGATTGCGTGAGAGGGAAGAGGACGACGATGGAGGCGATGACGACGAGCCCACTCAGGGAGAGGCGCATCGCTTGGCGAGACTTCTGGGTCTATTTCGACCTCGTCTCCGGCCTCGGTCTGCGAGAGCTTGAGCTTGAGTCGCCAAGCAACGGAACCCATCTCCGCTGCCATCAGAGCTGACGTGGCAGTGTCGTCGTCAAAGTACTTCTTATCCATCTTTTCCTGGACAGTCTTTAGGTAGTCACTTGCAAAGCTTTCCATCAACAGCCTGCGTGCCTCAATTGTAGGCGAAGACGGTGGCGTGACATCCCAGAGATAAACAGCCTCCTTGGTCTCGGGATCACTGGGCGACCATTCCTTGATGGCAATAGGAATGGTAACGTCGTCTGATCCCTCATCTGCGGTGTACGCCTTCTTATATCTAATCTGAATCTTGTCTTTCTTGAGGTCGCTGCCGGCCACAAAGGTCTGCTGGTGAGGCGGCTGAGTGAGGGCGAGTCCATTAAAGTCCGGCTCTGACGGTTCCTTTGAGAAGAGGCACAGCATGGTATCTGGGGTCACAATCTTGTGTCTCATCAGGACGGGAGGCTTGTCAGGCAATTGTTGAGGCAGAACCTCCACTTTCATGTCAGGAAACTTGACAATGAGATTCGAGCGAATCAGACAGCCATAGACGGGTACGGGAGGCACTTCGCCGCCGTGCTCAGCCACGCCCGTTTCGTGAAACCACTTGAGGGCGCCGAAGATGGCATCGCGAACTTTGTCGTTGTCCTGATCGATGTAATTCGACAAACTCAGCGCTCCATCAAGCAGAGCGTCCATCCAGCGCCAGTCAATCCGGAAGAAGCGCATGCTCTCCAGAGGAAGAGCGCTGATGTCCGGGATCAGATAGTGGAAAGGGATGTTTTCCAGCACTTGCTTGTCGAGAATGAACTTCAGCAATGCCATCCAGTCGGGAGAATAGGGAGTGTTGAACTCGTTGTACGGCACGTCGGATGGCTCGTCCGGCTTCTCTGGGTTAATCGCACTGGCAATCTCCTTGGCGGCTTTGAGAAGGAACTGCGGAAGTGTGTCTTCATCGTTTGCTGCCACGCTCATGGCATGTGCCTCACGGCCACTGTACGAAAGGTCAACTGGCTCTACCGAGTGGCGCAACCATCGTCGAGAGCGAGCCTGGACGTCCGAGGTGGAAAGTTGCGCCGTCTTGTGCAGAGTCTGCAGCGCCGCAACCATGGCGGGTAGCTGTGCGATGAGTTCGCTCTTGGAACGAGTTCCGTGGGCTCTCAAAGCCGCCAGCTGGGCATAGTGCATGCCTCGGTCGTATATCTGCTTGCGGACTTGGCCAAGTCGCGAGACGAGGTCAGCATCTGAGATGGCGAGAGTACGGCCGATCTGCCAAGCTGCCGAATACGTGATATCCATCAGACCAAGCTGCTGGTCGAGGATCTGTAGGTCTGAGCCCGAAGTCGAGAGGGAGTGCCATGGGCGAGTGATGTCAGAGGGGATTTTGACAGGGATGAAAGGCCCTCGGATGAAGCATCCTGTCTGCTCTCCCGTCTGGATTCGATAGCGAGCCAGAGCGTAGCCGTCGTGCAAGCGTTGCAAAACTCGGTCTTGCACTGCTTGGGGCGCATCAGTTGGGGGATCCAGCTGGTCCAAGTTGACGTTGGAACGCAACATTGCGCTGGATCGTCCCAACGCCTCAAACATGTCCTTGATGCTGGGGGTGTCGGGTGGGAGACACGTATAGCTCCAACTGTGCAAGCTGGACATTGCCACGTATCTCTTCTCCTTGGCTACCGGCCACGGCATCACCTCGACGCCGCGGATGGAAACAAGGTGGGCAATGATTTGTGTCGGCTTGGTGATGGTAACCGGTCCGGTTCTGTGGGAAAAGACGACGCCGTAAGACGATTGATCTTCTTCTGTGGCAGTGAGGGCCGCGACAGCCATGCCTTCTGTGTTGATGTCCCTCTTGTGCGCCAAGAACCTGTACGGGCGCACATCTGCCTGAGTGGCGCTCGTATCTTCATGGCCTTTGTCGTCGTACTTGGCGAAGAGGGTTGAGAACAGCTCGTTCTTGACGAAGATGATGTCTGTTGTGGCGTCAGGCTCTGCTTCCGAAGGCTTCACAGGCGACGCTGTGTCTGTGAGCTTGGGAACATCGTTGACGAGCATGTTGACGGCCAGCGTGTTGGTTTGCTTCGCGCCATCTGCGAGCTTCTCCGTATTACGAAAGATGCTCTTGTCGCCCTGGAGATCTTCTGGCGACAGCTGTAGCTCATCTTTGGTGAAAACAAGCACCGCGAGCCAAGGGACACGGTTCCTATTCTGCTTGTAATCCGGCACATCTTCGATGTAGCTTGCTCGCCATTCCCAGGGAAACTCGGGCGTGTTGAAGACGACATGCGGCAAAGCCTCAGATCGCTCTTCGTGCCCGGGAGGTGGATAGACAGAGTGGATCTCGCCCTCTGGTATGGCAAACTCGGGAGTGTCGACGTAGAACTCTTGCGTTGCCGTCAGCTCCTTGGATTCTGACTTTGCGGTGATGTCTTGGGTGACATCGACCGTGTGTTTGCCTCCTTGCAAGCCAGGAACGACAAACGAGTGAAGCTGCTGGTGTCCTGGCTTGAGACGGCGGTCGTCTTCAAAACTGGCGAGGAAGCGCTGGACACGAGTGGCATGGCGAAATACGATGTAGCGTGCACGGGTCTCTCTCCTTCTACGGCCGGCCATTGTCACTGATGGATTTAGTGAAGCTTGAAATGACCTTGACAATGTCTGAAAGTGAAGAGTGTTGGTGAAGTAGGGGATATTGTAAAGGGCTGGAAATCGAGAGGGAAGTAAAGACTTGGGGAGAGCCCGGTAGTACCTAGAGAGCTCTGTCTCAGGCCGATATATTCTCCCCGCACCTCACGACCTTGCCCATGAGTTATGTCATCTCCGTCGTCTATTGCGGAGAACTACTTTCTGTCATCTTTTATTGACTGGTATACTACTGCATGCATGATCCTTTCGGCTATTACAAAGCGCACCGCGAAGAGGGACACATCACAGAACGACGCTCAGTCAACCCGCCCACCCCCTCCTTGTACTTCAGCTCACTACAATCACCTACTCAGCTTGGAACTATCACACTCTCAGCTCACAACTGTCGTGCAAAGCCCCCCATATTCAGCTTCCGACTTACAAGCCTCTTACATCACAAGGGAAACAGACGATTCACGAGTGAACTGTGCCTTCATTCCGTGGCATACAAAAGGCGAGCGGTTTGCCGCTCTTTTCGCTCAACAACTCAACTCAACCCAATTCTCAACAGTCTCATCACACAAACTATCTACCCACTCCAAACATCCATTCCACAATGGCGCTTGCTGCAATTATCAACCCGGTTGATACATCGGAAGCTTTGCTCTTCTACTATGAGAAGGTGATTGATAATTGGCCCTCGTGGGAGTCTTGTTTTGAGCTGACAAAAACCCAAGAACGATGACATTTACTCACTGGCTGTGCGCCATTCTTCCGTCTCTGGTGGTCGAGACCAGCTCTTTGTCAACCGCAACACCATTGGATCTCGCGTCAAGGCTCCTCCCTCAGACCTTGCCGTGACCAGCTTCCTAGGCCTGGTAAGTTCGCCGCTGCTGGTCCAGACCGGAGACTGCCACTATGTATCTGGGCCGTAGATTGACTTGACTGGCAAAAAAATAGACTCGAGTTTTCGGCATCGCCAAGATCCCCAAGGTCGTCAAGTCCGCAGATCCCGATATTGCAGTCATTTCTCAGCTCAGCCCTGTCGTCAATCCCATTGACAAAGCGAGTGTGGACAATGTCCAGCCCGGAGATTACTCCGCTGTCACGGCTTGTGGAAACGTGACCAACACTGGTTATGTGTCCTTTTTGAAGTAACTTCTTTTCCCATGACTTACCTGGCATTGGAGCGATGGTAGGCTAACCAGTTGGTCTAGGGAGATTGGCGGCGTCGTTCAATTGATCAACTACACTCTGAACAAGTCGGCGTCACCCACTAACAAGGCCGTGGACGTTACCGCCGCTGGCTACTCTAAGCTGGCCAGTATCACCGTCAAGGGCAAGCCTTGGGTCTTTTTCCAGAACAAGTCTGGGCAGTATCTGTACTACCACAACATTTTGGCAGGCGAGAGTGAGTCTTTGGAATTCATGCCGATCCGATAGGTCAACCGGCTGACAGAGTCATTCTATTAGCTCTGAAAATCCCTACCACGGGAATGGCAGAGAAGGGAACTCACCTGGCTGTCGCCCAGACCCCCGACGAGTCCATGCTCTTCCTGTACTACCGCAACCAAGATGGCAACATTGCTAGGACCTGGCTTTACAACAACAAGTGGTCTCCCGAAGAGGTTGCTGCGGAGGATGCCATGGACGACGACTCGGCCATTGCTCTGGTCGTCCACGACAAGAACCTCCACATCTACTTCTGGAACGATGGTGACATTATCCACGACGTCAACGATCTTCCCGATGACAGCCAGCTCAGCGTCAGCCACATCAATGGCCTCTATGCTTTGCCGCATAGTGAGTAACAGCCAGCTGAAGGCGATCTACACTAAGCTCTGTGCAGATCCCGCCGAGATGAGAAGCTGGCTTCTTGTGATTCGCCGGATACTGTCATTCGTTTGTGGTTGTCTAGTTTGTATTCGGTCTATAGCCAGCATCGTTGAATTGAGACGTTATTGTTTACTTTACCCGGTCGTTTCTCTTATAAGTGATTGTTAATTAGTACTACTACTACTACTAGTACCTCTGAGTCGAGGGGAGGGGATTTGCGCTAACTGCCGTCGACCCGCCGTTATCCACGCCCTAGTCCTACAATAGCTAGCATTGAGCTAGCACGCGGCTCTAGTGCCGGCAAGGAAGACGGAAGTGACGAACCAACAGCGATAATTCAGAGCTTCTAGAATTGAGCTAGCTAATTTAGTGCTAGTGCAGATCCCAACGCTCTGGTACGGGGTAAGACCAAATTTGACGACCTTTCGAGTCGTCACGGTAAAAGAGCTGTAGTACCTCCATGTACTTCTGAGCTTCGTACATGTGTACCTAAGTAGTGCAATCAATAGGCATCATGTAGGTAATATCAGTTGAGCATACGGATATGGACGAACCAGTGCAGTGAGTGGTGAGCTGTCCGGACAGAAGCGAAGCTGGAGGACTGATTAATTGGTCCTGGTTCGGCAGACGCTCAGATCCCTGCAGCGCGCCAATTGCGTCCCTCCAATGACATGACCAGCCAGCCCAGCCAGCTGTCAACATGCATGAGGCGGTGCTTCGTAGGATCAGACGCAGCTATCCCAATCCAGTGTAGGACTTTCCCATGTGGCTGGCGTAACCGCACCCGCATAAGGCAAAGCCTAACGTTTACCGGCTGCTGAAGCGGGGAGTCGCCCGATGTAACCCACAAGGCTCCGCTAGGCTGAATCCTCGCGCAGATGCAGATTGCAGATGCAAATGCCGATGATGGACGGGCGTGTTTCCGAGCTTGTGTGACCGGGAAGGGGTGTGTCGTACAAAGCTGTCAGTTAACCGCATTGGACAGGGGTGGCCGCAACTTGGCAGATAGCGAGTCTACCGTTTGACCTCTCCAACGTCCAACGTCATGTACACTATCTCCCTGTGTGTAAGTTGTACTCGTACATGCTCGTCGGCATATATAAGCTCTCTGAAATTTCTGTATTCTTCAACTTCATCAAACCAGACATTGAACAGAAGCCAATGTGAAACAGAAAACTTCATCAATAACAGTCTGCAACTCATCGCCATGGCATCTTCTCCGCTGGCGATTCCCGTCAAGCTTGACGCCTTCATCTTCAACCCGGACACATGCAATGGGACCGAGATAAACCAGGCCAAAATCTCGCCCTTGACGCAGCCCAACTACAGCTACCTGCAGATCAAAAACTTCATGCTCCAAAACGACGTGCTGCGTCCCATTGAGCTCCATGCCGCCGCCCCAGCCGACCGGAACTCGCGAATCACCGACCTTGCAACTGGCAAGACTCGCCAAGAGAGGCTGGGGGTCTACCTGCATTGGATGATTCCCCGGCCCTACCGTACGGGTGCGGCGGCTACAGGGCAGGAGTCGAACCAAAGCCGCGCTCAGCGTGGCCTGTTCACTTCGAATGTCGCCTCGGACAAGGAGGACTTGGCAACACCTCTGTTCCCCGAAACTCCGAACCGCTGGCTCGTCATCCGCAAAATTATTGGCAACGTCGAGCCGGCTGAAGCTGAGGCTAGTCTTGACCCGGTCACTGCCTGGGTGATTGAAAGTGATTGGATGAGATCCATCGACGAGATGGACGACACAGACGGCACAAAGTACGACTTGCAGGTGGATGTGTCACCGTATCTGCAGACGGGATCGACTGATGAGCCGACCATCAACGAGCAAGCTGAAGTCTTTATCGGTGGTCGAATCAAGGCAAAGGAGTGGAATGAGAGCACAAGCCAAGCCAAAAAGCGCATCTCCTTGGGAGTCCTGAACTCGAGCAACCAATTGTTTCCCGATTACATGCCCCATAACAGCAACGTCTTTTCGATGCTAGACAGCTTCGAGTATGCACCATCAAAGTACGCCACTCGCGCCGTGGCCGACTACTACGTGCTTGGGTGGCATGTAAACCCCGACGACGATCTTATGCACCTGAGTGACGACTCAGCAACCACCAGGGGTGATCGTTTACAAGCGCTCTCTACGGCTCTCAACAAGTCCGATGGCCCTGTCCCAGACGAGGTAGATGAGTGGCTGAAGTCGACTAAGAGTGGCCGGGTTCTCTGTCACGGCGCCATGTACGGAGTCCGCTGGAGTATGAAATGGGATGAGAACAACAAGCCCCGCGTCATCGCCGACGAGGTTGCTGATCAGCTACACATGAAGACGCCCATCTCAGTTGGAACGACGCCACTGGACTCGCTTCTGTCATATGTGGCTGCTCACCAGAACGGGCCTATCGAGGAGCTGCTCAACAACCTGAGCGCCTTGCTCCAGGCTCAGAGCGAGAGTATCGAGAACCGTCGGGCGGGGGCTGACGAGGTGCAGAACTACAACTTTGCCAAATTTGCAGGGGGATCTCGATATGTGTTCCAGATTGATCCCAAGAATCCCGCTGCGCCGCCCTCTGACGACGCAGCTGCTCTCCTGAAGAAGCTGAACGAGAGCCAGGCCTTGTATGATGCCTCGGCTCGACAGCTTTCCCGCGTCCAATGGAAGCACTTTGCTCTCTGGTGGCGATATGTGACAGACACTGAGCGGGACCACAGCGCCGCCAAAAGACAATACAAGAAGGAGGTTGAGGATCTCAATTGGGATTGGCATCGTTTGAATGCGGCCCTCAACAGCCAGACGAACGCCATACAGACGGCCAAAGACGACATCCAGCATAAACTCAAGCTGGAGCTCAAAGAGGCTGTTGCTCCGGTATTCAGTCAACAGAGAGACCCTACCATCTTTGTTGGAGGAGTGGAGGCTGGATGGCCTACGGACTACCTCGAAAAGCTACTGGTGCGGCTGTACTCGCAGATTGAGAAACACGCGCCGCCACCACCCGATGAAGAAGCCGATTATGGGCTTCAATGTATCCCAGATGCTCTACAAGACATGGCCAAATCACTGATTGGCGAATTTCTGCACTATGAAAAGGAGCGTCCGGTAGAGGAAGCAAGTGGTGTCGTCACATGCAAATGCAAGTCGTGCCAGTGCGCTTGTGCACTCTCTAAGAAGTTTCTGGTCAAGGAAGAGACAAAAGAGGAAGAGGACGAAGACCAAGAGGAGGAGACGGACAAGAACGTCTTTCCACCACTCTACCATGACGAAGATGGTCGTGACCTTTGGAAAAACACGCAGCCGTGGTTTCCGCTCTTCATGGAGTGGGAAGCCGAGTACTATCACATCGACTATGACAAATGGGATATGGAGGAGCGAGGCACCAGGTCGACGCAAGACAAAAAGTTCCGTTACACCGTGAAGCAGGACGACAAGCCCCTGTGGGAGTCCGCGAATGACGATCGAAGGACGATATCTGGCAGGATTCTGCTACTTCCCCAGCCCGTCTTTTCGTTGGTAGGCCAGGTTGAGCGGCTCTTCACGACCGTCCCCGAAGACCAGCTGGACCCGATCTTGCCAAAGGACGAGCGGGAGCAGGTCCTAAAGGAGCTCAAGAAGCTACCATTCGTCTCCGCACCCCTGGACGGATTTGCCAACCACCTCTTGACCCTGGCCGACGGCAGCCACTTGAAGCCCAACGTGCGGTATCCCGGACAGAAGCCGGTGCCCATGAAGGATGCATACGAGGACTCGGTTGCCATTGGACTGGGGGCGGTTGAGCTTGAACGGATGGGTGTCGAGACAGACCTCACGCCCTACGGGTCTCTTGTGAGAGTAGGGACAGTGCCGTATTCCGTCTTCAAGCCCGCCGCCCACGGCCAGTTCAAGCTGACCAAGCTCAACATCATCGACAAGTTTGGACAGGCGGCCGCCGCCATCGATCCGAAGCGACGCCATGAGGGACCGCCCCCCATCTATCCTTGCATCAGCGAGTACTACGAGCCGCAGATCTACGAGAAGAACGGCTACCCCAACGTCGTGGAGAAGCCGAAGAACAAGGGTGACTGTCAGTTTATGCAGATTCCACCCAGCATCAACCAGCCAGCCCGGCTGAATATGAACTTTGTCAAGCTCGACCATCACGATGATGAGTACCACTGGAGACCAATTACAGAGTGGGAGAACCCCATTTGGGGCTGGGTGCTGGTCAACTACGTCGACTTTGGCATCCAGTTCTTCCTCCATGACGGCACCTTTTACCGCGAAGTCCGACTAGCCGCTCCCAATAACCCCAACAAGGGTACGCAAGCCACGGACAAATGGCTTCCCTTCAAGCCCCCCGTGGACCCCCAGGAGATTCGACAGCTGGACCACTTGATCGAGCAGTTTTCGGGCGAGGGCGGGCGGGACTATCTCAACGGCTTCATGGACATGGCTACGCAAGCCACGCGGAACGCCAGCACCGTTCCGGGCGCTTATGCGCAGTGCGTCAACTCGCTAATTGGGCGGCCGCTAGCTCTTGTGAATGCAGGAATCTCGCTCGAGCTGTCGGCAGATGCTCGCACCAACCAGTCCACCCTCGGAGACCAGCCATCGAAGCGGCCCCCATACACCCTACTACCAGACCCGCATCCTGACACAAAGCAGTACGAGTTCTCCATCAAGCTTGGAGATGCAGCTCGGCCCCACGACGGATTGGTGGCGTATTTCCGAGCTCGAGACAGCCCACTTCCCGAGGACGAGTTGAAGCTGGACCAGCTGTTTACCTCGTTCAAGCCTGCTAGTCCTCATGACAAGTCGGACAAGATCAAGCCTATCGACACAGAAACGTTCCTCCGGCTCAAGCCATTCTGGCTCAACCCCAATGACTACAGTGCCCAGAAGGGGCCCCAGGCAAAGGAGGTGGAGGAGGTAGAGGAGGAAGACGAGGAGAGCAAATACACCCCACAGGAAAAGTTCACCATCGACCACAACAAGAAGCTGACAGTCGTCGGCCTCCTCATGGATCCTTTCACGCCCGTGAACGCCTACTCAAGCATCCTGCCCGTTGAGCCTCTGGCGCTATCAACTTGGACGTGGGAGTCAGCTTTGAAGAACATGACGGCCTTTTTCCACTTTGGGCCGCTGATGGTGGAGAAGGACGTCCCGGTATACAATCCGGAACGCATCCTTCTGCCCAACTATGACTTGGAGAAGCTGAAGGAGCAGAAGATTGAGGTCAAGTTGCCCTCACTGGCTGTTGCAGACTGGAGCTGGCTGCAACCCTATCTGGACCCCGAGTCTACCAGGCAAAGTAGTGACGACGATGAGGAGGTTACGGACGAGGTGTACATGGCTCTGCGCCTAGGAAAGATTGATCCCGTTCCGCAGTTTGCGCCGGGCCCTTTGACGGCGCTTGAAGGATTCCTGCAGATGGTTCATCCTATCACGGCGCCGGATGTTGAAGGTGACAAGAAACAAGCTCGCTAGGCGCTGATAAGTTGCGGGGGAGAGGGCCATGGCAGGCAGGGATTGAGAGGATACTACGTATGCGGCGTAGTACTGGTTGTGATAGCAGCAAGCAATAAAGACATATTCTGTCATATATCGTACTATTGTCCTGTGGTGAGGCTTGTAGATCGTCTAGGCTCACCGTTATCCCCAGCAAACCTGGTATCAGCTGTGGACATGCATATTGTACTACTATTGCAACCCTCGGTGTTTACTTTCAGGTGCGTCGTTGACACATCAACTGCACTAAGTGGGAGACAGGGGGCCCCTTTCAAGTTAGTGAGATTCCATGGGCTCATGCAAGGGCGGCAAGTAGACGGCTGAAGGGATCCATCGAAATGCAACCCCATGTGGGAGCTGCGGGGTGAAGAATGAGAGACAAGACGTCAGATCCCGTTAGATCCCGGATTTGGTGAGACCCTTCTTGGCAGATCATGGCTACTAGACTCGATCTGGGTGTATTCTGCAGACATGGTGCCTTGGGTGGAGGAGGAGACGATTCGCCTTGTAAGTCGTTTTGAGCGAGCTATATGCATGTATGCGTAACGAGACACTATTGGACGTCCACATTGCAGGAATCACATTGATATGGGAAGCCCGGATGCTCGGGTAAGTCCTTGCAGCAACTGTGGCTGCCTGACAGCAGGGTAGCCAAGCGACAACGAGCTGAATCCTGCGGAGTGGGTTGCGGTGCGGGGAGAGAGATGATGATACGAGAATGGGACTGAATGAGAATCATGAGAAGATCACTGGGCTTAGTTGAGTGGGCAGCTGAGGAGCGATGAGTTGACGTAGGGTTATCGCTTGAAGAACGCAGAAGCGTTCGTCATGGAGGTAGCTGGGAGGCATTGCACTTTGCCAATGGCGGTGGAATTGCGGCAATGCAGTAAGCATGAGGTAGTGAGCAAACACCTCTATCGTAGTTATTTCAATTCGAAGAGAACACAGTCTCTACAAAGAGGTCAAACACGGGAGTCCATCACCTCTTCAATTGGTGGCTCCTCTTGTGTCGTGCTCGTCTATAACCGACGCTGTAAATGGTTATACGCCGTGTCTTCGAATCGTATTACCGTACTGGCAACTATCCCTGATACAGCACAATACACACATACCAGAGCATACGAGCTCCCGGCAGACCTCTGTTTACAAGCCCTTTCCGTCTCAGCCCACCAGCCCTACTTCGGTAATGATCAAGTAAAGGAACCATCATCACAATGACAAAGTATCGCGTCGACTCGTTTCACGTCGCCATCTCCCTAGGAGACTCGGCAATTCATCTCCTTGTTGACGTTACAAACGTGGCAAGTGACCCAAGGCCCAAAGTCCTCTCCGCCGTCCTGATCGATGGTGGAGAAGATCAACCGGGGAGACACAAAGATGATGGAGACACGGTACACACGAGGCATAACATGCCAATCTACACCGCAATGCGATGGATTGAAAACAACTACATCATAGACGGCAAGGACGTTGGCGGGATAAAAAGGCTTGCCTTTGACACCATCATCATCACCCATTGGGACAAGGACCACTACCATGGCATCGTGGAAATCCTCCAAAATGGAGCGACGACCGCTGTCGAGGAGGAGCAGCTGGATACGATATTGAAGTGGAACATTGACGAGACTCCGGCAACTCATTTCTACTGCTCAGTCAAAGAGGCATGGGAGAGGACGAAGAGCAAGAAAGCCAACGGGATGTACGAAAAGTTCAAAGTCGACGATGTCGACAACACCATCAGCATCAAATTCAAAAAGGACCGCAAGGACGAATGGGCAAAGTTTGCCATATTCCACGCCGCCGACAAGGGGACCAACGACGTGCTTGGAGTTGACTTCTTCAAGAACGACGCGGCCATCATGCCCGGATCCGAGGGCACGCCGCTGGTGGATTTGCTCGAGGAGAAGAAGCTCGAGGCCGGTCGACCAGCCATGCTCTGTATCGCAGCCAACGAGCGTCTCTTTGCGAACAAGTCCCAGATCCCCAAGGAAATCAAAAAGCCGACCAAAAAGCCGGGCAGAAAGCCAGGTAAAAAGCCAGTCAAGAAGCCAGGCAAAAAGCCAGGCGGAGGGTCGGCCAGCATTTTGGTCGTCAAAGACACCAGTGTCACCCTCACCAATCAAGCGAGTATTGCTTGCTTGATCGTGTGGAAATCTACTCGCGCTCCTCATGTTTCCCACTACTTTGCGGGAGACATTGGGCAAAAGCATGAGGGGACAATGTTCAACTGGCTCAAGGCAGCTGGAGTGTCCAAAATCACAAACGTGAAGCTCAGTCATCACGGATCCCACTTCTCAACGCCCCTGGCAATGTTCAACGATTTTCAGCCAAAGAATACTATAGTCCCGACCCCAACGTACGCTCTGCATAACCATCCATGTGAGTAACTACAGTCATGACTTTCAAGAGACAGGCAGAAGCTGACAAAAGGGATACAGCATGGCCCGTGATCGTGATATGGTTTCTCTGGGCACACTCGCTGGCTCCGCCGGCTGTTCCTCGATTGGTTGCCCTCACTTTTCCAGCAACCATCACTTGGGTGCCCAAGTCAACTACGGAACCTGAAAAGGGCAGCTGGTACAAGTTGGAAGATGTCAAATTGGATGCCCTACAAGGGAAGAAAGATTACAAGACCTATGTGACGTACCATGACGCACAATACACGGCCCTCAACGAGGCTCTGGTAAAGAACTCCAAGCCTGAGGTGCCGAACGAGAGACTTGACAGGATCAAGCAATCTGAAGATATACAGCGAGCATACGTGGCAGACAGATATGCTCAGATCTGGAGTCAACTTGGCTTTCCAACAACTGAATACCACATGGGCGGCTGTGGCATTTACTCTGTTACCCAGGGGAAAACAGCCTACAAATCTCTGTGCTTCGTTCGCATCAAGTGCAGCCAAGACAAGGACGAGGATGGTGAGATCCAATACGTCGATCTTGGATCTACCCTCCTCCATACCCCGACGCCGATTGTGATCGAACGTGCCATGGTCTTGACTGCGCTCAAGACCACGGTCACGCCCTCAACGTCAGTTGCGGCTGCTATTCCTGCGGCTCCAGGCAGTGCCTCCAGAAAAAGGAGGCACAGCATCATTGATCCTGACATCAAGAAGGATGCAGAGAATGACGAGGATGATCGCGTAACTGACTATGACCTTCTTTCTCATGCGCGCGTGCAGCCCGAGGCATTCTTCATTCCCAAGACAACGAATCCCGACGAAATGGACGACGTTCCTGGGGATGATGAAGATGATGAAGAGAGCATTGAGGGTATCGAAGAATTCTCTCTGGATGATTCGTCTTCAGCTACTACTGAGGAGGACATCTTCGAAGCACCAGTCGTCTCAACGTCAGCCAAGATGGAGACTACAGATGATGTCGTCGAAATGAACACGAACCCCAGTGGGATGTGGTCAGTCTTCACCCGTAGGCTGGAGGACACCAAGATCAAGGCTCAGGGCGTTGATGACTATGAGAGGCTGGACCCTGGTCTCCTCAACGAATTTGTCTCTGATCTTCATTGCGGTGTCATCTGCTTGGAGAAGAGGCCTAAAGACGACCCTCCCCCGAATGCCACAACGCCCTTGAGCAAGGTTGACGAGTGGGCAGCTTGGTTTGCAGACGTCCTCAACGCAAAAGACCTGGCCGTGATTGACGCCAAAGGACACAAGATTGGAGGCTTCACCATGCAAGTCTCACTTGCCCCCCTTGGAGCAGGACCAAACTCGCCATCTAACACATGGCTCCTGTTCTCTACTGAACGATCCATCCTGGACTTGGCTTTTGGATCAGCATCCGCAGCATACATCTCCCCGGAGGGCCTGCTGACACAAAATTCTGGCGTTGTGTTTGGGTTGCATCCATCGACTAATATGGAGCCCGTCAATGTCTTCGATATGCTCAACTTTGCCGGGCTGGGCAGTCTCCAGAAGAATCCGCTCATTGCCCTGATGGGAAGCATGGCCTTGAAGCCACCGTCGACAAACGATGAGCTCAGAAATAAGAGAAACGCCGTCTGGTTTGTGCCCGGAAACGACTACCGGACCTGTACTCGTTTAGAGTGGCAAATGGATGATGACTCTCGAGAAGAGCTTAATTCAATCTTCGAGCCACTACAACTGACTTTAGGTGAAACTACAGTCGTCACTCGCAGGACTACTTGGTGGACTACAAGTGGAACTGAATCAAAGCTCATATCCAGGGGAGATGTCGTCATCAAGACAGACATCGACCTGGAGGGAATCAAGCTGGAAGGTCTGTTTGAGTTCAATGAAACAGCCTCGACCTTCACCATGACCCTCAACACCAAGAATACTGCAGCTCTGGCGAAGCTGTTGGCCTGGGTCAGCAAGATACTGGGCATTGATGTTGGCCAATTCGACTTTACTTCCCTTGAGAATCAGTCTGTTGGTACTTTCAGCCTCGGAGAGTTCCATTTCCGACGAATCACCGTCGGAATGACCAAGGACGAAGGGAAACGCAAGGCAAAGCTGTCGACTTTCCGCGTCGACATGGAAGTCGAGCTGGATCTGTCCAGCAAAGGCCCGACATTGTTTCTTGTAACTTATTCGTACAAGAAAGAAGACGGCAGCTCCATCAGCGCAAAGATCTGGACTGGTAAGTTTCTTTCAGCACATCCTGTTCCAGAGTCACAAGTCCGATTCTGTTCTTTATCAGAGCTTTGTTAACGGCAAGTGTAGCACCACCTGCGATGCCCGCCGCGGATCAGTGGCGTTTGCTGCCAGAGTGGGAGAACTACTACGAAATGTCTCCAATCTCTATTGATTTATCCAAGTGGCAAACGACACTGGATCTCGCAGCAATGGCTGACATTGACGACGCCCCGAGCTTCTTGCCCACGCAGGTGACCATGGCAGAGTTCGAGGCGAACAAGTCAGGAATATCATTTACGGGAGCAATGCAGCCAAAGCACAAGACAGGCGATAAAGTACCCATTTTCAGTATCGAAGAGATATCTCTGTATGTGTCATATGAATGGGGAGGAAAAAAGACGGCTGTGCCGTCGAAAGATCTCGTTACAGCCAAATCAGCTGGCAAATTCACCGGTGCCTTTCTAATCAAGACCCTCATACAACAGCCCAGGGGGGCAAAGTACGGTTGGCCGACTCAGCTCATAGGCCAAGTGGTCTACAACACCGACAGCGGATGGATGCTCTCGGGATCGATCTACGATCTGTACGCATCCACGCTTGCCCAGTTCTTTGATTCCGACTTGAGCGGAACAGCCTTGAGCATTTTGGAGACCATCAAGGTCCAGGAGCTGAACATCAACTACACTTATCAGAAAGGCGCAGCATCTTCATTCGACATTGACGGCATCCTGGTTCTTGGCCCTTTCAAGCTCTCTCTCAAGTTTACCAATGATGGTAAAATTTGGGACTTTGAGGCCAAGGTCAACACGGATAACAACAAGGATATCACCTCGACGGTTGGCGAGATTATCCATAGCATTGCCGACACAGACCTGAATCTTCCCGAGTTCCTGACCAACATTGAGATTGGACTGAAGAAGGAGGATTATCTCGAGCTGATTATGAAGAAGGTCCAGATTGGCACCTCTGACAAGTATGTCATGGTCGTCCTCATCACCGCAAGATTGAGCGGCCTCATTTTCCAATATCTCCAGTTCCGCGAGGTCGTTGAGGAGGGCGTCAATCCGCCTCCTGTCAAGCGATTCCTCAGCGCATCGGTGGGTGAACTTGTCGACGCTGCTCTCCCCATGATAGGCAATATCCCGCAGCCGTTTGACGACATTTTGTTCTTGTGGGTTCAGGGCCAGGGCCAGGGTGAGCCGGAAAAGGACGGCATCACCAAGGTCCAGCTGGAATCCATCAACAAGGTGCTAGTTAACCTGAAAAAGAAGCCTATGCCTTACAAGACGGTCTCCAAGTCGCCACCCGGCGATGGAGATGTAGTGTTGACGAGGGGAATGCACTTCATGGTCCTGCGGAAGAAAGGGGACAGCCAGTCTGACGTCTTAGTCGACTACGCTTTTGAGAAGACCAAGACTCCGCCACCAGCTGGCAACGAGCTGGTCCTGGCAAAGAATGATGACGGGGGAGTTGAAGACAAGGGTGCTGCCATGGCACCCTATCAGACCAGAAAGGGCCCTCTCTCAATCAGAAACATCGGACTCAAGTACTCGACTGGTTCGAGCGGCAAAGAATCCATCGTCTCTATCCGCCTTGACGCATCAGTTACCATTGGTCCTGTCGAGTTCGGCGTGATGGGGCTGGCCCTCAACCTGAACTTTGCCGGCTCGAAGGAACTAAGCTTGCACAACCTGCCCAAGCCCTCTGTTACTCTTGAAGGCATTGCAGCCGGTTTCAATCGCCCTCCAATCACTATTGCCGGCGGTTTGCTTTACCACAATGATGATGAGAGGATGTATTATGCCGGAGCTATTCAGGTCGGCTACACTCCTTGGCTCTTCCAAGCCGCCGGCTACTACGGCAAGATTAAAAAACCCAAGGTGTTTGAGACAATCTTCTTGTTTGCCGCGCTGAAGGGACCGCTGATTACTCTTGAATTTGTTTCCATCGAAGGAGTAACGGGAGGCTTTGGTGAGCGTGTCCTTGTCCAAATCTGGGAATCATTGGCTAACTATGGCAGGCTACAACTCCAACTTGAAGTTCCCCACAGCCCACAACATCCTCCAATTTCCACTGATCACGGGTGATGCAACAGATCCTGGTCCCAATGATGGGCCATTCGAGATCATGGATAAGTTGCTGGGTACCTCATGGTTCTTCCCGGAAGAGGGATCATTCTGGGTTGCCGCAGGATTGACCGTCAAGGCCTTTGAAATCCTGTCAGTGGAAGCTGTCATCGTCATTCAATGGAACCCGTACGTCCAGTTGGGCATCTTTGGTCTCGCCACCGCCAGCATTCCCGGAGGCGCATCCAAAGTCAAGTTTGCCCACGTCCAGCTCGGCATTGTTGCTTCCTTGAACTTTGAAACCGGAATACTCAAGATTGAGGGAGAGCTCACGCCTGCTTCTTACATACTGGATCCCAACTGCCACTTGACGGGCGGTTTTGCCCTATACAGTTGGTTCGACAGCAAAGACGAAGCTCTCCGCGGCGACTGGGTCTTCACCATCGGTGGCTATCACCCGTCCTTCAGCAAGCCGCCTGGCTATCCAGAAGTGCCGCGCTTGGGCATATCCTGGCAGTTTGGCGGTGCCATCAGCATCAGTGGGAAAGCATACTTTGCCATCACCCCCAAGGTCTGCATGGGCGGCGGCCGCTTGGACGTGGCGCTATCGCTGGACCCTCTATACGCCTACTTCAACGCTTTTGTTGATTTCTTGATCAACTTCAAGCCCTTTTACTTCATTGCTGAAGGAGGTCTTACCGTCGGTGTCAAGTTTACGCTTGACTTGTGGCTCGTGACGATCAATATCAACATTGAGATCTCCGCAAGGCTGTACATCAAGGGACCTCCTATTCAAGGCCGTGTGCACGTTGACTTCTGGGTATTCGGCTTCGACATTGACTTTGGCGCCTCAAAGGTTGACCAGCCTCCGCCGCTGCCCCTCGATGAGTTTATCGAGGTCGTGTGCCAAGCAAAGAACGCCGGAATCGCATCCATGATGATAGAATCAGCCCTTGGCTTGGGAGACGCCAAGGAGGAAGCCGCCAACAAGTCAGACGCATTCGTCTTTGCTGTCGAAGAAGGTCTCATTCCAAGAGACGACGTAAAGTCTACACCCAGCGGCGATATGTGGATCGTCCGAGCGGCTACTTTCGAGTTTTCTGTCAACTGCAAGTTTGCCATTGAGTCCGCAAAGGTTGAGACCCGATCTCCAGATGACACGCTTCTCAAGACAGACGACGTAGCGGGAACTGGAAACCCGATTTATGCGAAGCCGATGCAAACTGATCAGCCTATATCGTCAACTCTGACCATATCGATCAAGGCAGTCAAGGACATTGGCCTGGAGGAGATCATTACAGAGCCTGTTTGGACGATCAATGAGAGCATTTGCAAGGATGTTCCGCTTGCCCTCTGGGGACAATGTGAGTTGAGCCCATCCCTACCCAAGCCTAGCTGGATGATTGCATACTAACAATGAGTCAAGACAACCGCTCAGATGATCCATCCTACAACAGGAATCCGCAGAGCATGCTCAACGGTACGAAGGGCAAATCGGTGAACCTCATGATGGGAGTCCACCTTACCAGACCTCTTCCACTGTTATCGCTCGACAAGACGGTGCCGTACGATGTCGTCAAGTTCCAAATCTCAACCCTTGACAATGATGACCACATTGCAATGCCAGATGAGCCCACAAAGGCATTCTCGCCCATTCCCGCCCTTGATGAGGGGCAATGGGATGCCGTGCAGGAGAAGTGGGACAAACCTCTGGCGGGCGATGGTGCGGCCGAACAGACAGTCAACCTCTGGGCTGCGCTGGGTCTGGGACAGTTGGGATGGTCCAAGAAGAATGTGTATGCTGAAAAGGCGGTCTTGACGGGTGCGAAGCCGCGGAGGGTCATTGACAATCTTGCTAAGTACTACCTCTGGGCCCCGGTGCTCAGCGGAGTGTAGATGTAGCTATCTGATGGCCAATCTAAGACGATCACAGTACAAGTTCAGACCTCAGAAAAGACGTCGACAAGAAATTCAAGACCGTTGATCCAATCCTGTTATGACGCCGTGGCCAGAATCTCATAGCATTTCAATCTCAGCCACAGCTGAGGATCTTCTTATTTTGTCAATAAACTCCGATAGCGCCGATCCTTGTTAGTGTCAGGGTATAAGACAAATCCAGGCAGGCTGTGCTATCAAAACTTTGTGTTTAATAAACGAACTTGAAAGGGCTACGTAGACTATCTCGGGGTTTTGCACTATGAAGTGACGTCGATCAATAAGGGGGCCCGGATTGCGAATTCCGCATACAAGTAATCAACGTCTTATTTGACTGCCGATAGCCGGTCAATTCCTGTAAGGGCGGCCGAGATACTCGCACCTGACGAAGTTGCCATAATGTTATAAGACAGGCACGCTCCCTCTGTCTCGGCAGCAACACAAAATATACCCTTGACCTGCTCAATTGATCAATTCTCCGACAGCAAGATACTTGTCTCAAAATGAAGCCCGTCGTCCTTACTGTTACGGCGGCTGCCCTAGCCTCGGCTCTTTCTAAACGATCGACCGACGCAAGTCCACCCCAAACTCTCGACCGCGTCTGGTCTGGTGTCAAGCAGAGCGGCAGTGGCTTCACTTCTGTGACTGGCACATTCACAGTTCCCAAAGGAGGCAAAAGTTTTGGGCCTTCGATTTGGGTCGGCATCGATGGTTCCACAGAATGCCCTGGCGGCGGCCTGCTGCAGACCGGCGTCAGACTCACCGGCAACGGCACAGCGTTCGGCTGGTTCGAATGGGTTCCCCTGAGCGCGCCCGTCTTTGAGGACTTCCAAGTGAGCGAGGGCGACGATATCAGAATGACCGTCCACGCCTACGGACCTTCCAACGGCTCCGCTATCCTGGACAACCTCAGCACGGGGCAGACCGTGTCGCACACGTTTGCCAGCGCCGACACCCCGCCAGATGCACCGCTGTGTCAAAAGAGCGTTGAGTGGATCGTCGAGGACTACAACAATTCTGGAGGCAACGACACCGGCATCGTGGCGTCTCCCGACTACGGCACTATCGTTATCCGCAACGCGTCGGCGCAGGGATCGGCCGGCACGGTCACTCCGGAAGGGGGTGAACTGATTGAGCTGTTTGATACGAGAACTGGAACTGTTTTGTCGCAGTGCTCTGCTGGGGAAGAGGAGGTTACATGCAAGTATGTTGGGCCACCAACTCAGGGCTGATGGTGCCCATGGGGAAGCTGGTGCCGCTGATTTGAAGAATTGGCTTGATGAAGCAAATGATTCAACAAATGAACTCAGTCAAGTCGAGTGGCCGATGAATTGAAATAAACATAGATGGGCCTATTCAGAGAAGAAGAAGAGTAATGTAAGAGAGCACGATATAATTTGTGTGTATATAGTTCACACACACCCGCTGGGGTTTGTGTGTTTATTCTAGTCTCAAATGAGAACGGAGAATGTCATGAGAAAACGACATAAAAGTAGACACAAGGTCATCCATCCTCACTCGAGACTTGCTGGATATAAGCCCACGATTGCATGATCGCAGCTATACGAATGCCATGAACGGGCCCAGTGGCTATGTTGAGGCGCTTCGATCGGATGTTGCCGGTCGAACTCGGCAGTGGAAGAGATGCCAAAAGCAGAAGTTTTGAAGGACGTTTTAACACCAAATACTCGCAAGAACTCGTTGTCGGCCATTTATAACCGATTATTGCTCTGTAGGGCCCCTCTAGAAAGCCAAGGATGTGTGGTTCATATTTCTGTGACTGCCGGCTCGCGCAGATTGGAAGCGAGAAAACAACTAGGAAGGCAGGAGTGGACACACATTTACCTCAACCGGGCTTCAATGCAGTCTCAACATGTAGAGCATTATAGAAGGCGGTACAGACTGCCATGGATTTACTGTTAGCCAAGCGTGTGTTGCAGTTGGCTATAAGCTTCATCGTGACATCCCTTTTGCTGTGATCAACTGTTCGTTATAAACGCCCTTGTCAACCATCTCATGAGGGGAAATGCAATGCCGCATTCTTGAAATTTACCGCTCCTGTCCGTGTAGATCGGCTGCAGCAAACTGGGTGTGGGCCGCTCGTGTCTGTCCATGGAGCGTGCTCAGGACAGGAGTCCATTGAGAAAGATAAACATGACGCGATGACGCCTCGCTGAAGAACGATATGCGTTGAGAACAGCTTCCGATCTCGCCGCAAAAAGAAGTCTTTGCGCATTCTTTCAATCACGACGGTATTCGCGCAACATTGTCCAGTTGCAAATAACGGAGAGTGGGGAGGTGGAGGCGAAGCCAAGGTGGAAGAAGAACCAGAAGCACTACTACTCATCGGTTTCCCCTTCGCGGTTATTTGTCCAACATGGCCGAGATGTTTGAAAATAACACCAGAATAATCCAGATGACGGGATTGATGCCTAATTTTGGGACAGACAGTCGAAAACCAACACAGTACGTATTTAGCGATACTTCCTAGGTGAGCCTGGGTATGTAGGGTAGCTATTGTGTGGCTACACACTGTAAATCCCTCGTTACGGCGCGAAAGCACCCAGCAAATGAGACATCGCCCGTGCAAATAATGGGAGAAGAATCTTAAAGAGCATGAGGAGGAGTTGTAGCCAAGTACCGCCTATCAATTAGGGATGCATGCGATGTAAGCCGACCTCGTAACTTCTCAACAAACCTGGCATCCCTGGCTAGCGAGAATGCCAAATCCCTGCTAAATGCCCACACCCTCCAGATGCTTCCGGATCTGCAAACAAGTCTACGAGCTGGAGCTGATCTGCGTTCGAGAAAGGATAGCTAGCTCCACAGACTACAACTCGCCATTCTTCACCCATCGACCAAGGTCGTAATGTGGTCTCACCAAGCAAGGGGCAAAATGAAGCAGACGTGGACGTGTGGTAATGCGATCCAACCGTCCTGAACCTAGGATACTGGACTACCGCTTGGACGACTTCTGAACCGTTTCGCCCGCTCTTTGAGGGCAGTAAAAGCTATTCACAAATTCTCCGATAGAATAAGCTCACGCCTCTTGAAGCTGCTCGACAGGGTTGAAGCTGATCGCCAAGACTGAAGCGAGCAAGAGACTTTGGTACCTGTCCCGCCACCCCGGTAGCTCCCGCGACCCGCCCCGCCACCCCACGACCCACCTACCCAATTAGGCAAGAGAAGCTTCCAGCAAAATCGACACCCTTCGACTCGATTCGGGAGTAGCGTCATGAAGGCGCAATGATCTCATGATAGCTTCCATCATGGCCTCAACGCTTCGTTTCTAGCATCTTCGTGAAGCGTGAAGTTGTGTGATCGATGGCGTGCCCTCAAGTATAAATCAATGGCTTGAAGCCCCCCTAAGCCACCCCTTCTGCTCACCAGATCAGAACAAAGACAGCAAACACAACCACATCACAACACAACGCGCACAACGCTTCAAAGCGACCTCAACGCTTCAACAACACCTTCAACAACACACACAACCACAAAACACTACAACATCCAAAATGGCGCTCCGAAACTTCTACGCTCCCGAGTCCTCCTTCACTCCTCTCTTCCGGCTCCTGGAGGACTTCGACAACTACACCCGCGAAAACAGCGACAACCAGAGCTCCACCCGCCGCACCATCGCCCACTGGCAGCCCAAGTTCGACGTCCGGGAAACCGGCGAGGCCTATGAGCTGCACGGCGAACTCCCTGGCGTGAACAAGGAGGACGTGACCATCGAGTTCACCGACGAGCAGTCCATCCAGATCCGCGGCAAGGTCGAGCGCACCTACACAGCCGGCACTCCTCCCGCCGGTGCCATCACTGAATCCGGCGAGAAAGAGAACAAGGAGGCTTCCGACAAGAGCCAGGTCGCCAAGTCCGGCTCGCCCAAGCAGAAGCCCGCTGACTCCGCCAAATACTGGCTCACTGAGCGCAGCGTTGGCGAGTTCTCCCGCTCCTTCAGCTTCCCCAACCGTGTCAACCAGGATGGTGTGACGGCTAGCTTCAAGGATGGCATCCTCAGCGTTGTCGTCCCCAAGGCTGCCAAGCCCGAGCCCCGCCGCATCACCGTCTCTTAAAGAAACGCTCAACGGAGCATTTCTCTTTTTGACTTCTCATCCACCCTCATTTGACGAGTATTGTATTGGAGGAGAACAACTGCATGGAAGTGGCGTTTGGAATTTTGAGTTACGACGATTTGCCTATTGTTGCAACGGGGCCAGAAATGGGATAAGCGAGTTTGTTTGCTTGGGCTTGTTTACAATCATTTACGATATCCACCTCTGTTAGTCAAATCTAATAGAGCATCAATTGCATAATCTAAGATCTCATTGACTCAAATAACCATGGTGATGTCCCGTGTGTTCTCAAATACCCAAGTAGCATACCGTCTCCGAACCATTGTTCAGTCATCAGTGATGCTGATTGCCGCCTTGCCCACTTCCTGCCCTTGATACAGGATCCTGAATACCAAATGGCCAGCCTCGTCGCCCAATCGGATATTAAGTGTCAGTGGGACCTTGTAATGTGTGACACGAGATATCGTGACTTGCGGAAGACTGGCTCGATCAACTCCAAGCAGCGTGTAGGCTACCTGCCCAACTTCCTCAATACCTAATTGGCGACGACGGTTAGTAACATGTATCATACATTTGATATGTGTATTGCTTGTTTGTAGAGAAAATGTCGGACGTACGCTCATTCTCAATAGTGCCTGGAGCATCATCCAAGTTACACGAGTACAGAGTATGCACTCCACATACTGGGATGACGTCCGTGCAGTTCAGTTCGAACTGTGTGTTGATTTCAGTGTCCTGGTCAATCAAGCTGCCCTATTATTGCCCAACGTCAGAATATTAGCAGAGATGCTTGAAAATGGGCTCTTCATGGGACCACCAAACAAGGCGGGGTATGTCTTGTTGTGTCTCACCTTGCCAACCTCCCAAAACATGAATCCTGTCAGACGCTGTCCGCCTCTGATATAATCCTTCCATACATATCTCTTCTCCGCATCGAATTTTGCGTGGATCAGAGGATCATACGTCCTAGATAGAGAATGGCCATAGTGTCGTCGGCATTTTTTCTGCCTCACAATATCGCCTTCGAGTCCTCGCAAAACAGCCCCGCAAACCACAGCTGACCATCTACAGAGTGTGTTAACGATCGCCATTGTGGCACACCTTGTTTCACCTCAGGGTAGGCGTTGAGGCCAGGATATTTTGCATCGGGGACATTCAACTTACGCGCCGGTAATTGGTGTGGTCAATTTGATCCCTCTAATTTCAGACCACTCTGTCAGCCGCTCCCTGAGATACGGCGAGGAACCGAATCCTCCAACCAGAACGACAGTGCCAATAGGACATTCGCCTTTTGCTCTGATCTGATTGACTTGATCTTGAACAAGACCAATAATCGTATCAATTACTGGATCAAAGAGCATCTTGTAGTCCTCCTGGGTAAGCAGCACAGATGAAGACCGCTTCTCGTAGTATTTCGCTGTCGTTGCGGTAACTTGAAGCTGCGGCATATGGAGCACAAGTCGGTGGGCCCTCTTGCTGGGCGTCTTCATGCTGAAATCTTTCTTTTTGAGCTCAAACTGATCCATGAAGGCGCTGCCTGGGCCAATCTGCTCAGTCTCGAGTGACGTAAAGGCATCTCCGAAGCGCTGTGCCAGCAATCTGTAGAGATTTCTGTCCACAAAAGTTCCGCCGCATTTGCCAGCTGGAGGGACGACACGTCAAAAATGGTTGCCTCTTAGCCCTTGTCATGGCATGCCAATTGTGCTCAATGGACGTACCTGCACCGATGGCTATTTCTCGTAGCTTCAGAGTCGGTTGCGTCTCTTCGACTTGGTAAGTGGTGATATCCTAAGAACAATGTCAGCATTGAGCCAGAAGCCATGTAAGAGTGCAACACTTGAACCTACAACAGTACCGCCTCCGCAGTCACAGATCATAACACCGGTGTTGGGCTGCTCAAATGTCAGAAAAGGCACCAGAGATAAGCCAGAATACTTTGCTGATAGGAATGTGCACACCTTGACAAAGTCTTCCAGTCGGTGTAGACTCGACTTCAACGCAAGCTGTGCTGCTGCTTCTGGTTCGGAGATGAGCATGATCCTGTCAATGGGCCGTGTAGCAAAACCGGCATCGGTCGCTGCAGACTTGGTGAGCATCTTTGCTTTCTCGCTCCAAGATGCCGGAACAGTAAGCCAGAAGTCGATCGGAAGATGGTCGATATTCTGCGCTCCAAGGTGTTCTTTGACGGCACTGTCAAACATGCGCTTCATGCCTTTGAGATATTCCGTGGCAACATCTTTGGCCGATCGTCCCTTGGGCAAATGCAGTATATCCATGCCCGGGGATAAGTAAAGATCCGGATCGTCATGGACAGATGCAAGAGAGGACTTGTCTAGAAGAAGCTTCGTCCAGGCGCACGTTTTCATCCTGTAACGATCGTGAGCTGAATAATGTTCAAATCGCAGCACATTGGAAAGACCGTACCCTGCTTCTACTTGGTATCCCCATGCGGTTTCTTCCAGCTCTGGATTCTCATCCGCGAATGCGACTTGGGTTGGTGCCTTCACGCAGTGCTCGGCACCATGCGAGGAAGAACCCGGGTATTTGGTCCATGGAAAAATGTCTTTGAAATCCGTCGCATTAGAATATGCAAAGCTAAGGCCCGAATATGTGGTACCATAGTCGATGCCAACAATGAGCTTGGTTTTCTCTCTGATTGTCAACATGTCGACGAGTTGGAGAGGTCTACCGGTCTATCGGCTGGAAAGAAGGGCAAGGCACTGCCTGTGGTTGATATAGAGCAGGGGAGAGAGGAGGATGAAAGGCTGGCGCGGAGATGAATGGCGTGATCTGTAGGCCTCCAACAGATGCATCGGCATCTGCAGTTGCCCTGCAGTTGCACAATTAACGTACGAGGTGTTGGCTCTTTCCTCAACCTCGCAATGGTAAACAGCCTCGTCTTGAGTCAGTCACAAAGCCGGCGCGGGGGAAATATGCCTACGGCCGCGCTTTCAGGCCAACAACACGTCGTATTCATGCCCACCACGGCGGTTAACAGCTCCAAATAGAAAAATAAAGCATCATCTTGTCCTTTGGAATGCCATGACTGGGTGACCGTGAATGTTGAGTCCTGTCGCGAGTGCATCGCCTAAGCGCTCAATGGTGGATCCAGTGATTGGCCTCCCACACATGCATGGACTCTCAATAGCTCCATCCCTGATTTCCGCTTGTCAATCTTCATGAGGTAACTGCCAGCCGCACCATTTATATTTATCTTTTTCCACTCCGTCCTTCCTGCCTCTAACGTGACGAAGCATCTTACTTCTAAAGTCCGAAAGTGTCCACATAGCTCGCCTCAACTCAGCCTAATCGTGTGTGTCCGCGAGAAAGAAAACCTCACTCAAAGATCAGGACGCAGAATGACAAGAGCAGAAATGCCAGCCGCTTCTGAGTCCGGCGACGTGGAGCCAGGCACAAACAATGAGGTGCGCAACTTCCCCTCTTCCTCAATTCTAGATTCGACGAGACGCTCATGATGGCTTCGCTCATATCAGGTGAAGCGCGAATCCTACCAACGACGACAGCGTCAAAGCCAACCCAAAGAAGATTATGCAATGTCAGAGGAACTGCAGAAGAGTGTAGAGACTTTCGGTACAGAGCAAGCTACACGCCATCAAGGCATCTGCTCGCAGAATGCCGGTGCCGACGCAACGTCTCTGGATGGCAAACGGAGCCAAGAGAGCAGCAGATCAACGGGATTCATTGGTATGATTACTGGAGCCGTCGGGGCAATGATTCCCGGCAAAGCGAGACAGAAAGACGAACGCAGTGCTGGGAAACAAAGACGACCTCCCACTCCAACGTCCCATGAGCCAACCGGAAAGCTTCAGGACCAAGCAAGACACAAAGTCAACAGGCCCCAGGAGCAGGTTCCAGGACCACAGACCAAGGAAACGGAATCAGACGGACCGCTCGAGTCAAGGCGAAGGATGGGAGGGAATGAAGAGCAAGAAGCAGCCAGACTCCGCGACCAGCTTCACAGGGTTCAAGAAAAAGCAAAGCAAGAAACAAGCACACTCCTTGAACAGGTTCACAGTCTTCAACTCAAATCAAAGCAAGACGCGCGCAAGCTGCAACAGATGTCCATGGAAGCAAATACCATGAAGAGTATTGTGTGCACATTGCAAGATGACCTTCAGAAAGCAAAGACCAGAGTGGCTGCACTTGGAAGAACCGTTGCCGAGAACGAGGTGATCATTACTCAAGCCAACGCAACAGCCGTCTCTCGGCTCGCTAGTAATGTGTCACGAGACTTCACTGATGATGTGATCAAAGAAACCCTCAGAAAATTCTTTCAGACGGACTTCTTCTCCTGGTGTGCCGACTTGTGTGCTGAGAAGATCGAGGATGAAACGGCTGCGCTACGTAAGCTTCTGGAGGCTGGCATCATCAACGCGAATCGCGACCACCTGGATGGGCCGGAATATCTCATATTTAAAATAAACACGCCTGATGGAAGCGGTCCATTGATGCTACTTCAGGCCGCTCTGGCTACGAGACTCTGCGACTTATATCTCGCCGACCCATATTTCTTGGCACAAGAACTACCCACGAACCTCCAAGACCGGTGGATGCTGCCTCGACTTGAGCATATTTTCAGCCATGGTAAGCACCGTTTCATGCTGCAATGAATAATTTTGTGTATTAATAGCATTGCCGTCTACAGCAGCACTAGACGCCGCTATCAATTGGAGGGTTCAGACTGTGGAATGCTTGGAACAAGCAGTGCCAATCACAGAATCCTATGTCACGAGAGAAGTGCATAGATTTGTTCAAGAATACGGGTTTTTGCTTTCAACTGACCAGTTCGATCATGAGGCCGGCAAAGATCTAGCCCGCATCTTCGCCAACTTTGCTGGCCTTGCGTTGAAGCTATGGAAGTCTCGGGCTCATGTTTGTTGCTGTGGCATAAGAGGTTTCGGTGAGGCGGCCTTTGATCTGGGAAATCCCTTGATCGAAGTCGACTCGTCTTTGGCATCGTCTATGGGCCAGCGGTTGAACGGCCGTCCAATCGGACTCATCATTCGCCCAGCCATCTGGGCCAATTCGCTATCCCAGGACGGAACGGTGGAACAGGTGGTTTGGCTCAAAGCTCTCGCCTGGGTATCAGGAGAGGAGGGCGATATGGATTTGATGGAGCTGGCGTAGGTGATGGCTATGGCGTGTATCGGTGGCAATTACGCGGCTATGGCTGATAGGCAAGAGTCGGCCGTGAGAAGAGTCCTGCAGGGGAGCGAAGTCAAATGATCTTTATCGAAGTCGGTAACAGTTAGAGGTAATACGTATAAGAATCATGGTTCGAAACGATTTTATGATAGAGGTTGGAGTATTATTGTCAAACCAACTCGCAGTAGCAGCGGCTGGATACAGACATTAACACTTTCTAAGTACAAACCAACTCTCACCCTGAATAATGGATAGCCCGAGACCTTACCCCCTTTCCCTGCAATCGCAGTCTACCTCTCCCGGGTCAAGTACAAAAAGTCGTCTCTAAGGCAAGCTGCCCAAGATATCCTGCCAATTCTGAATGGACTTTTCATGGCCAAAGTCGCCGTCCCCATAGAGGGCCTGTACTTCCTGGCGCAGCTGAATAATGTCGACCACGACCTGGCGCCTCAGCCGACCCAGGTCGGCAAAGGTGGTGTCTGCGAACTGCTGCGGTTGGTTGCCCGCAGCACGGTGAAGCATCTCCGTTTGGATGTTGTCGTAGGAGGTTTCGTAGTTTTTGTAGCCTTGGTACAGTTCTTGACGAGACATTTTGATGGTGGTTGATTGCAAGTTTGGTTGTTTGGTTAATAGCGCACAAGCTGTTGGTTCTCGTGTCCAAGCTTTTGTTGTGAGGTGTTGAAGCTGGTTGAATAGAGGAGATATCAAGTCCAAACGGCGGAACTTGGGTCCTCTTATATTCTGTTACACACTCTTTCTCTTGAAGGCTCATCAAGTAGCTGTAAGCTTCACTTCATTGGCCTCACCTGTACCGAATCCTTCAGCAGCCGTGCCATGACGAGGCTCCATGGTGGTGTTGCTGCGCTGTAGCCGAATCATTCCCTCTGTACAATCAAAGCAATAGTTCGAAGATTCAGGCTGGCGCTAGAGCGTAACAGGCAACTTTTCTGTCTATAATCATCACCATCACGAGGCATCATCTCGACAAATCATGATGCTTGGTGCATCAACGCTGCCGTTAGCCGTTGATAGCATGAAGGCAGCGTGCAATGCTACGGCAAATCAATCCTATAGCATACAAAAAGCCTCACAATTGTGTCATTCTTATTCTATTCTCAGCTCGACTTTCACTCACTCGCCGCCCGCTGAAAAGCCCTCCAGACTGCCAGGCTGACAACCGGATACGACATGATCCTGTCATGCAGTCCCCATCTCGAAATTGCTTCTCGCAGGTACCCCTTTTGCGTCTTCTGTTCCACCACCCAGCCTCCGCCATGCAAGTCTGACCTTGAGGCGGCCTTTGCGTCCTCAAGCTCCTCGTAACTGACCTCATGAGGCGAAGACGCGTTAACTGCATGCCAGTACAGCTTGTCGCTGTGCTCCCAAGGGATATCATAGTCGTCCTCCGCATGAATGATTGTGATGTCGTACCGCGCCGCATCGTCAGAAGACATCTCGCAGAACCGCACAAACTCCGCAATCTTCTCCGTGGAGGGCCACTTGGCAATGATGAAGCCGTTGAAGAAGTCCAGCAGCCAGGGAAAGCGGGCAATGGGGTCGAGCAACGGAATCGTGCCCGCAATCCTGTAGGTCGCCGTCAGCTCCTCGACGTTGGCAAAAGGCGCCACAAGTACCATGCCCGCAAAGAAGATCGGGTTCGCAACTTGGGTAGCTAGATGATGGGCCAGAGAGAGGGTGACTGCCGTGCCGAGCGACTGCGAGAAGAGGACGATGCGAGATGGCGGGATTCCGGCAACTTCTATCGCCCATTTGGCCAGCGCAAGAGCATCATTCAACAGCCCGGGCTCTGACGGTGTTCCAGTGCTGGTGCCGAAGCCACGGTAATCAATGGCCACTGTATGAATCTTGTCCGGGTTCAGTGCAGACATGGCCCGGTAGCTCGGAGGCCGCCAGCCAGATCCCAGTGTGCCAGCAGCTCCATGAAGGTAGAGGACCAGCAGAGAGTCTAGGTCCTCGCGCAGCAGCTTGAAGCTGAGACGAGAAGTAATGTCCAGTGCAAGCCCGGCGGGCTCATCTATCAGCTCTTTCTCATGATTCCTGTACAGGTCAAGCGGGAGGATGTGCCAGGCATGCAATGTTTCGCCGTCGCTCGTATCCAACATGAAAGGCGTGACTTGATTATGAAGGAATCCCCATTGCTCAGGAACGTTGACGTCTTGGCCCCAGGTCAAAGTAATCTTATTCAGATAGATGGCTTGGTTCTGACAGGCAGGAATAGTCAAGACGCCGAGGAAGACAAAATATCCCACTGTTGATGCGGCAAGAGCGTAGATGCCGGATTTCACCACGGTACCGATTTCGTAGCCCATGGCCGTCGTGCCTCTCCCGCGAGATGGGCTGCCCGAGTTGTCGTCGGGGGGTATTGGTGTTTCAATATCCGGCTGCCTGCTTAACAAATATGTGAGCTGATCTTCCCAAGAATGTCCATCAGAACTTCTCCTTTGCGTTTATGCCCGATTCCGACAGCACATGTACGAGAAGACTTCAACACTGAGGTATGTTTACATACGTTTCTTATCTCAGCCGCCTTTCTAATTCATGGCCACCCATCACAATTGTTCCTTCTCGTTGTATCTTATATAACCGATAGTCGTTCAATTCGAGCATCTTCGTTAAAAAAATGAAAAACTTGACGATTTCCACGACGAGGATCACACATGCCCCTCCAAAGCGGCACGTGAAGCCTCTCCCACCAAGCCGGGCGGCGGTACAATCGCGACATGCATCTCTTTGGCTCTTTTTAATTGGAAGAAATGACATGCAAGACTGAAACTGCTCTCCACTCTGAGGCTGACTATGCCGATTGTCAAAGCACAGCAATAGCCGCAAGAGTGGGAGAAGGCAGACTCCGCTCCGCTCAACTAACACGATCAAACGAGCATCGTCACTGACCGGCAGCACATTTTGAGGATACATCTCACCTCATTCACAGTCTCAACGATGCTCTAATAATGAGGCTCAGCATAGTATCCTCACATATAGTATGTCCTTACACGTAAACACCGCCTCACCACCACCATGGCGGGCATGTCCCCTCCCCAACACCAAGGCATCACCCACATCAGAGCCTCCCTCAGCAATGACCTCCTCGCCCACCCCTCCGGCGCCCCGACGCTGCAGCACAGCGACTACACCGTCGGCTGGATCTGCGCCCTCCACATCGAAATGGCCGCCGCCCGCGCCATGCTCGACTGCGTCCACAAGCCGCTGCCCATGGGCGCCAAGGACAGCAACGCCTACATCCTGGGCAGCATTGGCCCGCACAACATCGTCATGGCCTGTCTCCCCGTGGGCCAGTACGGCACCAATAACGCCGCCAACGTCGCAAGCAACATGAACAGGAGCTTCCCCTCCATTCGCATCCGGCTGATGGTCGGCATCGGAGGCGGCGTCCCCAGCCAGAACACCGACGTCCGGCTCGGCGATGTGGTCGTCGGCTGCCGGATCATGCAGTATGACCTGGGCAAGGTGGTTGGAGGCGGCGAAACGTTGCCGACGGGCATCCCGAGGATCACTCCGCCAGACCATTCGACGCACGTCTCCAGCCTCCGCGCGATTCATGAGATGAAGCCCAGCAGAGTACCGGCTATTCTACAGGAGATGCACCACAGGCACCCCGGGATGACCAAGTACGCTTATCCAACTTCGCCGGATCGCCTCTTCCGGGCCGCGTATGAGCATGTCCTGGGCGCGTTTGACTGCAGCACATGCAGCGAGGTCAATCTGGTCGCTCGCCCTCCACGGTTGAATCGTGACCCGATGATTCACCATGGTGGCATAGCTTCTGGCAATCAAGTCATGAAGCATGCGGAGAGCCGAGACAAGATTGCCCAAGCGTTTGATGTGATCTGCTTCGAGATGGAGGCGGCCGGCTTGATGGACTACTTTCCATGCTTGGTCGTTCGAGGTATCTGTGATTATGCAGATTCTCACAAGAACAAGCAATGGCAAGAGTACGCCGCGGCGGCAGCAGCAGCATATGCAAAGGAGTTGTTGGAAGAGATGCCATCCTTCGAGACGATCCACTATATATCGGGAGACGCTCTGCACGTCACAAACACAGGTCAGCTCAAACAAACTCTTTATACAGACAATTTATCTCACTTTGTATATGCATCGTCTAATCCATCTCCCAGACGCTGCATCCAAAGGCCAAGACGACTTCACAATTCGCAAAAAGGAGCTCCTCAACTCCCTCCGCTTCGACCAACTCGGCTCTCGCCAGTCCAACATCGAGGCCGCCCACGAAGAGACATGCAGCTGGTTCCTCGAACATCCCACCTACCTAGCCTGGCTCAACACCAAAGGGCTGTCCACGCATTACGGCATCCTCTGGCTCGCGGGAAAGCCAGGAGCCGGCAAATCCACCATCATGAAGTTCCTCTACACCCACCTCAAACAACAAGTCCAAGACGACTCCGCCTCCTCCTCCGCCATAATCTCCTTCTTCTTCAACGCCCGGGGCGAACTCCTCGAAAAGTCCACAACGGGCATGTACCGCTCCCTCCTCTTCCAGCTCCTGCAAACCTTCCCCGACCTCCGATCCGTCTTTGACGACTTCACCCTCATCCCCGAGGACAAACACACGTGTCCTCCAACAAACATCATCCGCAAGCTCTTCCGCAACGCCGTCCTCCTGCTCAACAACACACGCACCCTGACCTGCTTCATCGACGCCCTCGACGAGTGTGACGAGCAGCAAGTTCGCGACATGGTAAGCTACTTTGAGGACCTCGGCCGCGAAGCAATCAAGCGCGGCATCCAGCTCCGAATCTGCTTCTCTAGCCGTCATTATCCCTACATCTCCATCGAGCACGCTCTCCGACTCACCCTCGAGGACCAACAGGGGCACAGCCAGGACATGGAGCGGTACGTCAAAAGCAGATTCAAGCCCAGCCCCGATCGCTTCGGCGACGTCCAGGCACAGATCCTGCACAAAGCAGCAGGGGTCTTCATGTGGGTTGTCCTTGTAGTCGGCATACTGAATGCGGAATTCGATCGAGGCCGAATCTTTGCTGTGCGCAAACGACTCCAGGAACTCCCCGTCGGGCTCAGCGATCTCTTCAAGAACATCCTCCGGAGAGACGACGACAACATGCAAGAGCTCCTGCTCTGCATCCAATGGATCCTCTACGCGAAACGCCCCCTCAGACCCAAAGAGTTCTACATCGCCCTCCTGTCAGCATCCCCAGACGATGCCCTCTCCGAATGCGACGTCTCCCACCTGACCAGCGACATACTCGAAAAGTTCGTCATCAGCTCATCAAAGGGCCTCGCCGAAGTGACAAAGTCCACCCACCCCACGGTCCAGTTCATCCACGAGTCCATCCCAGACTTCCTCCTCAAAGACAGGGGCCTTCTCGAGCTCTGGCCCGACCTGAGCACCAACATCGAAGCCTCCAGCCACAACACCCTCAAGCAGTGCTGCCACTCGTACTTCAAGCTCGGTGCGCCATATGATTCCGCGGTAGAGAAGATTCTCCTCGGAGGAAAACGAGCGACAGAGAGAAAGTTCCCCTTTCTCGAATATGCCATCTCGCACATGCTCTACCACGCAAACATGGCCGCGCGCGAAATTCCCCAGAACAAATTCGTCTCTCAGTTGCACATTAAACACTTCATCACCCTCAGCGCCTTCATCGTAGCAGAGTACAACCTGCTTCCGAGCTCGTCAGACCCAAGCCTCATCTACATCCTTGCCGCAGAAGGACTCTCCAACCTGATCCGTACATTATGGCCTCTCCCAGCCTCCCATCTCGACGTCCCGGGAGGACAATTTCGATACCCCCTTTTCGCCGCGTTAATCTACAAACACAGAGACGCCGTCCGTGCTCTTTTGGGATGGGACGCATCCCCCGCCAACAAAGAAGAAGAAGAAGAAGAAGAACTCATGGGCACCATGAGATATGAAGTCCAATATGCCATCACCAGAAGCCAAACGCCTCTCCACTGGCTCGTCACCAACAACAAGGGAACCACGGTTCGGCAGCTCCTCAAGCTGGGCGCATCAATCGACGCAAGAGATCGTAATGGCAACACGGCACTGCTGTTGTCGCTGTCCCATGGCCATGAAACGATTGCGAAGCTGCTTATTGAGGCTGGTGCAAGTGTTACTGCGAGGGACTCCGACGGCCAGACAGCCCTGCTGATTGCAGTTCGATTTGATCGCGAGGAGTTGGCCAGAATCCTCATTGAGAAAGGCTCTGACGTCAATGCTGTAGATTACTATGGGAATACGGCACTGAAGATGGCGAGGCTTAATGAAAATTGGAACCTGGTAAAGCTCTTGATAGAGGCTGGGGCGGACACCGGAGATGACAGCGACTGGATGGCACCATGACGAGTCCAGATGGCTGAAACGAATGTGACTGTAAAAACCAAGATGCTCATGAGATGTATATACGATATGTTATAGCTGCTCTAGTCAACATAATACTTGTAAATCAACCGCATCGCTTCATCAGTCCCCTCCTGTCGTCCCACCCCCCTCCCCCCTAACCTTCGTCCCATCCAACCTCCAAACACTCCCATCCAAAGCCCCCCTCCTCGCCCACTCCGTCACAAGCTGAAGCGGCGTCTCGTCCCCGTAGAACGGCAGCGGCACCTCAAACACCTCCACCGTCATCTTCTCCTCCGGATCAATCTCCCCCCACCGCTCCGTCCGCACCACGCCCAGGTCATACACCAGATCCATCAGCACGACCTTGATGTCCCGCCCCAGCCGCGCATCGTCCCGCGGCAGCTTGTGGAAATACTCGTCCTTGATGTTCACCGCGTCCAGCCGTCGGGCGCGCGAGCACGACGTGCTCCAGCAGCGGCAGCGTCGCAATGTCCCACCACAGCCAGTGGCTGTCCATCGGCACCCCGAACAGCACCAGCCGCCGCAAGCTCGGCCACAGCCGCCACACGTCCGTGTTGCCCTCCGGAACGCTCAGCGCCGGATAGCTCCCCAGGCACGCAAACTCCTCCAGCCGGTGCAGCTGCTCGAAGCCCTCCCGCAGCGTCCGCCGCACGCCCAGGTGCCCGTCGTCGAGCGGGTCCAGGCTGCCAAACGGCATCTGCACCACCAGCCGCCGCAGCGTCTCGCACACCTCGCAGAACAGCTCCCGCACCCACGCCGCCGTCGGCAGGTCGTCCAGCGACGCCCCAAACGGCGCCAGGTACAGCGCCGTCATGTGCCGCAGCGACAGCACCGGCGGCAAGGCCGGCACCAGCCGCGGCACGCACAGCAGCACGTCCGCCAGCCGCCGCGCCGAGTCGACGAACACGCACCGCTGCCGCAGCAGCCGCGTCGCGCGCGCGTACGTCGCCCGCGATACCCTCGTCAGCGCCAGCAGCGTCTTGGTCGCCGGGTGCGAGGCCGGCAGCAGCTGCTGCGGGTTCGGCGGCAGGACGGCGTCGACGACGAGGAGCAGCAGCTCGGGCGGGAGTGCTGGTGACGATGTGGGAGATGGAGGCGTAGGGTGGTTCGGTGACGGCGTCTTGTCTGCCGAGTTGGCGGGGCGTGGAGGGGAGTGAAGAAGCTCCATCAGCTGCAAAATGGCTGTCACATGTTTAGCAAAGAACAGGACAAGTCGTAACGGGGACTTTTCGAGATGCTTGAGCTGGCGAAGAACGTGAAGCTGTGATACAAAGTTGTGGTTTCTTGGCCAAGGTCGGCTTGTGCTTCGTTTGACGTCGGCTGAAGTTAGGCCCAGAGGTACGTACTGTACATACAGCGCCAACTCCACTCTGGTTTATGCCTCAACAACAGTTTGACTTGTTCCCTTATCTTATACCACAGCCATCACCGCAAGCAAATTGCATCATGAGAGCTACCACCCAGCTGAGATTATATACGGCATCCTAGGCCATGTTGTCTACGTCACGCTGTCTAGTGCAATCTACCATTAACCCCCCCAAAGTCAGAATTGTTATCAAATGAAAATCTATAGGCAGCTGCCAAACCTTTCAGAGATCCCCCAAACGCCGTACAATGAAATAAATCTCCCAGCGATCATAGTCCCGAATGAAACGATAAATATGCTACAACGGCGCGGGTGTCCCATTCCACCGCTCAAACGCCGTCCATGACCCTTCCCTCCATCGCACAACTCCATTCTGTGTACTCCTATACCCACACCTGTGACCATCACCGCTTCTTGGGCGCGCTCTCATAGCTAAAGTCCAGGCTCCAGAGTTGGTCCCACAAGACAGAGGTCCTCAGTGGGCTGGGGCTGGCAGCAATAGAGCTCTTGCGCCGTTGGAGACCGTGCGGCTGAGGCTGCGGCTGCGGCTGCTGTCACGAACCGATCAGTGACCTACGGCCCAAGTAGAGAGTCAACGGCTCGTACCTCGGGGTCCTTTCCCGACTTGTCCTGCGAAGACGACTCGCCTCGCTGCCCGCCCTCAGTATTGGCAGCGCTCAGCACGCTGCCCTGGACCGGGCTGGTCGCCGTCGGCGTTTCGGGCGCAGCGGCACGGAGAGAGTTGGTCTCGCTCGCCAGCGCGCTGTTCTTCAGCAGTGCCGTTCCGCCAGCGATGTGGAACGGCAGGGCCTTCTTAGACGCCGAGCTGCTCCGGCGGCTCTCCAGGCTCTTGGACAGCGTCTTGTTGATGCCTTCGATGCTAGTGATGCTGTCCCGGCTCCTCCCTTTGCCCTTGGCTGCGTGGGACTGAATATTAGCCGTAGCCTCGACGTTATTGGCCGCAACGGTTGATTTACCCATCCCTGGCGTTGCCGGCGCCCCTGCCTTGTCCTCTTGAGCGTCTATGAGATACCATCGCAGGCCGTCCGACAGCTGGAAGGGGTTGTCGTTGTCCTCGTCATTGGAGTCGGTTTCGTTGCTCGGCTGCAGGCTCTTGGAGAGATCCACGACACGCTCCTGGATTTTAGAGATGCGAGCAACAAGCCACTCGCGGTGACGCAGCCGATGGCCATCCTGCTCCCGGAGGAAGTAGTGTGGGAATCCCACGTTAAAGGCAGCCCAGGCTCCGGCTTGCTGGTTGCGGGTGGGCAGGAAAAGCGCCAGGTCGCCTTCTTTGAAGTTCCTAAACGCAATCTTGTTATGAGAGTCCTTTTGTAAGCTGTGCGCCCGGTCTCTGTACGATCTAGCCTCCCGCTGCCACTTTCGTGCCTTGTGCTCCGCCTCCTTGACCCTGTGGTAGATGGTGTCGGAGAACAAGTCGGTATCGAAGGAGCCCAGCTTCTCCATGAACGCCTGGTACTTCTCGTCCTCGACAGAGGGGTCGGAGTTGTTGACCCAGTAGAGGAGCTCCAGATCAGCGCTGTCAGTCATGGCACGGCCGCCCAGGCTGAGTGACCGGCGGATCGAAGAGCCAGGATCCGAAGAATCGTTGGGATTCGCAGCAAGCTTGTCGGAACGAGACACCCTCGTGATGACCATCTGGCCCGCGTCCCGGCTAATGGCGTACCCCACGCGTTCGAGGAGCCTGGTGAGACGGTCATTCTGAGAGTAGAGCCTCTGGGTGAGGTCCTTGGTCCGCCCGTCACGCGCTTCGTATTGCGCCGTGAGGGCCGAGAGCTTCGACTGGACGTCTTCGAATCTCTGCTTGAAGAGTCGGGCCTCTTCTTCGAGGCTACCGACTTGGGATTGCCGCCACGCAACCTCTTCTGAAAGCTCCGTCACCTTCTTCTCCTCCCTTTCAAGCTTCTTGCGGAGCGTCTCGGATCCGGTCTCGCCATCGGACAGCCGGCTGCGGAGTTGGTTCAGCTCCTCCCTGCTCTCGGCCACTTCGCGTTCCAGAGCCGAAACCTTGGCCTTTTCCTCGGCAAGGTTCTCACGAGCATGCATCGTAGACATCTCCTGCGAGGCGAGGTTGTCCTTCATCTGCGTCAGTTCGGCTCGGAGCTCCTTGGCGGCGCTGAGGGCCTTGTCAAGCTCCGAACGCAAAATCGATGTGTCGCTGCTCGAGTTACGCAGCTTTTCTACGAAATCAGCGGCGTTGGAGAGGAGAGCCTCGCCCAAGTCTGCCTCGTCAGTAGGCATGGCGGTGTCGGGCGATAGCTCGTTATGCAGCTTCTTCAGCCACTCGAGTCGGGACTCTGCAACCTCTTCTACCGACTCGAGCTTCTTGGTTGTAACCCGGGCCTCTTCCCGCAGCGTGCGCAGCCGTCGTTCGGAAGCGTCGAGCTGATCCCTCTGCATCTGCGTTTCCTTGCGCAAGAACTCGACCTGGCCCTGGGACTTGAGCATATCATCCTTTCGTTCCTTGTTGAGCTGCTCAATTTCCGCCTCGAGAGCTTGAATCTTCTCGTCAAAAGTAGCCTTTTCGTTCTCTCGAGACTCTCCAAAGTGGTCCATCTCTTCTTCCGTATCTTCCAGTCGAGCCTTGAGCGTCTTGATCTCGTTCTCCAGAGATATCCTCTCGTCCATGAATTCCCGTTTCAAAGCTTCCATATTCTCCAAAAGATCCTTCTTCGTCGAGTTGACTTCTTCGATTCTATCCTTCATGTCATCTCGCTCGTTGACGCGATTATCGAGGTCTTTCTGGAGCTCTGCCGAGCGCTTCTTTTCCTCGCGAAGCTCGTTCTCCAGCTGCGCTATCCGCTGCGAGAGCTGCTCTGTCCCGTCTGACAGTGGCTGTCGTTCGTCCACACGAGCCGACTTGATCGACGAGATGGAATTATGCCTCGAGTGTCCGTTCGCCCCCGGCAGCGCAAACAGATTGCCGGGGCGCGAGGCTTGGCTCTGACGGTGCAAGAGATCCTCAAGGCGGCGCACCCTGCTGTCGGCTGTCTTGAGCTTATTTTCCAGCCTGAGCTTCTCGTCCTGCAGGGAGGCGATGAGATCTTCGTCGCCGCGGATCATGAGCCCGCTTCTTCCCAACGCCGCCTCGTGCACGCTGCCGTTCTTAAATGCCTTGAGCCTCTTGGCCTGCTGCTTAGTCGGGGTGGTGAGCTCTTGGAGCAGCTTCGCGACATCGTCAACAATATCTTGGTCTACATTTCGCTCCTGCAGCAACTGGAGGAATTCTTCCAGCTCGGATTTTCCAATGGCAGGCCAGGACAGGTCTTCGCCGCGGAGGTTGACCTCGAGCCCCATGACGTTGGTGTCAAGGCCAGGCCCGTACATGCTGCCAACCATCTTCTGCCACTTCTTGCGGCGCTTGGACTCTTCATCCTGGAACAGGGCCATCTCATTGGCGAGGGTCGATGAGTCGGTCTTGATCTTGTCGATCCACTCGCGTCGACGAATAGCCTCGACCATGAAAGAGGCGTACATGTACGGCAGCTGCTGGATGAGCCGCAGATAGTCAAAGGTAGTCATATCGTCTTCGGACTGGTTCAAGACGTTGATTTGATTCCTGACGCTGCTGTGCAGGGTGGTGATTTCGGTAATGTTTCGCATAAAGTTCACTGAGTCTGCCGCAATGGTATTTCGTGCCTGCGTGGCGTACTGGGCCATCTCGTCCATCTCCTTTGCACGCTTCCGCAGAGTCGGAACCAGCCTTTCGGTGTGAATCGACGCCGTTTTGGAAGCCTGAGCCAGATCTCGCTGCGTGTTGCCGTAGGTGAGCGATGTACGATAGTCCGAGTCGATCTGCTTAACCACCACCTCGATATCTTCCATCAGCTGCGAAGAATCGGTGCTGTGGCCCAAGACCGACCGATTCATCAAGTTGTTGAACTCCCCAACGAGTGCTTCCAGCGCCTGGTACATCTGGGTCGCCGCTCCGTCCAGCTCGCTGGCCTTTTGGCTGAACCTTCGATGGGCTGTAGGAGCCAGCTTGCCAGCCTTGTTGGCCGTCTCTTGCTCGATCAGGTCTTCCAGCGTAGGATTGGCCTTGTTCACCTGTCCACGGGTCATGAACTTGACCAAGGCTGGCGATATCGGTATGCTCTTTGCCAGGTCGAGATAACGCTCCCACGAGGAAACCAGCTGCTCGTGCTCCGCCAAGGCCGGCGTCACCCATTTCTTCAAGTCGTTGTACTTTGGCTCAATCTGCTTGACACTGATCTCGACGTTCGTGACGGCGGCGTCGAGGCATCGGATCATCACGTCAATCTCGTCGTATCGGGCCTGCGCGGCGGCGTTCAATTGGGCGCAGTCGTCCATGATGCGCGTCGCCCAGGTGCGGCGCTCCCTGCAGAGCTCCTGCCATGACTTGATCGCTTGGACATCGTCGATCGAGTTCGGGGCGTTGGGGATGGACGGGCGGCGAGGCGGCGCGGCCTCCGATATGAGTGATGACGCACTCCCGGCAGAGGACGGCTGCGTGACGCGGATGTCGTAGATGTATATCTCCTTCTGAAGGAGGTCAGTCGCGATATCTTCTCCTTCTCCTTATCCGGCCGAATGCCTGATCATCACATACCTCTGCGTGTAGACTCGCCCATTTCACGCTGCGGCCCTGGGGCGTCAAGGCAACAATGTGCTGCAGCGAAACGGCGCTATTCCGAGCCACCCACGATCGCAGGTCGTCAAGACTGTTTGCAACACCACTCAGCCCATGCGCCGCGGACACGACGAAAACAAGACGGCACGAGAGAGCAAAGTTACCTGGCGAACTGCGCGGTATCGACTTCCAGCCGCTGGCCCGTATGGGCAATCAACACCTGTGTAGCCATCCCAAGACATCTCCCGTCAAGCACAGAGCGGCGCTGGGCTCATACGAGGCGGTAATTCAAGGCGTAATCGTAGTCAGACGGCAGCAAGCCAACAGCCAAGGTCGTGATGTACAGAACAACAGAAAGAGGAGAAGTCAGAGCACTTCTGTCGGCGCGGCACAGGGGCTGCCAACCCAAAGAAAATCAGATGCCGGTGATGCCCTGCCTTATCAGCGACACATGCAACTCGGTCACGTCAGGTAGTGTGACCGGTGCCTTGTGACTTTTTGTAGCAGTTGCGCATCCGTCCTCCTGGCGCATTAGATAAGCCGGAACCACCTGTGGCTTGCCTTCTGGTACAAATCGAAAGGCATCGCGCGACGCCACAAGCACCCTTGAAAGCTAACCAAAGGCTCTCGCTCATCCTCCCATCGCTTGTCCAGAGGGCATCGAAACTCAAAAATAGAACGAGCTCGAACCGAACCGTCCGACTCAAGTCACTCCATTCGAACAAATCAGCGCCCGCCATTGCAGCGACTTCCAGGGCAGGCAGACCGCCGCCAGCAAACACAATGAGTGAAGCCGACGAGGCCATGACCGGTGTAGACGGCGGTGAATCGCGTCTGCCCCTCTCGGAAGACGAGACCAAGGTGCTGGAGCTGTACGACAGGCTGCAGGAGCTGCGGCTCGAAATCGCCATTATCAACGCGCAGCAAGCCGGTAAGAAATCACATGCCAAGCGCATATCGTGGGGAAGTTATCGTGATTGTGCTCATCCGGCTCTGCAGGTATCAAAGATGATGATGAGGACGTCACAGCGGCGCAAAATGCTCTTCTTACAGCAAGAGCAAGGTACAGACTACGCAACGACGCAATCGAAGCCGTCATGGTCGCAAATCCCATCCTCAAGGCCGTCCACAGCGGCACGCAAGCAAACCCAATAGAGCGGCACGTATTCATCAACAGAACAAAAGACAAACTCAGCTGAGTCTCAATGCTTAAAACCCCCCAGCTAACCCCGAGTTTATACACAGAGATCTCTTTCCTTACATACAGCAGAGAGATGAAACCTCCATCTCGGTAGCCAAGCATGCAGACAGCATGACAAAGCTCCGCCGGGACCTGACCAGCGTCCAGGTGCAGAGTATACGCGTATGCCGCGACAACGTCAAGCTTACGGCACAGGTGTTCGAGCTCGCGGAGCAGGCCAAGCAGCGCAAGGCCGTCCGCCTGGACAACCCCGACGTCCAGCGGGAGATGGACAAGTTGACAAGAGAGGTCAAGGCCAGCAGGCAGCGGTGGAAGGTTATGAAGGGCGTAGCCAGTGGCATCGTTGCCGGTAGTGGCGTTGACTGGGCTGCGGATGAGGAGTTGCGCAACATCGTATTAGATCCTGAGGATGAAGACTAGATGCCGACCGGCTGCTGGAAAGCTCAGTGTCGTCAACACTTTCATAACATGTATCCCGCCAAGGGGCCCAGCATCTCGAGAAGCTGCTCTCGACTTCCAGTCACGCAGGTTGCTGGCCGATGCCTACTGGTAAGGGACTGCATCCTCGGGACAGTTTGGGCCTGGTCATCAGACTGCAGGAGGCAGTTGGGTCGATGCGTGTCAGACGAACCCGTAGATCCACTACAAGATACCTTCATACAAGTACGATGTCACAAGAACGAAGACACTCGTCACCGCCATGGCCAGCAGTGCTCAACACCTTCTCATTCACAAGCGCGTCTTCCATTGGGACGCGCCTCTTTACGCGTGAGACGAAATATGAAAGGAAACAGGTGTGGTGAAGAGCCCTGACCTTATATACGCATGACTAATCAGTGGCTGGGCCCAGCACTGCGCAAGATCAGAAGAGCTCTGTGCGCGCAGCTGACCAGACCGTAGGGAAAAAAAATTGACGCCAGGGGCAAAGAGACAGAGGGAGAAAAACAAGCCTCGAGGATGGAGCACGATGGAGCCTCAGAGTGAAATTGGGAGCCCTCGAGAGCCAATACAAACGCTTCGTGCCTTGTTCCTTGCGTGCCGCAGAGAAGGGATTCAGGGAGCTATGACCACCCGCCGAGCTGATGGCAGCCACGTGATGAACACCTGCAGAGGTGCTTTGCTTGTCCCTCAACGGCTCTGGGACATCTTTCAACAGCGAGGGCTGGAAGGCGAGATGCGATTTGATGCCGAGTTCGTCCTTGGAAGTCTGATATTGCTCTACACGCAACAAATTTGAATTCTGCTCTGTCCATTGACCTCATCAGGTGCACGCAGCGCGTTGTTGTCGGCGGCATGTGTTGATTCCACCTCACGCAAAAAGAGGCGTCGATAGAGTGGAGCGGGCATTGTCTGATCAGTCACCCAAGAATTTTCGCAGAGGCGTGCGTGGGGAGTGCGACAAGCACCAGAAAAAGCAGCGCGCGCCGGCGACAGGGTCGACGCATGTACCGCACAGTATCTGGCTGGTCGGGGAGCTACTTGTGGCTTCCACTGCGAGACGGCTCCTCTGCGCGACAGGCATCTGGGCTCCTCCTGGTGGGAAATGTCGGGGAGAGCGCTGCGTCGCATACTTGTACGGTACGGTTACGATGTGGCCGCACCCAACGTTCCCTTGCCGATACGGTACTCGGTGGTACCTGGCACATGCAGCCAAGTCTCGTCTCGACTCGTCTCGGGAGCTGCCTGTAAAAGGCACAAGCTGCAGAGCGCATGACCTCGACGCCGGTAAGCGATGATTTCAAGGTACAATCTGCATGTAAACCTGGCTCTTCGCGCCGATGCCCAATATGCCCTTCACTGCTTTTGCTTGCAAGGTACTAACAACAAGCAACTTGTTCATCTCCCCTCGGAATGCTGCAGGAGTCGGAATGGCTGGCCAGCCGCTGTACTCGTATGGTACCTTGGTGCTCTGCTCTGCTCGATATAGTCTGTACGCATGCGGTCCCGAGAAATGCCCAACGCGACAGACGCCGATATGAGACGCTCTTGTGTTTACGGGCGTAGTTGTACGGGTACTCGCCTGAACGAATGCGTTTTGTTGCCACTTGGAGTCCACGTACTTTCGTAACTCGGCGTGGCTGCTGTTTGTCGTACTGACTCGAAAAACACATTCGACTCCAACGTCACAGTAGCCGTCTGCTGTGGCAGTGACAGCAACTTCTCCATATGGTGTACCGCTCTCAACTGATCCTCTTCGTGTTAAGCCAGCTGGACTCGTCAGCTGCTTTGCCCGTATTACTTTCCCGCTTAACAAGCCCGAGCTGATACTGCTTCGGTCCATCGCCTATCAGTACGAAGTACAGGTAGCGCGGCTTGCGTATGACTGGCAACAGTGAGGAAAAGCAAGGCCTGATTGATTGCCAACATCTGTGAAGACTGCCTGTTCTCGCGCTTTCTGTTGCCGCTGGGAGGGTAAGGTACCAAGGGCGAAGTACCAGTACTTGCAAAAGTCGTATGACGGTACATTTCGTCATGCGCCACTACAAGTACACCCTTTCCATGGCAGCTCTACCTTTTTAGCCTGCAGTGGCACGACCCTCCGAACTCTCCGCCGCTCCATCTTGCAACAGGAAGCGGCCAGCAGTAAGCAGTCTATCCGCGACATTGGTAAGAAGTGGCTGTTCTTGATATGGCTCGTTATGCATATTCGGGATGATGCTCAAAGGGAAAAAAGGATGAATCTTGTTACCTGAGCATCTTGACATCTCCATCTCTCCCATCGAGCAATACCCCTGCAAGAGGTTAGTCAGTCGATCCAGTAGCACGAAGGGGGCCTTGTCTGGCCTTGTCTTTGGGGCTCAATCAGGTACCGCAGATGAGAAGGTCTGCCTGTATGCACCGCGGGTCTGGACAAGCTTGGTGGTCAACGTTCTGCCACGTACGGAGTACCCAAGCAACCAAGTTCTTGCCGAAGCGCACTTGATAGCGGTAACACTGATTAGCACGGAACGGCCGATGGAGCAATCAGCGACAACAGAGCGAGTGGTGCCGATGGCAATGGTCAGCTCTCCGCACGCCTGTTTGGCGCATTTTGCTTCAGCAATGCTTCGAGAAGACTCAAGGCCCGACTGGGGGCATCGAGCAATTCGCCCCCAATACGGAGTACCGGCCAACTAGCTGCCTCAACACAAGCAAGCGGCAAGCGGCTTGCTCTGTTCCGCGTGCGAGTAATAGGGCGACTCGAGCATACCATCTCAACAAAGATCGTCGACTCCTTCCCATACCTTGCCCAAAAGCTTGCCGCACATGTGGCAAAGGGCAAACACAACCAGCCCGCCCCGGTTCAAGTCGTGAGACCAGTGTGAGGGGAAAGGCAGATGCTCCACGCTAACAGCTACTGGCAGCAGTCGGCGCAACTCTCTGGCACGCCAATGCGAGCGTGTGTTGCAGTGAGGAGCGAGAGGTGAGAAGCTGCCTGGCTGGGCCACCCATAGCAATTTCCACGGCTTCCTTCGACGGTGTACTCGACCCAGTCAAGTCGCGAAAAGTACTACCAGTGATGGAAACACGGCCGTCTCAATTTCCGCACGGAAGTCAAGAAGCGTATGCAACTGGTCACGTACATGCCCATTGGCCTTGGACTCAACCTTGCTAGGCGCAAATGGCAATCTGCCAGCACTCCGTAATACCAGCTGGTACCTTTGCTCCATGCCATGCCTCGTCCGCGCTCTCGTACCAAAACACCAATTGCGTCCCAGGCTGAGCCGACTTGAGACTCACAGTAAGCCGATACGGCAGCAACATCGACGGTATGCACAGGTACCGGTACCACAGCAGCGAGCGCATCCACGCGCTGGCGAAGAAAAGGGAGCTGCATGCGATATTAACGCACTATCGCAAAGTACCTAGTAAGAACCTGGTAAGAAGTGCGAAACTCGACAAGCGCTGCAGTGCTTGGATTGAGTGCCATACGGTCTATCTCGTCAGTAGTAGTAGCAAGCATGGGAGAGGCCGTTTGTCTTGGAGGCGCGAGCGAGAGCGAAAGTCCGTCCACCCATGGCATGGGCAAGCCACAATGTCTTTTTTCATGTGGTAACTCCGCACTTTGCAGACCAGCCTATTGCGAATGGCACTCCAGACTGCGTGCTACTGCCGGAATTGGCTGTCTGATGGGATGTCTCTGAGTTGTTTGCACTCGCCCTCGCCCTCGCAGCGCAACCGGCAAAAACAAAGTACATGGGTGCCCTTCTTAGTACGAGGTACTACTCGATAGCACTGCGGGCAATGTCATCGAGGTGTGGCACCGCCAGAGTACAAAGAGCTTGGAGGAGGGTGTCAGTAGCATAAGGTAGACTTGCCATTGTAATCTTGTCGTAGGAGTCAGTATTACGGTAGGAGTATGAATAAGGTAGCAGCATCAAAAGCCAGGATCCAAAAAACACCTCCTTTTTTGTTGGCGTGAGCAAATAAATGAGATATCAATGGAGAAACTCTAGGTCTTGGTATCGCTCCTTCCTTCAGCCATAGAGCAGGCAGGTGCAGGCAGGTGCAGGTGCAGGGAGGCAAGAGCAAGCCAAGCTCGAGCAATCAGTGGTGGGTTCGCTCCGGTGAGACGCTCCCGTCGTTGGTAAGGTACGTACGGAGTACGAGGCAGGAACGGAGTACAAGTACAGCCACCCCAAGGATGGGCGGAGGTCTGGCGCTGGGGCAAGTACACCGTGCGAGCTGCGCGGCGGACGATGGGGTACAAAGGGCGTGTACTGTCCATGGGAAGGGACGGCTAAGCAGGCCTCGTACCTGTACAGTATTGCGCAATCAGCGGGCCAAGCAGCGCTCGCCTGTGACTGCCGCTGCTATCGTAGCTTGCACCGCATCCATGACGAAAGCGAGGCCTTGGGGAGCTCAGCTAGGAGAAGATAGACGCATGAGGCTTGCCGGATCGCCAGGTGAGAGAGAGCACGCTAACTTGTGGCTTCAACTGGTTTGATCGGCTTGACTTGTGCCACCTGCTATCTAGTAGTAAGTAGGTAGTGGCAGGAAGCAGAGGAGAAGGCGAGTGAAGTTGGACTGTGGTATTCGATCTGCTGGGCGAAAGAAGCTGTTGATATCGACCTGACGTGTATTATTAGTCCATACCATACTGAAGTATAAGCCGCTGTGTGTCCTGGCGTCCTGCTTGCGGTGTCAGCATCGATTGCAATTTCAATGCCAGGCAAATTCAACCTGTCACCAGTACTAAGTTCTATGAGATTTCACAAACAAGCAGAAGAGAAAGGATACGAGTCAACAGCGACATACAGACGTAACATGAACATCAACCAAGGCAGCTGAGTCGGCCGTCTCTCGCTGTTACCTCGTGCCGCCGCCGCAGGTACTCACCCACTGGGCGCATCCCGTCAGTGTGTACGAGTACCTCTGCGCCGCCCAGCAGCCCAGCAGCCCAGTGTGCGATGCCCAGTGTGCGCCCAGTGCCAGCCAGACCGTCCCCAGGGAACCGCCTGCTGCAGCGCTCCGGACCCGACCAGAACCTGAGTGTACCTGTCTCTGTACCCGTACTAGCAGTCCTGCGTGCTCCATCCGCAACCTCGACCCCCATGGCAGCAGCAGCTCGTAGTAGCACCAAGACCAGCCAGCCAGCCAGCACACTCCGTACCCAGTACCGTCGGTACCTCAGCGACCAGCGCCGGCGCGCCCACGGTGCAGGTACTCGGCGTAGTGCGTACCCCCCCAGCCCAGGCCAGAAACCGTCACCCCTCCAGGAGTACCTCCATAGTACGGAGTAGGGGAGCAGAAAAGTGTGAGCGAGCGTGGGCAAAGGACAGCGCTGGTGTGTGGGTGGTAGCTTTTTAGGCCGTCTGGCGCGTGTGCGCGTTCCCTCGGCAGCCCGCACTCAATCACTCGCCCATAGTAAAAAGGCTGCTTGGCCCTCCCCCCATACAGACTCGCTCCCCTTCTCCCTCTCCCATACAAATTCTCCCATACAAAATCCTCCCATACAAACCACAGCACCCGCGTCTTCGTCGCAACACAACGCGCCTATCTTGTGAGTACCTCGCCGTCGCCCTGCATCACAGCCAAACACCAGGTCACCAGCAACAACGTCGTCTGCCGCCCGCATTGCGCTCGTTTCGCTGGTGCCGACTGTTTTTTCCTTCGTTTATTGCCTCATTTCTGCCTCTGAAGCTGCATTTTTGCCAAAGTGCCGCGCTGCACTCGGTTGCATCTCTGCCTCTTCCCCATCACACATCCTCGCTTGCCTGCGCATCCCAGCGAAAGCACAGCTGCGCGCTGACCCGAGCGGTCGCTTTGAGAGGTGAAGAACCTCGACATCGCAACCACGCTTGTTGGCGAAAGGCACAAAAACCCTCTTCAAAGTATGAAGATGGCCTCTTTGCTGCATTTTTTGAGCTTCAAATCTCGTTTCCGCCGCGCAACCACCCACAATGGCACTCCATCGCCTCACCTGCTACCTCATGGCAAGCTCATCGAGCTGCACCGCGGAAGCTACCCCTCCACCTCTCTACCTTGATCGCTTTACCTGTCCGCCTCTTCCTCTCCACATCCCACTTTCGCCATGTCGTCTGTTTTGCCTTTGTGATCAAGCTTAGTCGCTGCCATTTGCGGGATTGTGGCTGCGCCCGACTTGTCGCTCTTTTCTCATTAGAACATCACTTTATCTGCTTTTGCACGTCTTTGTTCATCGCGACTAACGCAACTCATCTAGAAATTCACACATTCAAAATGCCCAAGGCCGCAGCAGGAAAGCGTGGTGCCAAGGACGGTGGCAAGAAGCGCACTAAGAAGGGTATGCTCATTGTCCTATGTCACATCAAAAGACGCATCTGTGGCTGACTTTACGCAGACCCCAACGCTCCCAAGCGCGGTCTCTCTGCCTACATGTTCTTCGCCAACGAGCAGCGAGAGAACGTTCGTGAGGAGAACCCGGGCATCTCATTCGGCCAGGTCGGCAAGCTTCTCGGTGAGCGGTGGAAGGCCCTCAACGACAAGCAGCGTGCCCCCTATGAGGCCAAGGCTGCCGCCGACAAGAAGCGCTACGAGGATGAGAAGCAGGCTTACAACGTAGGTCTTTGAGTCGACTGGCCGGTAATGAGATGCAAGCTGACCCGCCTGGACAGGCCGACCAGGAGGAGGACTCATCGTAAGCTAGGTTCAGCCGTGGTGGAAAATCCAGGATCATGATTATGGTGGTTCTTTCAGCAATGATTCATTAGGCCTTGGGCTGAGGATGACGGCCGCCGGCCGCTCGCCTCGGGGCCCAGGCTTGGTGATGTCGATTTCTTAGTCTTTTGGGCAGGACGGTGTTGTACGAATGCACGGAATGGGTTGCGTACTATTTGCTTTCAGGTGCCGGAAATTCAACGGAACAGGGTCTCGCATACTTGTAATTGTGGACGGGGTAGTGGCCGGCAGAGCTACAATGCGATATCATACAACTGCGTGAGCTTTCATTCATCGTAATAACAATGAAGCCACGATGCCATGAATTGAGAATATCAATACAACGATCAATTTGCCGTACCTGCGTGTTCCGTTCTTGGTTATTTCAAATTTTCTCTTGTGCCAATCAAAGTCAAGTCACTCCATTCCACCTTGAATCAAGAGCATCTCAATCAGCACCCTCTCATCGCCTCTCGGACACGCTTCTCCACGATCTCTACAGTTTCACAAGTTCGTGACTAAGCGGCTCCCATCTCCAATATGGCTGGCAGTAAATTGGCTGCATCCGGTGGAGGTGGCGGTGTGCAATCGGCTCGGATCAATCCAAGCTTGCGGAGCCTCACGACTCCGGAACCCGGAAGTGACCTCCGTCATCTCCAAGTCTGAGACTTGAGCACAGCCAGAGAGAGAAAAGAGGGCTGGCGACGATGGCTGCAAGAAGCGCTGCTACAACACCAAGTTTGGGGGCAGAGCCGGTCGACGGAGGCCCGGGCCGTGAGTAAGCTCTACTTTCCTAGCTCTCCACCACTCCGCCATTTGGCACCAGCCTCAAGGGCTCAAGGGCGGCTCTGCGGCTCCTTCGCCACAGCCCTCCCTCCACCTTGACCTCCCTTGCATCGCTAACAGACTACCACAGAGACACACCGGCAGGCTGTTAGTCCAAACGCCCATACTCGACAGTCGACGATGACCTACCCCAAGCTCCAGCCACATCCTCGCACAGGCTAAGGCTCGCGAGCATCACCGCTCAATCAGATGCCGGCAGCTAATCTGTTGGCAGCATCACGCCTCCACCCCAAGCGAGCCAATTGGTGCAGACGCAGGCCTCGCTCGGTGGGACAGAGGCTGCGTGCTTGTACGAACATGAACATGCTTTGCTGCATCGCTCCATGCAAGTGCCGGCCCAATGCACCGCAAACCGTCGGGTCGACACACGCTTGCTTTCGTGGCAGGCTGTGAGCTGCTGGCGCTGCTGCGAGCCTCCTCTGGCTCGCACCCGCCACCGCAAATGGGGTGACGGGCTCTCCCTCGCGTGGTGGAACTCTGGCGATGCAGCCGCTGGTCATCCGATGGATGTTGCTCGACCGCCGGCGGGGACTCGGGCTCGAGAGAGGCAGCAGAAGCAGGAAAGCAGCATGAAAGCAGCATGTGCACAATGTATGCCGGACACGCTGGCATCCGCTGGTGGTGCCGCATGTGTTGCAGTGTTGCAGTGCTGCAGACGCCCAAAGCTGCTTGCTCGGTGATTCCATTGCCTCTTGGCCCTTCTCCCTTCTTCTCCCTCTCCCCCATCCCCCATGCATTGGGCTGCCACCGGTGTGGGAGACAGATGCCCCTCCACGCTTCCGGATTCTGAGGTTGCATGCTGTGCTCTCAGTCCCCCCCCGCCCCGACTTAAACTACCGGGCCACCCTGCCACTCCGACATTTCGATTTGATCTGCTCCGACCCAATCTTTCGGATCCTGCCTGGCTCTCTTTCACTTTCTCTGGTGCTGCGACGGCTGGCCAGAGAAGCGCAGTTCCTTTTGCTCATTATACAAGCTCTCCCTTTCTTCCAACGTTTGACATACGGGTGCACCAATCGTATATCGTACAAAAGCTAGCTGTTGGTAAAAGCCAGTCTAAATCCATCGGCACCGGAGCGTGAATCGGCTTGACCAACAGCATATCTGAAGAGAAGGGGTAGCGACATAGGGATCGAGGGAGCCGACTGGTCTGACACTTGATTCATCTCAACCCGCCAAACGTTGGTTCATCTGGACTGGTTATGCTTGGATAGGTCACCTTGACTCTCGTCCAAGCTTTCGCCCTCTTTTTCGCCTTCGTATTACTGCCAACATCGTTCTTCGCCTAATTATTAGTTTAATCACACCATGGAGCTTTCGTCGCCGATTGAAGATGCAGCCCTGGTTGACGCCCATCTGCTGAAGGGATGCTGCTTAGAAGCGGACAGGTCGGATAGTGTCTGGCTGCGGCTCGAAGGCCTGTTCATCGCCTTGCCAGAAGCGAACCGACGGCACCTGAGGCCGCTCATCGACGAGATCAGGACCTCGAGCTTGCTTTTACGAGAGCTGGCCGACCTCTCCCAAGTTCACCAAGACCGTGTGCCGCTGGTTCTGGATCCTCTCAACACCGTGTTGCCCTGCATGTCTCGATCTCTGCGGGACATCACCACACACTATGAGAACCGAAAGTTGACCAAAGTCAACCGATGGCGAACAATGTTCCATGAAATGACCAACGAGGTCGGCGGCTTGCAACTACCGCAGCGATTCGTCGTCTACAACCATTATCTCTCTGCCATCCGGGATTTGCTCTCCAGGTAGGACACCTTGATGTCCTTCGTCCAAGTTCGAGCTGCTGACTTGCTTTTCCGAAGGTCACCCAACTTTGACCTCAACATGATGGAAGCTTTCCGCCTCCAGATTATGAATCTGCGAGAAGCCAGAGGAATCCGTAAGTGCATTCACGATCATTATGTCGAGATGAGGGCCCTCGACACTAACAAGTGAGCAGCTCCGCCCCCCATCCAGGCCGGTCCTTTGGTTCGTTACGGCACCATACCGCCTGCAGACTCGGACCCGGTAAGACAGCCTCACTCTTCTTGGTCGACATGCCGCTTACAATGTGTTGATGCAGTCCGTTCACTGGTCCGAGCAGATATTTTCCCTGCCATTGCCATCTCGCTCACCTTTGAAGAGCCAGCTCCCGTGAGTATTGCAAGCCGCCCTGGTACAGTGAGTTTAACTAATCGACGTCATGTCTGGCAGATCGGAGTCCTTTGGACCGCATCGGCCGTGGGGTCACCTCAGCATCCCTCATAACTCAAAAGTCTTGTTTAGACGGTAGGTTATCCATAGCAACGTTCCCTTTTTCCCCTGTGACTACATGCAAAGTTACTTACTGATCGAACATATAGGCCCATTGATGACGACAAGATTTCCCTTATCGCCTACTCTGATGGACGGGATGGCTCGCCATATCTGCTCCTTCGAACTTTCTACATGGGTGGACCATGGTTCTCGCTTCGCGGCGTCCACGAGCTGTGCATCCAGCGTGAGAATGACGCCATCCTATTCAAGAGATGGAGCCGCTCCGAAAACTGTTCCAAGCTCTGGGCAACATTGCGCTTCCAGACGTGGGAAGGTATGTTTGGCTTACCCTCTGTTGAATCAGACCTGGCGATGATACTTTCGTTGAAGGTGGACGTCCTGAATGTTCGCCGCTAATATGCAATTTCCAGAGCTCACCCTCATGTACTGCACGTTTCTAGCCCTCAAGTCCCGCAACACCTTGACAGTCCAGCTGGGAACCAAGGAATACGCCCTCAAGGGTGAAAAGAAGCTCTTTCAAGCGTGAGTCTTGTCTGTCTGTCCAAGTTGGTGCCAGCTTAGTTGCTAAAAGGTTTTGCAGGTGTATTTTGGACGACGGATTCAAGCACTCCCTCATCGTTTACGAAGACAAGTATACAGGCGGCCGCCGCATCCACGTCGCCGTTTGGGAGGGCGAGCTGCGCCAATGCCCTGTCTGGACAGCCTTTAGTTAGTTTTTACTCCCCCCTATTCAACCTACCTATTCAACCAAGATAAAGAAGAGTCATTAACAAATCGTTCATAGTGACCCATCAATCTGCGTCGCCCACCTGGCTCAAGCGCGTCAGCCGCAAAAGAATCCGCCTGGCCGACGTCCAGCTATACGTTTTCTGCCAGCAGTACAGACAGCAGTCGCAGCGCAAAGGCACGGGAGGATCCTTTGAGATTCAGTTTTACAGCGAAGAAGGTATGTAGTATTCCCCATGCCTCTTTTCCCTCGAACCCCCCTCCCCTTTCTCCAGTCTCTGAACGAAATCACCTCCATTAACCGCATTCATACAGCCGCCCAAAGCTTCAAGGACCTCTTCAATCCTATCCCAACAAAGTCAAACATGTCGCGGCCCATCACGCCAAGACCAATCACACCCAGAATCGCATCTCGGCCAACAACCCCACGAGCCTAATCTCGAAACGATTCACCCCAATACCTATTGCTTTATCCAGATATATTTCTATCGGTTTTCATCAAGTCCAACTCGACGACTTCTGCACCCAGCAACCCTGGCCACAAGTTCCTTTGTTTTGTTTTTTCGCTGCTTACTTTCTTCTACAACTCACGCTTATACCCCCCTCTCGACATTTCTCCGATACAACGCATTTTTAACGACATGATGACTGAATTAATTCAAAGACCTGGCACAACTTATATATCTTTTTTTTTTTCTTGCTGCAAGGCGACTTGGCGTTTTGATATTTTTCTGCAGCAAAAAAAGGTTATATATGAAAGGGTCATGATGATGCTCGCCATCCAAACCAGATACTGTTTGTTCTGTTACGATTCTACATGCTATGGCGAATTGACGGCCATCATGATGATATTCTTCGGTATTGGTTTTCATGATTTATACGCTCGCGAGTTTTTGAACTTCATATTCTGTAATTCGTTACTTTTCATAAAACTATTTACTGGGCATAATCTCGTACGATTTTCCGGTACTGTCCTCCCACACGTTCCAAGCACTACGCTTCAATTACACAAAGTAAACAGAACATTTTTCGTCATCCGGAGCTTAGGTCTTGACATCGGGCTCGTCACGGCCAATGTGCTCCTTGAACTTGAGCAGCTCCGTCGCAAACTTGACCTCCTCCTTCAAGAAGTCCTGGGCATCAAGGTCGTACTTGGAGGGATCGTCGGTGTGCTGCTCAATGTACAGGCGGATGGTGGCGCCAGATGAGCCAGTACCCGAGAGACGGACGACGATCCGGCTGCCGGAGGAGAAGCCGGCGTACAGGCCCTGGTTGGAGGAGACGGAGCCGTCCAGGTCGGTGTAGGAGAAGTTGCCAGCCTTGGTGACGGTGCGCTCTGTTCATAGCAGGTTAGTCCATGATGCTGCCAATTGGTTCGATCTGAATGGAAAGGGATGCTTACCGCCAATGGTGCTGCCCACAAACTTGGGGTCCTTGACCAAAGCCTCCAGCTCGCCAACGACCTTGTTGGCACCGTCGGAGTCGACATTCTCGTAATCGTATCTGGTGAAGAACGTACGGCCGTACTGCTTCCAGAAGTCCCTCTGGATCTGCTTGATGGAGGGAGCGACATCAGGGTTCTGGACGCCCAGAGCGGCGATGATGTTCAGCCAGGCGACAATAGCCCACAGACCGTCCTTCTCACGGATGTGGTCACTGCCGGTTCCGAAACTCTCCTCACCGCAGATGGACAGCTTCTTCGCGTCGAAGAGGGCGCAGAAGAACTTCCAGCCCGTGGGGACCTCGTAGCAGTCGAGGCCCTGGGCCTTGGCAACCAGGTCGACGGCGCCGCTTGTGGGCATGGATCGAGCCAGGCCGTTGACGCCGTTCTTCTGGAAGTAGGGGATGAGCTTGGCGTGGTGGGCAATGATGGCCAGCGAGTCTCCGGGAGACACGAAGGCGTTGGCGCCGTAGATCATGTTTCGGTCGCCATCACCATCCGAGGCAGCGCCAAAGGGAATGTTGTTCTTGTCGACCACCTCGACCAGCGAGTGGGCATAGGTAAGGTTAGGGTCGGGGTGTCCGCCGTTGAAGTCGGGGCTGGGCACGCAGTTCTGGCAAGAGCCCGTGAGACCAAGCTCCTTTTCGAAAATGGCCTTTCCGTAGGGACCCGTGACGCCGTGCAGGCCGTCAAACAGGATCTTGAAGTCGGGGTGGGAGGAGAAGAACTTCTTGATGGTGTCGAAGTCGAAGATGTCCTTGAGCATGGCGACGTAGTCGGCGGTGCTGTCGATGATCTCGACCTCGAGGGAGCCATAGGTGGCGGTGCCAATGGTGGAGATGTCGATGTCGGGGATGTCAGCGATCTTGTACGAGGTCAAGTTCTTGGACGTCTCGTATATCTTGTTGGTGACGGACTCGGGAGCGGGACCGCCGTTGGACAGGTTGTACTTGATGCCGAAGTCGTTCTGGGGGCCTGTTTGTAAGAAGCTCGTCGTCAGCACCTCGTGCCCCTTGATCTGCGTCCTGACGGCCTTGAGGGACTTACCGCCGGGGTTGTGGCTCGCGGTGAGCAGGATGCCACCAGTGGCCTTGCGGAGACGGATGACATGGCTGGCGGCGGGAGTGGACAGGATTCCGTTCTGGCCAATGAGCAGCTTCTTGACGCCGTACGCGGCACCGATCTTGGCGATCAGCTGGATGACCTCGGGGTTCCAGAAGCGGCCATCGCCACCAATGACGAGGAAAGAGCCTGGACCCCGGAGGAGCAGAGCATTAGCATTGAGCTGCTTCTAGCACGTTGTTGTTGTTTTGTTGGTATTGATGGACGGTTCGTACCCTCAGCGCCCTCGGGGATGGACAGGAGGATGCTGGCGACGAAGGACTCGCTGTAGTGCGGCTTCTGGAAGACGGTGACCTTCTTTCGCAGGCCAGAACTGGAGATTCAACGTCATGTCAGCGATTGCCGTTCGATTGCGCGTAGAGGAGAGAGAGAAAAGAGAGCAAGTCGATGACGTACGTTCCGGGCTTCTGGTCCTGGAAGGGCTCGAACTGGACGGTCTTGATGCTCATGGCGGCGGCGAGGAAGTGGAATCTAGGGCGAGGATAAGGATGAAGGAGAGCGAGAAGCAACAGAACAGGCTATGAAGAGCTTTTTATCGCCAAATTGCCTGAGGGAAGCTGAAGCAAGCGGGATAATAATAGGGGATGGCAAGCTCTAATAAGGGGCGATGAGGGGAGCTCTGCTCTGTGGTGGGGATTGGGCATGGAGGGGCAGACGGTGCTGGCGGGGGAGGTAATAGCACTGTCCTGGCTGCAGTCAAGCAGGAGTAGCTGTACAGTAATTGCATACAGTGTGAGGCCGACCCTCTCCATGGCGACGGAGCTCGCCTTGTCCAACGAGAAGCCGAGCTGTCGACCAACAATGACATCAAGCAGGCGCAATTGGGTGATTTTCCTTTGGTTTTGGGTGTGGTTGGGTCTTACAGGAACGGAGCACAGAGACGGCGAACTGTACATAGTCTTGACATCAAGCAGGTTTTCTTCTCATTGCGGAGTATCAACCGGCGTCTTCTTCACGATCTGGCTTCTGCTGATGCCGGTGAGGCTGTCGACGACGATGCCGCCGCGAAAATCACCTCCCGGTAGTATCTGGCCTCCGCGATGCTCTCCAGAATGTCGTCCCTGGCCTTGTGGCGCCCCATCTTAGCCGGCGCCCTCGACAGGACCTCTGGCCTGCTCCACCGCCTCGCAGCCTCCTTGATGGAGCTAACGTCCAGGATGCGATAGTGCAGATGCTCCACGACCTTGGCGAACGGCTCCTTTCGCAGAAACGCTCGGTCCGCGTGCACGCTGTTGCCCGCCAGCAGCGCCGTGCGCGGCCTGGGCACGAACCGCGTGATGTAGCGGTACAGAGCGTCTGCGGCCTGCTCCGGCGTCGTATCCGAGGCGAGGACGGCCGCTGTCAGGCCCGACTTGCCGTGCGTGTTTGTGCACCAGTCGTCCATCTGGTCCAGCCGGGACTTGGGCCAGTGGATGACGGCGTGGAAGCCCTTAGGGTCGACGATGTCGAGGTTTGCCGTCGTCAGGATGCAGTAGATCTCCAGAATCTCCTCCGTGTCCGGGTTCAAGCCCGTCATCTGCAGGTCAACGGCACCACCGCAGTAAGCACGCAAGATCAGCAGAGAGTTGGGTTTCCAGATGGGCAGCAAAGTGTGCCAACGGCCATTCATCAATCTCTCTCACCTCGCAATCGATCCAAACCAGGGCGTCGTCCATGGCCGCGGCTTGGCTAGGAGACTCGGATACCGGCTGTTCTGGCTGATCGGATGTAACCACACAGCAGGCGTTGATTCCCAAGCTTGAATCTGAGCCTAAACGGCGGAGAAATATGACAAAGAGAGGGTAGCGAGAGAGAAGCCAGGATAGATACAACTAGTATTCGCCCAAGTAGTGAATTCCGAGTAACGGCGACGGGCTGCTTTTCTTCGTTAGGTTCCAATTGTGCGTCGATCCCAGCGAGTGATTGCTGTGAGAACTACTAGTATCAGAAAACTCGAGCTGTCTGGCAACTTGCATGCAGCGTCGGGCCCTCTACAGGCCCCTCTTCAGGCCCTGCAACGCCTATCCTGCAGCTTTAGCCACCGGTGGGCCGGCATTTAGCGATCGAGGGCCCCTGTAGCCCCCTGTACTTGCAGCCATGTGGCGCTGTGGCTGCCCTCCACCCTCACGTCTCTGCTCCAGCTCTCTCCGCTTCCCCTCAATCCTCTTCTCTTCCCCCCTCAGAGTCTTTCCCCATACAAGCATGGCCTCGATAAGCAGCGCCATGATGCTCCTCCCACTAAACACTAGCCGTTCTAGCACTGGAACGTTGCAACGCCTTCTGTCCAATGCTTGTGATGTTTGGAATCAGCTGGACTTGATTGGACGACTCTGCGGTGGTCGTTGACAGCGTCCCTGGCTAAACGGCAGTTTGGATTCATACCTAGCTATCTATATATACACGGAGCTTTCACATGCAGTTTCGACATCCACGGATGGACGTTTCGACCTCCACGCGTCGATATCAGAAGGACTCTACTCAATAATCTCGAACAGCTTCAAAGCCGTCGTCGCCATGGCCTCGCTCAAGGTCTCCAACGACCCCCATGTGAAGCCACTTCCACGGCCTGAAATGTCCGACGACCCTCCTCGCTTCATCATCATCGGCGCCGGTGCCCGAGGAATCGGCTACGCCAGAGGCATCGACATTGCCAGCAACGGCGTGGTGGCAGCTGTGGCTGATCCCAACAAGTATCGACGAGAGACGCTGGGGAAGCAGCACATCTGGGGCACCAACAGCCCCGGAGAAGGCCAGATATTCGAAGACTGGCGTGATTTCGTCGAGTACGAGCACAAGCGGCGCCAGCGGGTAGCCAATGGCGAGAGCAATGTCCCCAAGGGCGTCGATGGCGCCTTTGTCTGCGTCCAGGATCAGATGCACCGAGAAGTTGTCGTTGGACTAGCACCGCTGGGGCTTCATATAATGTGTGAAAAGCCCCTTGCACCATCACTGGACGAGTGTCTCGACATATACAAGTCTCTCAAGCCGCTGCTCAAATCCAACATCTTCTCCATTGGCCACGTCCTGCGCTACAGCCCTCATAACATGATGTTGAGGAAGCTGCTCGTCGAGGACAAGATCATTGGCGACATCAACAGCGTCGTCCACACAGAGCCCGTGGGGTGGTGGCACTTTACACACTCGTACGTGCGAGGAAACTGGAGAAATTCCAAGACGTCGGGTCCGTCGCTGCTGACCAAGTGCTGCCACGACGTCGACCTGATCCTGTGGCTGCTCTGCTCGCCGGAAAAGGCGGGCCAAGGCGAGCCTCATCTGCCAGAGTACGTCTCGTCTTCCGGTGGCCTGCAGTTCTTCAAGAAGAGCCGTAAGCCTGCCGCCGCTGGATCGGCTACCAACTGCATGACGTGTCCCTTGGGCGACTCGGGCTGCAAGTATTCGGCCAAGAATGTATATCTGAGCGCCAACTGCGAAGGAGTCGGGACCGGCAACACGGACTGGCCCCTGACCACCGTCGTGCACGACATTGAAGACTACAAGACGCTGGACGAGCGCAGTGCCGCAGTCACCAAGGCTCTGGAGGAAGACTACGACGAGTCCACCCCCGAGGATCAAGTCAGCTCGCGCAACTGGTTCGGACGGTGCGTCTTTGAGGCAGATAATGACGTGTGCGACGACCAGTTCGTCACCATTACCTGGCCCGAGTCTGTCAGGCCCGCCAAGCGGGTGACCATCCAGATGGTGGCCCAGACCAAAAAGCAGTGCTACCGCTTCTCCTATTTCTACGGCGAGCACGGCGAGATATACACAGATTCCGAAAAGATTGTCGTAGAGGACTTTAACACAAAGAAGCAGACGGTATACACTCCCCACATCGAACACAAAGGACATGGCGGCGGCGACCTGGGCCTGACGAGGCAGTTTGTGCTGGCCTGCGACCGCGTCAAGAATCATGGATGGGAGGCCGAAAAGGCGCAGAACGAGTTTGTCGGGTGCACTGTGGAAGAGGTGATTCGCAGCCACGCAATGGTTTTTGCCGCCGAGGAGGCTCGGGTGACCAACACGGTTGTCAACTGGCAGCAGTTTTGGGATAAGGCGACAAGGGAGTAGAGCTGCCATCTCAAAACGTGATGTTGGGATATCTCGTGCGAGGCCTGAAAGGAATATAATGGATTCATTTCGTCATCTTCTTGAGGACCAAATATCGATTATAAACGTGAATGCATCAGATATATACCCTGCGCCTTGGGAAACGAATAACAGTTATCCTTCCTTCCGTGCCGATCCAATTCGTAATTTCATCTCTAGCCGTCCATCCAAGAGCTCAACCAACAAATGCTTCACATTAACCTGCACAGTTCCACCCTTGTCAAGACGCAAAACAACAGAATCGACATTCCTTCGAAATCCAGACATTGCAATTCTACATATCCAACTAGCTACCCAGCTCTGCTCTGTTCGTCTCTGCCCCAACAGGACTCACCGCCGCCAACTCAGTCGGCGGCGGCGACTGCTGCTGCGGCAACACTTCTCCCTCCTTGAAAGCGCCCGGCGTAGAACCATTCACCTCCACAGGGTAATTGTACTGCTGCTGCTGAGGCGGATACTGTCCCTGGTGGTACTGCTGCGGATAGACGCCGCCCTGCTGTCCGTACTGGCCCATGTGCTGCTGTGCGTCGTAGCCCTGCTGGTGCATGGGCACGGGGGCATATCCAGCTGGCACACCAGAAGGATACACAGCTCCTCCTCCAGGGGCAGCGGAATTCTGGTTGTCTTGAGGGGGGGTTCCGCCTGCAGCTGCGTTAGAAGGAGCATTCCCCGTCTTCTTATGTCGACGGACAAAGAGGAATGCCGCCAGTCCGACGAGGCCGAAGGCGGCAACGCCTCCGACGGTCCCTCCTGCGATGGCGGCGACCGGAGTGCTGCTCTTCTTCTTGCCGGCGGGCTCCGGGGTCGCAGTCGTCGATGATGTCGAGGTTGACGTCGTGGACGATGCAGAGGATGTCGTGGACGTTGTGGTGGTTGTGGGTCCGAAGCTGTGTGTCGAGGACCAGCCCGGGTCGATGGTCAAGAGGGTTCCTCGGCCTGCCTGCGGGGAGCAGTCGAGGAGGGTGTACAGGCTGGTTGCGTCGTCGCTCGCGGCGGATGTTGAGACGACCCATGTGTAGCAGGCGGGGAGAGACGATGTTCCGCTGGTGGTTGGTGGTTGTTTTGTTTAGCTGAAACCTCCCTCAAAGGTGAAAAAGGGGGAAGGAGGAGGAAGAGAGAGAGAGGGGGGGGATGACAGAAGGGCTTACCAGCAGAGAGTGTGATAGTCGGAGGGGAGGTTGCAGGCGCCGCCTTGGGAGGCCTTGTAGTCGATGCACGTCGTCTTGATGAGGCTGCAGGCGCTGTTGGGCTCGCAGCATCCCACATGGCCTTGTTGAGGGGTGCATGTGAAGCCGGACGATATACAGGTGAATGAGTCTGTGTTTCACCAAAGGTCAGTTCAGTCCCTTCATCTTTTATTTCCGGAATTCGTGATACTTGAACAGAATAAGATGAGAACCCAGGCAGATCAGGAATCCCGGCAAACAAGAACAACAAGTTCACAGGTTTTAGAAAGAAGGAAAGACGACTCACTCCCAGCAGTCCCCGGAACAAACCCGCACGTCTGCGGCCCCAGCGTAAAGTCATCCGCCCGCGGCACCATCATGCGTCCCAGCAGCGGCTTCGGCGCCTGCGTCGGCCTCGGGGACCAGCCCAGGGCGAGCTGCTGGTCGGCTTCGTGGCCCGCGGCGGCGACGGTCTCTCTGGCTGGCGATGCCCATGATTCGTGGAGGCCGGACTTGGGTAGCGGCTTATTGTTGTCGGCTTGGGCGATGGAAGCAGCGGCGCCGAGGAGGAGGAGGAGGAGGCTTGTTTTTGGTATGTGGTGCATTGATGCGGTGGTGATGCGTGTGTGTGTACCTTCTTTGGAGTTTTGAGAGACTAATGAAAGATGGAACAGGACCTTCTTTCTATATTGCTTGGTATATCTCAAAACGAATACAGCATAGAGGCAACGAAAGGAGGAGAGCACCAGGTTCAGCTGAGCTGGTGTGGTCTCATCGACAGCACAGCAGAGGGGGGGATGAGAGGAACCGCCAGCCAAGAAGCAAGCAAAGTACTCCTTTCCCTGCTGAATTCTCCCAAGCACAGAACGCAGAAGAGGAGGAGGAGGAGGAAGAAGAAGAACAGAACCGAGCAAAAGTAATGGAAGAGAAGACAACTCGCTCGCACCGCCTCTCCAGCCAATATGCGGCTCTTCTTCAAGCAGGCACACTTATTACCCACTCACTCACACCCCAGCAAAACTCTCCACGATACACTTACACCCACCTCGAAATCTCTCCCCCAAGAGGCCCCAAGCTATCACTCGTACTTCGTCCTCGGGGTTCCTCGCTCTCTCAACGTCCCGCCGTATACACAAGCACACCAAAGAAAATCAGCGGCCTGCATCTTCCTCCTAGTCCCGTCCCGTCCCCCCCGTCCATCCAACAAGAGTTAGCCGCGAGAGCCACCCGCAGCCACAAAGCCAGAAAGAATCGACGGGACACCGCATACAAAAAGTAGGTAGTAGTAGTAGTATCAAGAGAAACAAACAAATGAAAACAGAAACTATGCTTAAAAAAAGGGCCCCTCGGGCTAGCCGGGATTGTTCAGCCCCGGACGGGCAGCCCATGCTTCTGATTCGCGGCTGTGGATCGAGCTGAACGGAGGAGGAAGCGCGAGAGAGAGAGAGAGAGAGAGAGAATCACATGGAGTTAACCCAAATCATCTGGGCCGACGGGGTGCATTTGCATGAAGGATCATGATAGGCGGGTTGCTAGTAGTAGTACTAGTAGTACTCCGTAGGTAGTAACAGATACTCGTACGAGGCTTTTCTGACAAGGGTCGGGAATCATGTCCGTCCCATCTCTTCACTTGCAAGTACTAGATATTACCTGACTTATACGAAGTACATAGTCTCGATCAGCTCTCCAGCTCATCCATCTCGCCACTCCTCTCTCCCTCATCTTTCCAAGACAGCATTAACAATGGAAAACAACAAGCTGCACTGCAGAAACGAGGGAAAACGACAAACAGATCGGCGCACAAAGACCCCTGTCAAGCCATCAAACTGCGGCTGGAAAAGCTGTGCGACTTCTGCAGCTGAGCCACGCCCCTCCTCCTCCAGTCCGTCCGTCTCCCTGCATAACAAGTGCTACAACTATGAATGCTACTAGCCGTACCCAACTAGTAGTATTATTGATCGGAGGAAAAAAAAAAAAGAAAAGAGAGACAGAGAGAAAGCGGGAGAGAGAGAGAACAAGGCGCATCATGTTTCTGTTTTTAGTCGCAGCAAGGCAAACGAGCGCATGTCTTGGTAGTACCAGGTAGTACTACGAAGCTGTATCACAGGCTCTGTCTGTATCCTCTTTTGTCGAAGATTATCGACCGAGGTTTGCAAGCCTTGTTTCTCTTGTGAGACACGAAGCCTTGGAGGTTGCTTTGGAATCATACCAGAACCCCATCTCATCATCCTCATGTTCCTATTTGTCTTATTCCTCGTTCCCCCCTCTTGACAGAATCTTCTACATAACTCCTCCAGAAAAGCAGCCCAAGTATGTATGTAGATGCCCAAAACGCACTTATGCACACACACACACACACACATACTAACCTAAAGCTCATGCAAACCAGCGACCAGATAGATTTCCAAGCACCGCAGCTACCTATCCAATAAATACTCAGCCTCAGAAATCTTCCTTAAAGATGCCTGACCCTCGGTTGCAGGGCTGAACCACACGGGAACGAGACGAGTCGAAAAAAAAGCCCAGCGTCCGTCTGTCCGACCCTTCTTGTCTGTTTCCCGCTTCTGCTTTCAATCTGCGCCCGGATGAATTGATAATTTGATATGCTATTGTATTTTGCCTCCAAACTATTTGAACATTGATCTTCAGCCCGCTCAGCTGGAAGTCATGATCACTAAGTCAATGAGAGAGAGACAAGAGCTGTAGAGGGCACAAGCTGATGATACGAATCCCCCCCTCCCAACCTCCCACCACAAAAGCTGAGCAGCAAATACACAAAGCTCTCTCTCCTCATTCTTCAATACCAGTACCATAGACTCGGCCCAACTGAACAGAGAGAGAAGATGAATTATGAGTACTTTAAACTATTCAATCAGTCGTAGATATGACCGATAGCTCACTACACGCGCCATGTGTTAGAATCGCACAAAGGGACTAATAGTGCGAATGAGAGGGAGAGAGAGGAATCATGTCAAAATATGCTTCTCATCCGACCGTATCTTCCACAAGTTAAAAAGGCAAACAAGGCCCAGTCGCATCGACTTACCGCCCATCGTTTCTGCCCTTGTCCCAAGTTGCCGCTCCAATATTACTCAAAATCTTACCCTGTACCCCCGTCAAGGTTTTGTAAGACAAATCACCAATTTCCTGTGCCGCGGCACATTAAATCTTTCATCCACCTCCTCTTCATGGACAAGACACCGTTCGGGCCCCCATTAGGGCACATTTTGTGTATTGCCATTAACACCGACAATGGGACAACTGAGGGGGGAGGAGGCAGGCCAAGGAAAGCTTCATTGCTAGCAAAAGAAAGACAAACAAACAGCTTGCGCGTTCGATCCGAAGATCTCTACCGAAGAGCAAAGCAAAACAATCTCGAGGATCCGTGAAATCAACGACACGAGTCGACGTACATCTCAACCCTCATCAGACGCCAACCGATCCCGGCCCTGGTCTATCAGACAAGGCCATCCGTCGCCATCTCCAACGCCAAAAGCGCAAGTTCACAGGTTGTGAAATGGGAGCTTCCTGTCGAGACCGCGTCGCAACAGCCCAAGATTCTCATCGTCGCCCCCCTTGATCTCGCCCTTTCGGAGCAGGAAATCAAGCATGACGAGCCCGCAGTTTGGCTTCCACTCGGCATTCTTCAGATCCCTCTTCACCTCCTCCACCGTCTTCAGCACGAAGCCGTCGATAGACTCCGGCTCCTGAGGATACGGCACAAAGTCCGGGCCAACCTCCAGGTCGAACGTGTACCGGATCCCGGGCTCAACGTGGCCCTCTTCGCTGCCGGCGACATGGTCCTTTTGATCATAGAACGAGATGAGCGATTCGGCAGTGACTTTGCCCACATAGCCACCGTTCCAAGTCACAGTCTGCGACGCAGCATCGACCTCGAGGCCTGCTTCCTCCATGGCTTCGCGCTTCAGCGTCATCAAGGGCTCCATATGATCGCCGGGGTCCATTGCTCCCGCCACCAGCTGGTCGAGCTTTCCGGCATATGTAACATTCTGAGACCGCCTCGAAACCCACACGTGAATCCTGCCGTTCCTCACGGTATACATGTTCATGTGGACCCCCGTGGTGACGATGCCAAAGATGCCCCTGGCGGGCGAAGCAATCACCAAGCCGGCTAGCTTTACGTCGAGGCCGCGGATGGGGTGGAAGTCGGATTGTTTCTGGAGCCACCTTCGGAAGCAGCCGTTGAAGTTGTCGACGTTCTTCTCGCAGAGGGTGATGAACTCGCGGCGGCAGATCTCGACGACGTCATCGCCTTGCCGGACGACCGGATCCAGATGTATCCTGCGCTCGGATTGGGAGACGTGGAAGCTCGTGTCTTCCCATCTCATCTCGGCGACATGCTCAGGGAGCATATATCCAACGGGAACTGAATTGTCCAAAACGGCAAACTCCCACATGGCCGCACTCTTGGCCTCGTCAAACTTGTTGCATCGGCAGATGACGTCCCAAAAGGAGCCCATCTCGCTCGAGTCAACGTCGACAGGGGAAATGAGCCACGCGTGCAGAGAACCAGGGATTGTCGCAGGTATTGGCGAGGAAGGCCCAGTATTACTGGCAGACAAAGTGAGAGACGCCATGCTGGGCTATATAAGGCGAGTCTCAGGACGAACAGCACTGGCCAGTGAGTCGGTATCAGAATCCCTCTCCCTCTGCAGTATCGGGGCCTCTGCGAACACAAAGTGGCTCGTGCCGTGCCGTGCCGTCCCAGCGGCGGTTGATCACGGCCGACTCTGGTGACTCTATCCCACCCAAAGTCTCGTTAGGACAAGACTGAAGTAGAGACAAACGGAAAGGGGAAGACTACATACTCTGGGAGACCGGATAATTGCTCGATAGAGAGCGTCTGACCCAATGTCGATTGGGGACGTTGGACCACACAGGATGACGACCGAGTATTGTACTCGGCAGATAGAGCACATGCATCACATCATCTGCATTCCAGGAGGAAGGCCTGAATATATGTGACACATTTTCTGATGAACATGGAGATGGGACCCGAATGTGTGTTACCCAACGCAGGTACAGAGCTTAGCTTGCTTCCGACAGAGGGCGAGTCGGCATGGTGCAGTCGTCAGAGGACACTGCACGTTTTTGCATGGCAATGGACATTCTACCGAAGCCCTGGGATTGGCAGAGATGCTCGTCCGGAGCTGCTACGCGCTGCAGCTTTCCGAGCATCGCTGACGGCGGCATCTATAATGGCGCAGAGAGGTCCGGGCTGGGGGGGGAGGGGGTTGAGAAAAGCCATTGATATCACGGCTCTCTTCCCGCCTCAGTCACCCACGTCCATGTCCGCATCCGCGTCTATCCCCGTTGATGCTGCCCGTACCGTGCAGCTCCGCTGTGGGTAGCATATGCAGCTATCAGTCGACTGCTGTGCTGAGCCAGAGGGCAAGCTGAGAAAAAGCAAAATGAAGAATAAACTGAGACCGATGGGCGGGTCACTCTGCTCGGCTGTCGCCAGCAAACCCGACAGCATGGTTTGCTGCTCAACGGTTTGCGTAGGGTCTGGGTAACCATGACATGAGACAATAGTACCCTGGCCCATGAGGTCGGGATCTGCCTCCATGCAATGTTTGCCGACGACTGCCTGGGTCGGTCAGCCATCAGCAGCATCGTAGGACGACAGATGCGTGGTGCCAGGATCAAATGTCAGGATGGCATCCCCCTTACCAGCAGTGTCTCGAGGCAAGCGAGCCAGAGCTCGGGAATCTCACAGCCGACAAACCAACCACAGTGCCAGGAGTCCTGCATAAGATCCCAGCCAAAAGGCAAATGAACCCAACGCAGGCCTTGTGCAGCAGCCTATGGCGTCGTCAGAAGCTCTCACCGAGGTGGACCTCTTCGTGCGTCGTCCCCCACACCGATCAACCACTTGGTGCGTATTATATGCATGTGCCCTGCACGGGAATGGCGGAGACGACGGCATTTCTCTGGACGCTGCTCTGCTTCGGCCGGTATGTAGTCTATGGCGCTGTCTTGGCTTTGGGCGAGATGGCCTTGTTTTCTCTGTTTCGCCGCCAGCCTCTGTTGTTGTCGTCAAGGGGGGGGCAGGCTCGAGCGGGCGGTGGCCGACTGTGTGATGTGATGGCGGAAGTGACGACGGATGCCGGCCTGCGAAGTCGCATCACCTGAAGGGCGGGCAAGATTTCACTCATTCATGTGGCTGCGAGATTCATGCGTGCTGGTCTGAGCTCATGCAGATGTAGGAGGCGGAAGAGGAGACAAGGGCAGCATCTCGCCATCCTTCCCCTTTTCGCCTCGGGCTCGATAAGATATAAGGACGATACGGTGCCTTCCGTTTGCCGTGTGCGTGGAATTACAAGCAACAAACGCCCAACCGCTGCCAATCCCATACTTACGCAGGCAATATAAGTTCGTGTAAAGACTGGCTTGTTCGGCATGTGTTCCTTGGAATGTGCAGCTGTGGCTTTGGTCATTTCAGCTGTGCTCCGTCTATGTGACGGAGGATGCGAATACGGAGCCTGTTAGCCTTTTGTGCGTTGGCAAGGCCCCCAATCATGAACCCTCCATCATCAGGGCCAAGTCCGCCCATGTACGACTTCAGTCTCTCCTCAAGAATCAACTAGGAAGTATTCTTGAAAATACCCATTGACTTCTTCTTTCGGGCCTAGTCCAACAGCCGCAGATGGCCATGAGGGTTCAAGCTTGGATCCGACCATCTTCAGCACTTACACGCTCCAGCCCAACTGTCCATATCAGGTATCAACTTGACTTGGGCAACATCCCCATCGTCGCCACGGCCCAATGGCCGAGAGGCACTTGAACGAACCGGTCTGCAATATGCCAGACAGCTCCGACGCTACTAGGCGGCAGCATCAATTACACTATCAGAGTCGGGGAGCCTGAACGAGCCGGTTGGTAGCGCTGTCGTCGATGCCGTCACGTGCAGTGCAGCTTCACCGTCCTCTGATCCTTTGCTTATAACGACAAAGGCAAGTCATTCACGGCAAAGCTAACAGCGGTTCATGGCTAAACGGCTAGCAAATCCCTCGTAGCAAAAGCAAAATGTCTCACTGAGGCGTCGTCGTTGTGACCTGGTTGGCTGAACACGGGATATAGTACGTAGCACCACGAAGGAAGCAGCCTACTTAGTAGGTACAGTACATATGATGATTGGATGGCCGACTGGAAGCTGAATGCTCTTGTCAAATGCGCAGGCCTTACCATTCCAATCAAGTATCGCGTAGGTACAGTCGATGGAGTCCAGAGCATCGAAAAGGGAGCTGTCTTTTAGAATGGCGGGGAGTTGATTAGCAGCCTCGTCATTGGCCCACGTGCATTATGTCATCCGCAACCCACATCTGGCGACGACTTCAACTCAAGCACCGAGTCTCAACCGCCAGCCTCAGCCTTATCGCGCCCGCTTTCCACCCCCAATTGACGACCACCCGCGCCGCCAGAATGTTCGCCGCACGATCACGGGCAGTCTGCGCCGCCCGCCAGCTGCAGCGGACGTGCCGGAACTACGCCTCCGACGCCCACGGCCACCACCACTCCGCTGCTCCCGTCAACGAGTCCTTTGGGGTTAGCAATCCGCGATCAGCTTCTATTTTCGATGGGGTGTTTCTGGGAGAAAGAACAAGACGCTGACTGCCGGCCTGTGCTATAGAAAGGATCCGTGATTGCCCTCGCCACATTCCTGGGCACCGTCCTCGTCTACCAGTTCCGCCCCCAGGAGACCGACAACTGGAACATCTCCAACCTGCTCACCAAGTACCGATCAAAGGCCGAGGACTGGGAGGCCATCAACTCGCTGCACACAAAGGCCATGGAGCAGGCCGGCTACGACCGAAACCTGTTTGAGAACGCCTCCAACAAGCACCGATTCGTCGACGTCGCATACCCCGAGTACGTCTTTCACTTCATGCCGAGAGTTTTCTTCAAATTTCTTTCCCGCGGTGCTAACAATGTTGTCGCAGAGCTTTCCAGTCCCACGCCCAGCGAAACATTCAGGCTGGCCACCTCGCCAGCATGGATCACGTCGTGGAGCACTACAGGCAAAAGCATTTGCAGTCGGAGGAGAAGAAGGCGGCCAAGCTGGCTGCTGCCGGCAAGCAGGAGTAGTCGTGGAGCTTGCAGTATATCCAAATTCAATCATAACAGAAGTTCGCAACACGAGGGTCATCTTTATGCGTGATGCTAGGTTTTATATGTAGTGTGAAGCTGACTTTGGTGTTGCTGCTACTGACGACTGCTAGTATTCCGCCGGACAGGACAAAGAAGCACCTGGGCCAAACCCTCGTGAATCGTGGAAGGCACGAGCGCTCAGCATCGCTCTTTGATTTCAATCAACAAGAGACCATGACTGAACGCTGATTCATATGGAGTTTAGTCGACTCAAGAAAGATAGGGGACCGATATTGCATATCAGCCAACTCTACTAACGCATACCAAAGACCCAGGGGCAGATGAGAAGCCAGGCTACGACTGCACCTACCGGAACTACTCTCAATGACTGCTTTCTTCCTCTACAGCTCGTCAATATCACGAAACATACAGTAGCACCTACCTGAGGCTGCTTCAGTTACCAACTCGTCATTGCCTCGATTCCCTTGGCTTCACAAATCGGAAAGAACGACAATTCCAACAATGTCGCGACAAGACGTGTTTTTTCTCTCGTCCTTTCACATCACATCTTAACGCGAGGCATACTTTTTGGCAATCTTGGCCGTTTATCAGTTATTTTCTTGCACTCGTTTCATCATTCTTCTCAGTTTCTTAATTTCTATTACGGCCATCTCAACTGTGACACATTCGTTTACCCCAAAAGACTTTCCAACAAGAACCATCAATCATGGAATCTACCCAAGAGCCTCCGGTCGAGCGCGACAACGTCGAAGAACAAAGTGTCCAAGAGCCCCAGCCTGTGCCGAAGCCGACCCCGAATTTCCGTGATATCCTCAGCCAAGAGAACCGAACGCAGAGCAGCTCAAGCATCTTCGTGGTTGTCGATGGAAAAGAAATACCCAAGCCGGCCAAGGTGCCCAACGACACCATCATCGAGATGGTGAAGGAGGTAGAGGGCAGAGACTCCATCGACGACGGACTCAAAAACGAAGACGTCGTCGCCATTCGAGACACCAAGACCAAGCGCGGACACGGCATCTTTGCCACGGGCGACTTCCTCTCCGATCACGTCATCATCGCTGAGCAGCCGGCCCTCAGCTTTTATATGCCGCAGGAGGTATCCATGGCCAACATGCGCAGGGAATTCGAGGTGCAGTGGTGCGATCTTCTCGTACCGCAGCAGGACGCCCTCAAGGCGGAATTCCCCAAGCTGCGACTCGTGGCGTCGGGAAGGCGGCAGCTGTCCCTGTTGCAGAGCATCCACCTCTACAACTTTGCGCTCGAGTACTCGTACAGCAGCCCGGATGGGGACTTTGCAAACATCTACTCCCTGGCATCTTACATCAACCATGCGTGTCGTCGCTGTGCCAATGCCGTGCAGGGGATGGAGTGGCATCAGCCGCACCGCGTTCTGATCAGACTGATCAAGCCCGTCGAGGCCGGCGAGGAGATCTTTATCCACTACAACACGGCAGAGGGCAGGAAGCTCGCCTGCGCCGTTTGCGGCAGCATGGCCGACCGACCGTCTCGATGCCAAGCCCTGCGCAACAAGCTGAAGGAGTGGCGATTGAAACTCACCGGAGGAAGCGCCGAGGCTTCTGATGCGACAAGTGCCGGAGTCGTGGAAGAGGACGACTTCAATGCCGATGTGCCGGGACCGCGCTTGTCTCTGATGGATCGCGCAAAGCGGCTGAGGAACAAGGCTGTGCGTCGCTGGGGTTACTTGTTCGTAAGAGAAGGATGCGACTGGACGCTTCCTTGGCGGTCGCCTGCTTGGCAGTCGCCTCCAAGAACTCCGTATCCAGACAGTCCGTCTCCCGGGACTTTGTCTCCCAGCGCTCCGTTTCTCAGGGCTCCGCCGCCGACGACTGTAGGCTCCCCTGTTCGGAGACAAAGAAAGAGTCGCTCGCGCGGCACACGCATGTGAAGCTCACGGTGAAAGCAAGCACTGAATGTAGATGGAATTTTTGTTAGAAAGCGACTGATGGGACAAGCGACGCTGGAAATGGTTATGTATCACCAGCAGCATGTATTGTGTATATCTGATAGCTTGGAAAGCGTGAACAATGTTTTCATTGTACTATCATAGAAATCATTGTCATCAACAACCTTAGTAGCGGCTTTCCTGCGTCTACCAAAACCAGTCCTTTTTCGCCCGAAAATGTCCGAGAATGCAGAAACCACCCAAGACCACACGCCTTCTTATTTGAGGGGAATGAAACGAGAAGAGTGCGTGGCACCGATACCAGGTCGACCGTGCTTGACAGGCTTGCTGTAGAGGGGTCAGTATCGGAGAAAAACCACGGGCGCATGATTCCACGCGGAAACATGGCTAATGGGAACGTACTATGAGATGGAGAACTCGCCCAGGTAGTGGCCAACCATTTCAGGCTTGATCTCAACCTGGTTGAACTCCTTGCCGGAGTAGATGCCGATGACGCTGCCAATCATCTCGGGGACGACAATCATGTCTCGCAGGTGGGTCTTGACGAGGTCGGGCTTCTCGTTGGGCTTGGCCTCCTGCTTGGCCTTTCGGAGCTTCTTGATGAGGCCCATGGGGCGGCGCTTCAGGCCGCGGTTGATCCTTCTGCGGGCGCGGGCGTGGACGACATCGCGGAGCTGGTCGGAGGAGAGGTCGAGGAGGCTGTTTTTCTGATGTTAGTTCATTTGTTGCTTGATATTGTGGATTCTGTGTCGAGTGCTGCGCTTCTTTCGTTCTTTGGCGTCGAATGGGATGTGGGCGTGGTGGAAAAGAGAGACGTACTTGTCAAGGTCGATTCCTCGGTAGGAGAACTTGCGGAAGGTTCTTCTCTTCTTGATCTCAGCGGCCTCCTCGGCGTTCTATCCATTGGAAGTATTGTTAGCAGCCCATTCCTTCGACAACAATGACCCCCATAGCAGAACAGTGTTTCCCCGGGACTCCCATCAATGTCGCAAGTCCCTTCGCCGCCCGTCCGTTTCCTCCTCCATCCACCTCTTGATATTACTTCTTCTATCCTCCCCCATCCCCCTCCAACCACTTCGCAGAAAGACAGCAGAAAGGGTTTCAGAAACGTACGTATTCGTCAGCCATGATCGCGGTGTTGTGTTGATTGAATTCGCCTATCGAAACGCGCAGGGTATCGACGAGCGAATGTGGTGGCCGTGACGGAGTCGGTTTTTTGGGAGTTGGGGGGAGGGCTGGACTCTCGGCGATGCGGCACTAACTAATTTTCTGGCCTTGGTAGGGTTTTCGTGCCCTTTGCGGCCCACGTCAGGTGACTTTGGCGACTTTGAGAAAAGCTGTGGTTATTATTTTCTGGTGCGCTTTTCGCGGCGGGGTAGAGGTGGATAGATAAGTGGCTGGTGAGCTTGTCAGAGTGTGGCTGATGAAATGTGCGGGCTGGAAGATTAAAGTTCCGCATTCGGCCAACGAGCAGCCCGATTTGCCCCGCTTCACGCCGAATTTCTGCCGGCCCTCTGAGGATGTCACGTCGTATTGTCTCCAGAGCTGAAACCGGGCAGATTGAGACAACCCCCGTCGTACAGCCCGTCCTCCGCGTCACCCATGTGGTAGCTCAAGATGCGAAAGTCTCGTTTGGAAGCTTCGAATGCTTCTCACGTGGTGAGGCTGGCAGCAAGGAAGATGCGGCATATCCGGCCGGGATAGGCACCAGTTGGCGAGGCCCGTGTTACTACATAGGTACATGTGACACAAGACGCAGACACAGACAGAGCTGGAATTCATCCAACAGACGAGCATGAAGACAAGACAACCTACCACGACAACAAGCCACTGTAACGTCCTGCTGGTACTAGCATCGAGTCTATTCTTCGTGTTCGCTTCCATCACATCGCTTGGTGCACAATGCGATCCATACATAGCACGGAATAGGGCGATGCGTGACCGCCCTCTCCCCCATAATGACCAGGCGCGGCGGTGACAACTCGGATCTTGGGCTACACGATGAGAGGTCGCGCGACATGGAGTGGATACAGCTCGCAAGCACTTACAAGATGCCAAGCGCCGTGAAGCTTCGAGAGGAGCTCAGGCCACAGCACTGTTTGTCTCTGCAGATCCTCCACTACTATTATCATCCATCACCCTCACTTCTCAGCCCAGCGCTAAGACTCGCAGACGAAGACATTAGCTCCGCCAAGATGTGTTCTGGCATCCCTGCCTCTGCATCCGTCGAGATGCCCTCCCTCGGCATCTTTCCATCTGGTGTTTCTGCCAGTTGGCTCTAGGAATCCCTACGCGATACTACATACTCCGTACTGTCGGCTCTGCTCATTCGTTAGCTACCTTATTCACAACAACGTCTTGTCCCGTCTTTTTTCTCTTTGGCCGTGCCAGTGAAACCCCACACATAAACTCCGTTGCGGGTTGTTTCTTATCCCGTCCGTCTGCCTTGTCTTCATGTTCATTTGCTTCCATCCACAACGAACTGCCGCTTTTTCTCTTGGCATTGATACCATTGATGCGCCCGTTCGACCGACAATGACCGCACCAGCTGTCTCTTCAGTATCTCCATCTCAGTCTCCTATTTTTTGCCTTTCCATAGTCTCTTCCTCCTGTGCCAAGGCTGGGCATGGCTTCTAGTTCTGAGTTCCAGACTCTTTCCCAGTGGACTGAACAGACACCCCCGTCATGACTTTTTTTCCCCCCTCCCTGAGAGTGGCCCAACTCAGGCCAGAATTCTCCCCAAGCAAACCAATAAAATAAAATAAAAATAAAAGCCAAAAGTAAGCAACGCCGAGACCTGCACCGCTTGGATGGCGGTCGGCTTGGCAAAGTCTCGGCACGAGGTTCGCCAACGCCCTTTTACGAATGGGAACCTTGAAGCTACTTTTGGCGGTACTCGGGCTCTGTCTGGCTCTGACTCTGACAACCTCATGACCTCCCGAAAACGGGGGCGCGGAACAGCAAGAGAGCCTCAACCGTGTCGGTGGTGATGGAGGCTGCGAGGCTTCACTTCGACAGCTATAAGCACAGCTGAGACGCAAACCCGCGAGTTGCTGCTGCTGCTGCTTACCCTACGACTGAAGAGTGCTGCTGTTCCGCTGCCGAGGACGAAGCTCCGTTTGCCGCGTACCGCCCCGTGTCTTGGCAGCCCTTGATCGAACCCGCGGCTTCGCGTCCTTCTTCCAGCTGATCAGCCTCGAGTCAAGTTGCAAGCAAGCAAGCAAGCATCAACTACGGCTCCCGGGTGCTACAGAGGCCCGTCTCTGCTCGTCTGCCCCTGTGCTGTACGCCTGCGCAGCCCTTGTCCTATCCTACCCACTTCCCGGCGGCTGTTCTGCTTGGATGAAGGTACGAAGCCCATCTTCCCTCGTCTTGCCGCGTCTCTCTCTGCCCTCCTGCTTCTGTTCAAAAGCCAGCCTCAACGCCATCGGGTCGAGATAACGGTCAATACGAGATTTGCGATTGTGCATGCGCAGGGCCAGGGATAATCGTATACTTGCAAGGCAACGAACGGTTGACGGCCAATTATCAACCTCACTCTGCGGCACCAACTGCCGGCCGAGCGCTGACACTCACTGCAAGTCTCTGCTTGCTGTCGATCGCACCACCCTCCCGGATCCCATCGCGGTGGAGTATCGTAGATACATCGATAGTGTCTCCTGTGGAAGCACTACGACCATGGCTCTCACGGCGTCAGCTTCACCTTGGACCTCCGCCGTTTCCACCGCTTCAGCTCCTGTCCTTGTTCCGGCTGCATCGCCTGCTGCTACCCTTGCGCCAACAACCACTTCAGCAACCTCCTTCACCACCGTCACGACCAATGACGACTCCTACATCACAGCAAACCCGTTTCCGCCCATGACGACGCATTGGAACCGGCCTTTGAGCTGCACATGGACGTACGTCTACGACAGCAACCTGCCGCCCGGGGTCTCGGAGCCGATTGCGTATCTGGATCTAGAGCCCCTTCCCGGAGCTTCGACTCTGTCGTGCTATCCCGATGGCATGTTCTATGATGGACGCACCGGCGTCTTCAGCCCTGCTACGTGCCCCTATGGGTGGACGACGGTGTCTCTCGCGGTCAACACCGACCAGAGCGTCGAGGAAGCGACCACCACGGCTCTGTGCTGCTCGTCGTATGTTTGGACGAGCCTTTTTTTTATATCTGCATTGACAGGTGCTAACCTCGTTTCACAGCGAATACTCATATGCAGGTGGGCATTGCAAGCGCCAGGTTCCCACGGTTCTGGCAGTCCCCATCATCTACAATCACACTGCCGCCACATACGACGTCTTGACCAACTCGACCACCACGCTCTACAGCGCCACCATTGCCGTCAACACCATTCGGGCGCTCTTCAGGGAGCGGGACAAGCCGCTGCTCGGCCTAACAGACGAGGATGACATCGACGACGAACCGCAGGACGACCGCGGACTCTCGCTGGGCGCCAAGATCGGGATCGGGGTTGGTGTCGCCCTGTTCGGCCTCTTCGCCATGGGAGCAGGCATCTTTCTCTATTTATGGGGGCGAGAGCGCAGGAAGAAGCGTTCCACAGGCCAGGCGTCGCACGAGCTTGGTGTCGTGCAGCGGACACAGGGGCAAATGTACGGTGCTACCAGCTCGCCACTGGGCTCGCATCCACGAGCAGCTCGTGCACACGATGCCGAGCCGCCGCCCGCTTACGACTTTACGCCCGAAACCAACAGCGTCGCGGACGATGATGACGGCGGGAACGCGTCCGTGGCGCGAGACGGCGAGATTCAGGTTCTGATGGCCCAGAAGGCGGCTATCCAGCGGCGTATCGAAGAGTTGGAGAGGGTGTCGGGAGAAGAGAGTCGGGAGGAACCTCGTGAGAGGTGATCTTTTTTTCTTTACCCTTTCTTTGTTTTTCCTGCCACTTTTTTTCCCTTGATCTTTTTTCAAAAACGGACGACTTATGATACCACTTTGCGTACCAAAAAAGCAGGTCGGCGAATTTTCTGGAGTTTATAGTCGTTTGGGAGTACAATTAGAGCATAAAGGCGTCTGGACAGCAACAACTTCAAGGTCGATCTCCGTGGCCCTCGGATAGGTAGGGGCTTTAGTCATGATGTACAGGACATATATTGTCCGTATCCATACTGACAAGCCCAAGCTATCACCAATATAACATCCTCTCAGCAGCAACCTCAGCAACATGCCCATCGAGTATTATTGAAGTTTCCACGTCCTTCCTCGCCTCTCAACTACTAGCGCCTATCACTGCATGTGCCCCCATACCATACGGGTCCAACGGCGATCTGACTAAAACGTGCATGCATCAAACGCCTGAAGCCTCCCGTATCCATGCTCGTCGAGCTCGTAGGCACCCAGATTTCGCCCTTGGCGGTTCCGTCGGCTCGGTACTGGCAGACATGGGTTCAGTCTGTGACGGAGCTATTACACACTGTAGTCGCGTGCTCCTCTGAATCGTCTTAACAATCGCGCTGTATGATTGCTTATTCCCCAAACCGCCTCCTCTCAACTGTCTACATGATGATACAGTATCGATGTTATCCTTTCGAGAGCCCACATTCAGAGAGCGTTGCTATCGGGCCGCTGTGGATAGCTTCGGGAAAGGCAAAGAATCTCGACCCACTGGATATCGCCTCGATCCCGTCTGTTATTGGAAATACATACAAACATATGTAGTTACCTAGAGCTAGGCAGTAGCAATTCGGCCTCTGGAAATTCAGGTGCCTAAGGTAGGGAAACGTCGGTATGAATCTGACAATTCCGATCCCTTGCTAGCAAATCTCCATCTTATCCATATCCGGAAGTATAGCACACCTCTGTTAGAGAGCAGCCACTTACACCAATGAAGCTCAAGTCATCGAGCCTCTTCCCATCCCATGCGCCATTTTAGCGGCTGGTATCCGCGCCGTAGGTTGGCCCAAAGACAGCCTGGACCTCGTCTGCCAGCACAAAACAGCTGCACATGCATGTACCTGCCGTCGGCATACAGAGCCCAATAGTAGCCCTGCAGAGGAAAAAAAAAAAGAGTAACCGAGTCCCCTGACAGCTCGATGATGATCCAAAGTTCCAGAACCGGGACCCCACCAACAGTGAAAATCCCACCCGAGCGAGCTTTATAAAAACTCCACCAAGCCGAACCATCACCAGATCTTGCCTCTGCCCAAAGGCGACATCTTCTGCCGGGACATTATTCTTTACTTCCTACCCGCTACAGCTTTGATTCTTTTTAATATTTTCTAAGGATATTTCTCAGAATGAGGGGCGAGGTTGGTACTTCCCTTCTTCCTGCGCGAGCGCTTCTCTTTGTTTCGCACTTCTTCTATTTGGTGCTATGATATCATCCCACTTTTGCGACTGGCGATGCGTCACTCCCGGCAGGGCCGTCTCGCACCTTTACGCCCAACTTCGCGATGCGATTTGCACACAGAAAGCGTCGCTAACATGGTCCTCGTCTAGATCCTGCATCTGCACGTCGGCCAGGCCGGCGTCCAGCTCGGTAACGCAGCTTGGGAGCTGTTCGTGAGCCCCTCCACCATCGCTTTGCGCGCGCAAAGCCGATTCATCAGCCCCCCGCCATGTTGCTAACCCTTCTCTCTTTTTGCTCCCGTCGCACAGCTACTGTCTCGAGCACGGCCTCGGTCGCGACGGCCGCATCAGCCCGGATGCCCATGACCGCGATGATCTGGGCGTCTTCGACACCTTCTTCAACGAGACCAGCGGCGGCAAGCACGTGCCGCGGTCCATCTTCGTCGACCTCGATCCGTCCCCCATTGACGAGATCCGGACGGGCGACTACCGCCAGCTGTTCCACCCGGAGCTGCTCATCAGCGGCAAAGAGGACGCGGCGAACAACTATGCGCGCGGGCACTACACCGTCGGCAAGGAGATGATTGACACCGTCATGGACAAGATCCGCCGTGTTGCCGGTGAGTTTGCGCTGGCGAGACGTGGGTGATGCCTTGTTCGACATGAGTGGCTGACGCTGTAACAGACAACTGTCACTCGCTTCAGGGATTCCTCGTCTTCCACTCGTTTGGCGGCGGTACTGGATCCGGCTTTGGAGCCCTGATGCTTGAGCGTCTGGCCACCGAATACGGCAAAAAGACGAAGCTCGAGTTTTCCGTGTATCCGGCTCCTCGCACATCCTCTGCCGTTGTCGAACCTTACAATGCAGTCCTCTCAACCCACAGCACAATCGAGCACTCAGACTGCACGTTCTTGGTGGACAACGAGGCGGTCTATGACATCTGCCAGCGGAATCTTGACATTTCTCGGCCGTCTTTCGATCACCTCAACCGCCTCATCGCGCAAGTGGTCAGCTCCATCACTTCGTCGCTGCGATTTGACGGCGCCCTCAACGTCGACCTGAACGAGTTCCAGACCAACCTCGTTCCTTTCCCGCGCATCCACTACCCCCTGATCAGCTATGCCCCGGTTGTTTCTGCAAAGAAGAGCTCCCACGAGAGCTTCAAGATTCAGGATCTGACACTTCAATGTAAGCACTTTGAGATCCCCATCAACTTCGTAAGCACCTCCTGGTATTGACTTTGTAACCAGGCTTTGAGCCCAACAACCAGATGGTTGTCTGCGACCCCCGCAACGGCAAGTACATGGCCGTGGTTCTGCTGTATCGCGGCGATGTTGTTCCTCGTGACTGCACAGTCGCCGTCGCTCACATCAAGGCCAAGGCCACCTTCAACATGGTCGACTGGTGCCCCACGGGCTTCAAGCTCGGCATCACCTACCAGAAGCCCACGGCCGTCCCCACCGAGGAGGGCGGCCTCGCCGCCGTGAAGCGCTCCGTGTCCATGCTCTCCAACACGACCGCCATCGCCGAAGCCTGGTCACGGCTGGACTACAAGTTCGACCTCATGCACAACAAGCGCGCCTTTGTCCACTGGTACGTCGGCGAGGGCATGGAGGAGGGCGAGTTCTCCGAGGCGCGAGAGGATCTGGCTGCTCTGGAGAGGGATTACGAGGAGGTCGCCGCCGACTCGTTCGGACCTGACGACACTGCCGAGTACTGAAACTCGGACTTTGATAAGCCTGCGAATCGGCTGACGACGATGACTTGATGCTGAAACGAAACGAAAAGAGGGTTTTGCTTGTGATTTAACGGCAAGAAGTCTTGGACTTGAGAGTTTGTGAAGACGGTGTGGTCGTATTGGAGTCTAGACTGCCCATCATTCCCTCTTTCGCTATCCCCTGCCCTTTACCCCTGCTTTCATTTGTCCTTTATCTTCCCCTTCCTTTTGCCTCTTTTTTGTTTCGTTGCTGGATATGTACGTTTGGGAGCAAGCATGCGCAGAAAAAAAACCACTTTGATACCTCTAATGCCACCAAAGTCGAGTTATATCTTTCGTTGTACATAGGTAATAAATAATCTTTTTTTCCCTCGCACCGTTTCACATCACTTTATATCACCGTGATAGTGATTATAGTCTGGATACAAAAGAAACAGATCCCATCATGAAAGAGAATCGTTACTCTTTTCTCTGCTTCGTCCCGTCTCCGAGTATCGATGGCATGCATGTACTGCTGACAACAAGAGGTTTCAGCCATTGGGCCGGCAGGGCGAGTTCCGCCTCAAATGACGTGGCAGCCTGTGGCAATATACAGGGCTTTTTGACAGCTCACGGTCTCGAAAATGCAGCAACTTTTTACAGGAAAAAGAGGCTTGAGTCACATCCTCAACTTCAACTTCTTGAGTCCGACAAAGTACACGAGAGATAACTGCTCTCTTTAGCATTCACATCACAGCGGTTGGCGGTATGAATACCCTAGAATGTACATGAGTTTTATAAGGTAGGTACTGTATTCAAGCATGTAAGTACCTCTATTTTTAAAGCTCTTCCCAAACGCCAATCATCGTTGCCCTTCTGCCTTGATCAAACAAAAGGCATCAAGTCTTCCATCAGGTAGGCAAGCCAATGAGGTTGTTCCAAAGAGGAGGCTCTTTCAAGGAGGGGGGCCCAGGGAAAAGGCAGAGTCTAAAAGGAACTTCCATCAATGTACATTTCTCTCTTCCCCCCAAAAACCAACCAAAAGCAAGGCCCGCCTGCCCTCTCATGTGATGAGGTAAGCCGAACTCGCCCTTCCACAGAAACCCACGCCAGCAAAAGGATTCATTATACCAGAAGTTGCTGCCTCTCACTCCCCCCCCGTACAAGCAGCCCAGCAAAAGCCGTGCAGCAGTGCAGGGAATCAAACCCGAGCACAACCTGAACTCACTCACTCACTTACTCACTCGCTCACTCGCCTCACCGATGCCTAACCGGGACGTACAGCCCGGCGGCACTCGAGGATTTACTTCTCTCCGCCATCGTTGACTGGTTTGGTATTATGCTGTATTTTTACTTTCATCATCTTCTCACCTCAACCCTCTTTTCCTTTCTTCCCCTTCGGCCTTTTTTTCCCACTTCACTTCTTCTTCCACGCCGCTGCCCTTTTAGCGCTTCTGTTCTGCGGTCTCATTGGCCTGCCCGCCTTCTTCTTATTTTTCTTGCCAATCTTGAGGTCCTTGGGAAGCCCGTCCCTGGACGAGGCTCGCCGCCCCTCAAAGATGATACGCTCCGGGCTCTTGATGCCGTCCGCCGCCGACGCCGCCTCACCGTCCTTTGCAGACGCCGAGAAGGACCTCTTGCGGCCGTGACGCTGCTTCGCGGCCGCGGACCGGCCCAGCAGCTTGCGGGTTCGCCCGGCGGCCGCCTGCTCCTCTGGCGTGGCCTTGGGCTTGTACTTTGTGCTGCGGTTGGTGGCGCCGTCGGCGACATCTGTCTTGGCCCTGGCCCGCTCGACTGCCTGGGCCGTCTTGCGCGGGTCCTTTGCTCTCGTGACACGCAGCGGACGGGGGAGCATGGGGGGAAACTTTTTGCCGTTGAGAAGGAGAGCGGCCTCGACATCATTGGCGTCCTGGAGGGGGCTCAGTCAGCAACCAGATGAAAGACAGACGGTGAGCCAAGGCTTTGAGGCAAACATCTCTGAAACGGAGACAAGATGCCTTTCTGCCTGGTGAGGAGAACAACTTACATAAAACTGCACATATGCGAAACCCTTGCCCACTCGAGTCTTTGAGTCTCGAACAACACGGACGTTCTCAACCTTGCCTTGGGTCCCAAAGGTGCGCCAGAGGCCCTCTTCGATGTCGGAAGGCACCTTGTTGCGCTTCTTTTCAACAGTCTCTCCACCGGCCTTTTGGCTGATGACGGTTTCGTCGTCGACAAAGCCAAGGTTTCCGACAAAGACACAGCAGCGGTGGTTCATGGGGCTTGGGTGTGCCACACTGTCTACGCGAATGTGACGACCCAGGACTTCGGTTCCGTTGAGCTCCGAGACCACCTTTCGGACTGCGGCAGGGGTTGAAAAGACGGCGTATGCGTTTGTGGACTTGGTCGTGGCATCCATCAAGGACTTGGTGATGTAAGCTGCTCGCTTGGGCATGGAGCCGGTAGAGAAAGCAACGGAGCGGAAACGCAGGGACTCGATCTTCTGTGGGGGCGAGGCGTCCTTGTCGAGGACTGAGGAGAGATGCCTCATGAGCTCCTTCTTGGCCGACTTGGATGAAATGGCCTCCGTGGCAACGTTACCCAGGAACACGGTCCGCGCAGCCTTTTCCATCTCGGACTGCTTGCTCTCTTGCGTGAGAGACTCGTGCACGGGTCGCTCGTCGTCGCTGTCCTTCTCGGCATCCTCTTCGGCGTCTTCTTTGTCTCCTTTCAGGCGCTTGCCAGACGGTTCGGGCTCATCGTCATCCGCGAGTTTGGCGAGATACTTCTCTTCCAGGTCGTCGTTGTCGTGCTTTCTCTTGCGTTTCCTGTCACGCTTGGTCTTGGCTTGCTCTTCTGTGGCGACCGCCTCCAGTGTTACTGACATGGCATCTTCGTTGTCGCTGCCATGAGCGCTTGCGGCATCCTCTTGCTCATCCGCAGCATTGTCGTCTGATTCTTCCTCTTCATCGTCATCGTCATCGCCATAGTCCAGCTCCTCGCTGATCTCGGAAAGCACCTCGTCGTCGCCCTCGTCCTCGTCCTCGTCTTCTTTGCTTGATTTGCCGGTGCTGGCGCTCTTACTTTTCGGCGGCGCTCCCAGCCGGGGTTTTGAGGGAGCCGTCACGGGTCCAGCCTGGCTAGGACGTCAGCAATCATCTTCAACAGACAGACGGCGGACAAAAGATACTGACACTGGATGCGAACAGAGCGTCGAGCGTGGGGTCAATGGCCTTGGGCGCCACGGCCAGCACGTTCTTTCTGCACGGAGAAGACAAGTCAGCAAGGTAAATCGACACCAGCAATGGCAGCAGGACTCACGTTTTGGCCATCTCGACGTCGCTGCTGGAGGAATCGGCTTTGGACGAGAAAATCAGAAAAATTGCCGGCTCTTTGCTGCAGCGCCTCGCCAGGATGCGCCAAAGCAACTGGAAAAGTTCACAGCAAGCTCTAAAAATTTTGGGTCCCGCCGCCGGGCTTTCAGCGGAAGCGCACGCCATTGGCTGTGGCCGCCCGCACGACCCGCAGATGACCGCGTTTCTGCCACGCCAGACTCACCGCCCGGGCGCTGCTCGCTGCTCCAGGGCCTGGCTCGCCTGTTTGGGGCTTGTGCAGGCGGCGGGTGCAGCGCTGTGGTGAGTGCTAGCAGGCCGGTGCTCAGGTCATAGCCAACCATGCGCGAAGCGGCCTGCCTCTCTTCCACCCTCTCCAGTCTCTCCCCTCCCAGCCCGTTCCCGGCCCTTCTCTGCCACGAACCTCGACACCAGGCGTCACGCAAGCACCGACCGACTGCAGAGACCAAAAGACCATAGAGAAGCACTCGCCAGCCGGTGCTTCAGCTTCAGCAGGGCCAGCGAACACACCAAGCCACGCTGCCGCTGCCCGTCGCCAGCCTCTGCACTTTGCTTGCCGGCACCGATCCCACCTCAGCGCCCGCGCAGACGCTTCCCACGACTGGCGACCGACGCAAAGCTGAGGCTGCCCTCGACCTCCCGCTCGCCGCCGACCTGCACCAGCAAGCTGCCAGACGGCCTCGCTCTGCGCTATCGGCGACGCAATGGCAGCGACGGCCTCGGCGTCGGCTGCTATGCCCCCCGTGGCTGCAGCAGCCACGGGCGGCGACCTCGAAGACAGCAACATCTCCAGCCCGCTCAGCGAGGTCGATGACAAGGACGCCAACGACGAGGAGATTGAACACATGCACCTGGACAGAGACCACCTGAGCGCTGGTCCAGACGAGGCCCAGGGCACCGACCACGCCGGCTCAGACTCGGACAGCGCCCTCTCCGACGCAGCGTCTGACGTCAACTCCGAGGCCAACGACACCG